TGATCTACTGGTTGTTGCATCTAGGATCAGAGAAAGCAGCCTTATTCTGAGTCAGGCCACTGGCCCGTCTGACTGTCAACACCCAGGCCACATGATCTGCACTATACATTTAAAGTGGCTTCTCCCAAAGAATCTGGGTAAATGGAGAATGTTTAGGGTGCTGACAGTGGTTGGGGAGCTCCTGTTCCCTGCACAGAGCTACCATTCTCACAGTGGTTTAACAATCAACCCTTCTTCCCAAGGAACTCATCCAAATGCTAAGAAGAGAACCTCAGGCAATGATCCTTTAAGACAAGAGAGATGATTCAAGTGTGAGCCCATTTTCTGAACCCTTCTATCCCAGCTTGATCACTAAGATCATTTGCAGGAGCATCACTGGTCATTCCCCGAGTTCGCGAGGCTCACTTGATGACAAAATAAGCCAAATCCTTAGCGTCATTGGACCAGTTCGGTGGAACACTCTGCCAATAAAGATTCAGCAGGTGCCTTCTGTTTCTGTTTTGAAATGCCTGCTGAAAACTTTTCTATTCTGCCAGGCCTTTGCAGACAATTAAGAATACATCCTCCCAGAATGGTAAATTGATGTCTGTTTTTAACTTTTTAAACATTCTTTTTTACTGCATATACAGTATTTATGTTTGTGACAGCTTCTTATGTTCCTATGCAAACTCTTCTTATGTTCCTATGTAAACAGATTTCTTCTGCTTATTTGCAGATTCCTTCATAGGATCTCTTAATTAACTATAAGAGTGAAGGTTCTGAAAGGGGGTTCTGCACGGGGTTCTAACATCCTTGCAAAGAGCATCTCTGAACCTCCGTGCTTCATTCTGACATCCTCACTTCTTGACAAATCTTTCTAAATCAACTGAAACTCCCACATTTTGGAAGTGGAACAACAAATTATGCAAAGGGGATGCAAATTTGGCTAAATTGCACACTTTATTCTGACTGACAAGAAGCAAATCTTTTTGGCACAGGGTGCAGAGCGTGCCGATTAGCAAATGAGTGTGAAATTAGTGTTATTAGTCATTCTTCGCTTTCTTCATATTGATTTGGGAAATTACATACTTTGTCTTTTTCACTTTGGTCATTAACACGGAGGATATTTATTTAAAATGTCTGCAAGACAATTAGCAAAAAAAAAAAAAAAAAAAAGAAAGGATAAAGAAAGCAAAAATAAACCCCACACTGCTGTGAATAAAAAAAAAAAGGTGTCGGTTTTGTGGACGTGTTTTGCAGCAAAAACTGCCTGATAGAGAGAAGCAGCAAAACCTCAGAGCAAAAGGGCATTGTTAACTGAGTGTTAGAACAGGACAAGCGTAATTGAACAAAAATGTTCACATGAAGTTAGCAGCTGTTCCCAGGGACTGGCTGTTGTAAACAATGGGCAAGATCCACCTTGCATGGAAAGTGTCATTAAACAGGACTCCTCCAGATGGGTAGGATTTTATATATTAGAGAGCCAGTGTGATACAGTGGTTAAAGTGTTGGACCATGGCCTGGGAGACCAGGGTTCAAATCCCCAATTGGCCATGAAGCTCACTGAGTGACCTGGGAATAGTAACTGCTTCTCAGAGAGGCACTCATTCACTATGACTTAGTAATAATTTGTTGTTGTTGTTGTTGTTTATTACTTTTATCCCGCCCATCTGGCTGGGTTTCCCCAGCCACTCTGGGCGGCTCCCAACAGATTAAACAGAATAAAACTTCAAACATTAAAAACTTCCCTAAACAGGGCTGCCTTCAGATGTCTTCTAAAAGTCAGGTAGTTGTTTATTTCCTTGACATCTGATGGGAGGGTGTTCCACAGGGCCGGAGCCACCACTGAGAAGGCCCTCTGCCTGGTTCCCTGTAGCTTTGCTTCTCACAGTGAGGAAACTGCCAGAAGGCCCTCAGCGCTGGATCTCAGTGTCCAGGCTGAACGATGGGGGTGGAGACGCTCCTTCAGGCATACTGGGCCGAGGCCGTTTAGGGCTTTAAAGGTCAGCACCAACATTTTGAATTGTGCTCGGAAATGTACTGGGAGCCAATGTAGGTCTTTCAGGACTGGTGTTATATGGTCTTAGGAAAAGTGGAGCAGAAAAACAGCCCCACCTGGAACATTTGCGGTATAAGAAGTTACAGGATTTCAACACTGCTTGGAAGTGGATCACAGGGTTGTCAGACCTTGCAGGAGAAACCTAGAGAGGGCTTGTATCTTCAGGTGAGCAAGAATGCCTTCCCTACCGAGGCTCACTAAACAGGTGAGAACGAATCATCTCCTCACTTCAGCTGGACCTGGGAACATTTCTTTTAGCTACACATCTGGAGGGCTGCAATTCCTCCTCCCTTAGTCTATATAAGGGGATGTCAGTAGCTCTTCAGGCCTTCAGACAACAGTCTTTCATTGCCCTACTTGGAAATGTCAGGGGTTGAGCCTGGGACCCTGTAGAAGCAAAGCATTTCCTCTGCCACTAAGCAATGGCCCTTTGTAACCATTCATAAACAAATGTTTTCAATACAAGCAGCGTAATGAGAGGTGCTGAGGAATAATCTGAAAGTGTGTGTTTCTTTGAAGCATACTCAGTACTCAGATTTACTACAATATTAGACGAGTTTAGAATTACAGAGAAGAGCACATTATTTCCTAACTTACTTTCCTATAGCGCTTTCAGATAATTATTATTTCTAGAGAAAGTAATTCAAAGGACTAAGACAGAACTAATGAGGCACTCCAGATTTGAACAACTGAAAACAAGAATCTACTTGTGTTGGCTACACATCAAAGGTATTCCCAAATGAAAACACTCATTTGGTAAGTATTTCCAGAATCAATAATTCACTCTTGCAGGTTTCGGGCTCCAAAATAACAAGAATTTTTTTATGATATGGGTGTGGGTGAGGAAGTCCTAGAATTAAGTAGTTACCCAACTTGCTAAAATAAAATAGAAGACTAACCTCTTACCTACCGTGTCATGTGAGATCCAGCTAACTTCCTTCTCCCGTTCAGTCAAAGAATGAAGTTCTTTTAACAAACAACTATTCCATGTCCAAAAGTTTTAATAGTTGCCAGTGTAATTAGTCCAAAGGTTCGTTTTGATTGCAGATGCACGATTCTCAGTCGTGCATAAGGGCTCTCCAGATCAAGACCTTGAGATCCCTTCACCCCCTTAAGAATTGCATGGCAAGGCTGTTGCCCCAGGTGACATAGCACAGCTAGGAATAATTAATTTCCCCAAGATTTCTCAGACTTCTGATAGCTGAGACGGTTGGTTCATGTCTGCATTTATTTGTTAAAATGGGAGCTCTGGTTGAAGGAAATGGGTAACCTTGGAGAAGGCAAAGGGGTTGAAAATGTTACCTCTTAAGAAGAGCCCTGGTGGATCAGATCAAAAGCCTACGTAGTCCGGCATCCATTTCCCATGGTAATCAATCAGATGTAGCAAACAGAAATAAAGAAAAAAATAGAAAGGGGAATCCTAAATTGGGACACCCTACCCTTCAGTAAGATTGAGCATGCTCAGTGAGCACAGAATGCTGTTGGGCAGGGAACAGAAATCCAGGCAAGGTGTGTGTTATGGAATGGAGTATCCTGGGAAAGGGCAGAGCTGTAGCTACGGGGGGACTAGCCCAGGGTTTTTGCCCCGGGTGAAGCCTCAAGGGGGCACCATTGAGTTTCCCAGCTTGTGTGCATGGAAATGCACATGGGGGGTGTCTTTGACCTGTGTGAAATAAAGCCAAGTTTCTCCCATGGAAAGGGCTATCTGGAGTCCTGAATACTCAATGGGACCTCATTCTATCAAATACAGTAGCAAAGCAACGACTGACTTTTTGAGATTTGTTGGATCAGAACTAGAGTAATCCATTGACTGCTGCTTTTCCTCATAAGTCAGATTGGGGAGAACTGCGGGTTCTCTGATTCCAGAGCTTTTTTAAAAAGTGCAGCTGTGAGAGAACACTGTGGAACCAGTATAGTTGTAACTAGGAGTTGATTCACATTTCCTAGATCTCAGAGGATCCTTAAATTACACTCTAGTTAGACCGGCAATTCAGTGGTTTGATTCCTGACACCTTCAGAGCTGAGATTGTCTTCTTGAATCCCTGGAGAGCTGCTGTCGGTCAGTGTTGCCTATACTGAGCTAGATGGACCGATAATCTGATTTTGGCCCCATCAGCACTGTACATTTAAAGCACTATCATACCACTTTAAAGAGCCATAGCTTCCCCCAAAAGAATCCTGGGAGCTGTAGTTTCCTAAGGACGCTGAGATTTGCTAGGATGCCCCTATTCTTCTCACAGAACTACAATTCCCAATGTTCACTGAGAAGAGGGATTGAATCACTGAGAACTGCAGCTCTGTGAGAATACTAATGTATAGTATGGATGGGGCACTGGTATCAGGATGCTTCCTATGTATTCCTTTACCTGCAAATCACCTGTAACTTTCAGGGGCCACATGTTAATATTTGGTGGAGCCAGAAGCAAAAGTGGGCAAGGCAATGGGTGCAAATGGTACCTTTGTACAGTGGTACCTCGGGTTAAGTACTTAATTCGTTCCGGAGGTCTATGCTTAACCTGAAACTGTTCTTAACCTGAAGCACCACTTTAGCTAATGGGGCCTCCTGCTGCTGCCACGCCGCCGGAGCATGATTTCTGTTCTCATCCTGAAGCAAAGTTCTTAACCTGAAGCACTATTTCTGGGTTAGCGGAGTCTGTAACCTGAAGCGTCTGTAACCTGAAATGTATGCAACCCAAGGTACCACTGTATAGTATGCTAATTTCAAAACACGCCCCCCCCTCTATTCAGCATCCAGACAAGCAAAAGGCACCATCAAGATTCAAGGGCACATTCTAGACAATAAAAAATAAAAAAATCCCTTTGGGTGTGAAAAACAGCTGAGGTATATAGTCTGGGGACAGTTCCAAGGACTAGTTGGAAAGATCTGTCCCCCAGACCTGAGGTTCCCCATCCCAGGAATAACAAATATGTTAGTCTTTAAGGTGCCACAAAACTCTTCATTTTTAAAATTGTTTTTTATTTAAAGATTTTTTTCATAGGTAACAAAAGTACATTCAGCATCTGTGTTCAAGTCATAGGGTCCTTCATATTGGTCAGTTACAGTGATTTTGAGACATTCTTGTCATAGGCAATGTGGGGTTGAGGGGGGAGAGAAGTTTTTGCTGCAATTGAGAAACAAGGTTACCCCTCCAGACTTTAACTGATGCAACTTTCAAGTGCTGAATGGCATTAGTTGATTGCATCACTTCACACCACAAGCACAGCAACAAGCAAAGCTGTGATAAAATCTCCCAAAGCTTGCAACATTTCATAATTACTGTCCTTATTCAAAAAAGTGAGCAGAGGAGGCTGAGAGGCTTTTCACAACAAGTGATGCTACAAAGCTTTTTTGATTCACAAGCACCTATTAATCTGGGATGTGCCACTTTGCTATCATTAATGCAAGAGAGATAAACTGACTAAATGACTTGCCAAACATAATTTCACACATTTCAGAATGTAGATGATCGTGGGGGGCGGGGTGTGTGTGGCAAATTTCCAGTGACATAGCAGCTTCAAAGCAGCCCTTAAGACTCAAGGATTTCAGCTAGCTCTAAATGCACCTGTGCACAATTTATTTTGTTTTCAATCAGTGCTTTATTTTCTATATATATTTTAAATATTTGATGGGGTATTAAGCAAAGGAAATGTTTTATACATTAAATATATATATATAAAGGCTGCTGTAAAAGATGTAGTCACAAAATATAGTTTATTTACAACAACAATTTCCAGAAACTGAATTTTGTGAGCTGTCCTGACATCTTGTGGATATAGTAGACACAGCAACAGGGTGGATGACAACCAAAGTATTCAAAGCAGAACAAATATTTCTAGAGTTTTCAGCTGCAGAATAAGCTGCCTGAAATAAGTCCCTTCCAACATATAAATGGAGAAAACAAGACAAATTCCCCAGGCAGAAATAATGTCCAGGTAGGAAATACTATAACTGAGTCTATGTGATGAATATTTCTATGTTGTTCTGGACTAGCTCAATACATTTTAGTGCTAGTAAATTAAAATATATTTCCCTAGGATTGCCAACTTTTTAATTGGCTCTTGCTCCTTTAACAGCAATCTGATCAGCACACATTAGCTAGTGATTACCTTTCTCTCCATGTTGTGACAAAACTACTTTTTCCACATCAAGCCACTCTTTTAAAGGTGGAAGATCAGGCCAGGTCATCCCAACCACCCCGATTAGTTGGTAAGCATGTCCTCTTAATCAATAAGGGGCACAATCCACGAATAAGTTTTCCTATACAGGCCTCGTGACAGCTGCCCTGTGATAAAGGGAAGGAATATTTGTCTTCATTGATCTAGCCTTCTTCTGGCAGATTCCTAGAAAATCAATGTTAGCGGCAAAGTTTCTAGTTAATACACACGGAGGTTTGAGTTTTTACTATTACTTAAATGCAACCACACTGGTGAGATTAAGCATTCTCTTAACAGTACCATCCTATGCAAGTTTACTCAGATGCGAGTCTCAAATGTTAAGTGTGTTCAGGATTGCAAGACAAAATAATTAATAGAAAGTGCTTAAAAAAAACATTGTAGACCAAAGTTTGTTTTTTTAGGAAACTTTCAAATTATGTACCCAGTGCCAGGTGGTTCTATTAAGCTGAATATTTTTCTCCCCACTTAATCGTTTTTATTCGCTTCCTTTGATGAACTAGTTCTCAGAGCGCGGGGGACAAACGGCGCAGCGCTCCCTGCAGCCTGCAGGGGGCAGCGGCGTGCGCGCTTGGCCCTCGCCGGCCGCCGTAGCGCGGCCTGCAAAACGCTTGACGCAGCCTTTGCCCCCGCCGAGCCGAGCGCTTCGCCATGGCGTCGTCCCAGTCGTCGGGCGGCAGCGCCATCCAGATCCCGAGCCGGCTGCCGCTGCTGCTGACTCCGGAGGCCGTGCTGCTGCCGGGCTCCACCATGCGCGCCAGCGTGGACTCGCCGCGGAACATGCAGCTGGTGCGGAGCCGGCTGCTGAAGGGCACGTCGCTCAAGAGCACCATCATCGGCGTCATCCCCGACACCAGCGACCCGCCCAGCGACCTCGACGCGCTGCCCCCGCTACACAGGTCGGAGCCCCGCCCACCCTTCCCGTCGCCACGGCAACCGCCGGGAGCCTCTTACCCCCCCCACCCTCTGTCGCCATGGCTACCTTCCCCTCCTATCGCGGTGCGCCCCCTGTTGTTGTCATGGTAGCTGCCCACCCTCCCAGAGACACGCCCCCTGTCGCCATGGGAACTGTTTCTCACTGCCTGTTAGGGGCCTGGTCTTCGTCGCCATGGCAACCGCGCCCTCTTTCTTCCGACGGCCCTCCCCTTCTTTGCCACAGCTATTTCTCCCTCATGTGGCTTGGGAGACCCAGCCATATGGGCGGGGTATAAGTAATTAATAATAATAATTATTATTATTATTATTAATAATAATAATAATAGTTGTTGTTATTGTTGATTCGTCCGTCCCTGCACTTGCCTTGTTAGCTGCCCACCCTGAGCCACCATAGGAGCATAGGAAGCTGCCTTGGACAGAGTCAGGCCTATCTGTCCCCATCTAACTCTGTATTGCCTACACTGACTGGCAGCAGTTCTCCAGGGTTTCAGCAGGGGGTATTTCATAGCCCATCCTGGAGATGCCCAGGATTGAAACTGGGACCTTCTGTGTGCAAAGCTGGTTCAAAGAGGAAGCTGCCTTGTACTGAACCAAACCATGGGCCATCTAGGTCAGTGTTGCCTACACTGACTGGCAGTGGCTCTCCAGGGCTTCAAACACGGAGTTTCCCAACCCTACTGGGAGACTCCAGGGATTGAACATGAATCTTTTGCATGCAAATCATGTGCTCTACTGTGCTCTTTCACCAGCTCTAATCACTCCCTGGCCAATCACTGGGCTGACTTTGCAACATGATGGTAGTAATTTTACAATCAAAGACACCACCCTAATAGGTAAAGGTAAAGGGACCCCTGACCATTAGGTCCAGTCGTGGCCAACTCTGGGGGTGCGGCGCTCATCTCGCTTTACTGGCCGAGGGAGCCGGCATACAGCTTCCGGGTCATGTGGCCAGCATGACTAAGCCGCTTCTGGCAAACCAGAGCAGCGCACGGAAACGCCGTTTACCTTCCCACTGGAGCGGTACCTATTTATCTACTTGCACTTTGATGTGCTTTCGAACTGCTAGGTTGGCAGGAGCAGGGACTGAGCAACAGGAGCTCACCCCGTCACGGGGATTCAAACCGCTGACCTTCTGATCGGCAAGCCCTAACCACAGATCCAACTTTGCAGCATGACGGTAGTAATTTTACAATAAAAGACACCACCCTAATACATGCGGATAATTCTGCTGCATTTTGTTACATGTAGAACAATGATATATTACAGTCATTGTCTACACGGACTGGCAGCAGCTCTTCAGGATTTTAGGCACGAGGGTCAGGACATTCCCATGACACAAGAAAAGTGACAATGATGGAAGAGAAGGTGGTAGGTAGTGTCTAATAACTCAATAACTCCTTGGTCTAATAACTCAATTTTTAAAAAATGAATCTTAGCTGCACCTATAGTCAATAAAACTGCTTTCTTTCTTTATTAAATGTCTTCTGTCTGTCTTGCCAAAGGATCCTAGTGTGGCAAACAACAAAGTGGCTAAAACAATAGTTTTTTAAAACAATGGCAATATAACAACAAAATCGTGAGATGGAGCTATATTGCTCCAATCAAAGCACACTCTTCCTGTTGTGTCACAGCAAGTAACTCATCCTCTTAATGCTTCCAGGATCGGCACGGCAGCACTGGCAGTCCAGGTGGTTGGCAGCAACTGGCCAAAGCCACATTACACTTTGCTGATAACGGGCCTCTGCAGGTTCCAGATTTTGCAACTGGTAAAGGAGAAGCCCTACCCTGTTGCTGACGTGGAACAGCTGGATCGGCTGGAACAGTTCACCAACAAGTCTACATCCGAGGAGGAACTGGGAGAGCTCTCAGAGCAGTTCTATAAATATGCATTGCAGGTTAGGTGGCTGGAAGTAGGAAATGCTGATCTATGGTGGCTGTTGAGCAAACTGCCCTGGGTGTTGAATGTTGATAAGCTGAAAGATTGTCTCACCCCCTTATATACCCAATCAATTACTCTACTCTGCAGGAGAGAGCCTCTTGCAGATACCATGTTATCAAAAGGTCTGTCTTTTCACAATCTGCGCCTGCCCTTTGGAATTCCCTCCTGTTAAATATTAGACCGATGCTGTCTCTGATGTTTTTTGGCTCCTGCTGAAGACCTTACTCTTCCAATTCGCCTTTTAGGTAGAGACGCTTCCCAGTCTTCATCTGTACCGGAATTGCTTTTAGATGTTTCAGTTGTTTTGTAATTTGTATGTTTGTCGCCCTGGGTTCCTTAGGGAGGAAGGGCAAGATAAAAACTTTGTACGTATTATGTTCTCATTTCATGTTTTTATGTTGTGAACCACCCTGTGATACTTGGCTGAAGGATAGTATAGAAATTTAATAAACAGCAGCAACAATTTTATTATTTGTATCCCGCCCGTCTGATTATAGAGGAAGGACTTGTAGTTCACTGGTGGACCACATGCATTGGGGGCCTGGTATCTCTAGTTAACAGCATTTCAGTCTCAGGTAGCAAGGACAGAACTAAGCAGGAGATCCATGAAAGCTGCTGCCAGCCAGAATGAATAGTATTTGTCTAGTATGTGTCTACTCTCCAACTATACAGTGGTGCCTCGCAAGACGAAATTAATTCGTTCCGCAAGTTTTTTCTTCTTGCGAGTTTTTCGTCTTGCGATGCACGGTTTCCCATAGGAATGCATTGAAAATCAATTAATGCGTTCCTAGGAAACCGACTTCAGACCAGGTCCGGGACAGTCTGTCCCCCGACCTCTTCTGAAGGCTGGGGGACAAGGGCTTTCTTCCCACTCCACCCCAGCATTTTAAAAACCCCGGGACAGCGGCGGGCTTCTCCGCTGTCCGGGGCGATCTTAAAATGCTGGCGGGCGGCATTTTAAAATTGCCCCGGGACAGCGGAGGACTTCTCCGCTGTCCGGGGCGATCTTAAAATGCTGGCGGGCGGCATTTTAAAATTGCCCCGGGACAGCGGAGGCCTTCTCCGCTGTCCGGGGCAATTTAAAGCTCCTGGGAAGGCAGGCAGGGGGACAAAGACTTTCGCCCCCGCCAGCCTTCAGAAGAGGTCCTGGACCTCTTCTGAAGGCTGGCGGGGGCGAAAGTCTTGTCCCCCCACCTGCCTTCAAAAGCTGTCCAGCCAAGGCTTCGCGGACCTCTCCGCAAGCAGCGGCAGCACTGCCGCTGCTTGCGGAGAGTTGCCGGCATGCCGAGCCTGCGCGCGCTGAGATCAGCGCGCCCAGGCTTCGCGGACCTCTCCGCGAGCCGCGGGAGCGCGGCCGCTGCTTGCGGAGAGTTGCCGGCATGCCGCTGCCTGCGCGCGCTGAGATCAGCGCGCCCAGGCTTCGCGGACCTCTCCGCGAGCAGCGGCAGCGCTGCCGCTGCTTGCGGAGAGTTGCCGGCATGCCGAGCCTGCGCGCGCTGAGATCAGCGCGCCCAGGCTTCGCGGACCTCTCCGCGAGCAGCGGCAGCGCTGCCGCTGCTTGCGGAGAGTTGCCGGCATGCCGAAGCCTGCGCGCGCTGAGATCAGCGCGCCCAGGCTTCGCGGGACCTCTCCGCGAGCAGCGGCAGCGCTGCCGCTGCTTGCGGAGAGTTGCCGGCATGCCGAAGCCTGCGCGCGCTGAGATCAGCGCGCCCAGGCTTCGCGGACCTCTCCGCCAGCAGCGGCAGCGCTGCCGCTGCTTGCGGAGAGTTGCCGGCATGCCGAGGCCTGCGCGCGCTGAGATCAGCGCGCCCAGGCTTCGCGGGACCTCTCCTGCCTTCAAAAGCCGTCCGGGATAGCGGGAAGCGCTTCCCTGCTATCCCGGACTGCTTTTAAAATGCTGGCGGTGGGGGGCAAAGCCTTCGGCCCCCGCCAGCCTTCCTGGACCTCTTCTGAAGGCCGGAGGGGGAAGGCTTTGCTCCCACCGCTAGCATTTAAAAGAGGTCCTCGGAGATTTCCCTATGGGCTTCGTCGTGCGACGCAAGCCCATAGGGAAATTCGTGTTGCGAAGCGCCTCCAAAACGGAAAACCCTTTCGTCTAGCGGGTTTTCCGTCTTGCGAGGCGTTCGTCTTGCGGGGCACCACTGTAGTTGGATTTCTTCCTATACACATAAAAATGTAAGGTGTCATCATGTTTATGAGGCTGCCGGTAGGTGACCACACCAACTGTGGCAAGGGGGGAGAGACTTTGGTTGGGGGGGTGAGTGAGGTATAGAAGGAGGGTGCTTGGTCAGCTGTTGGGGATGGGCAAAGGGCGTAGGCTGAATTGGTGAGTAGAATAAGCAGGGGCAGTAACTTCTTGTTAATTATGCTTTTGATGATATTCAAAACCACCACTTCAGAAATTTCTAGTGGGCCCAACAAGCACCATTTTTGCTTTTGCAAAGTTCTCTACAAAAAAAAGGCCTTAACAGGAAGAGGGACTCATGTGGTGGCTGTTTAAGAAGTGATAGGAAAATTCAGTCCAACTGATTCCTTGTGTGGTATGTGGCGACTTACCTCATCCCCCATGCTGTTAAGGTTCTCGTTAGTCCTTTGCTGGGAATCCTTTTGGACACCTAAGGGCTTGCCTACCTGATAATTAGAAACAGAGGTTTGTGTCTCTTTGTTTTGCTGATCCTTTTGGACTCAGCAAAGGAGCACATAAGCTAAGTGCTTCCATACATGGTTTTAAGATGTGGTTCATGCTGGCAGGGCTATAGGGCTTGCTGCAAGCTACTGCTTGCCCTGAGTAATAGATGTGCATGTTATGCAAAGCGAATGAACTCCTGAGGATAATTGCATCAGAAAGACAGTCAAATTGTACAGCAAAAAAGCCCCTCAAGCTCTTCTTGAGTCAGCAGTGCTGACAGACTTCTTGATGCCAATCATCCTTCTTTGTTCAGGTAGATCCATGAAGGAGATTTGCCTGAAGACAAATGGTTTTTTAAACTGCTGCAATTGAGAAAGTTTCAGACAGATTCCTTTCTGAGCTGTGTAATGGTACAGGTTTGTGCAGCTTATCCAAAATGATATCTGTTCTGAAAATTCACTATACGTTTTTTTCTTTCTTTCTATGACGAAGCTGGTTGAGATGCTGGATATGTCAATCCCTGCAGTGGCTAAACTGAGACGCCTGTTAGACAACCTGCCTAGGGAAGCTTTACCAGATATATTAACCTCCATCATCCGCACCAGCAACCAGGAGAAGCTTCAGGTAGGGTGTGCTGCCTTTGCACAGACTGAACAAAGAAAAAGAGTGTCTCCTGTTCTAGCCAACTCTGCTCAGTTTCCAAGTGTTCCATCTATCAAAAGGATGAAGCAAGAGTATGCTGGCACAGAAATAAATGCCTCGAGCCCTTTGCCATAAATAAAAAAAATGTATAAACCATCACAATGTGTAGCTTTGGTGATAAAGTGGTATACGTCTACATCCTGAAAACCACACTGTTCTCATACATTTTGACATGGAACATCCGTTCTAAACTTATGTCTTTGGCAAACACTCCCTCTTCTTAGTATTGTGGGCCCAATTCTATGGAAATCCCAGCTGAGGCCAGACAGGCTCTCTCCCTACTGAACTTCCAGTGCCTATTGAATGTTTTTTCTTATTCCTGCAGGCATTTTAAATTGTAGTGTGATCTTACAGTTTTAACTGATTTATATTTTTGTGTTGTAAACCATTTAGAGACAATTGGAGTTAAGCAATGCATTGTTTATAAAGAAATAAAAGTGGATTTGTTCTGTACATTAAGTATAGCGCATTCCTTTTGGGGTCATGGGTTATAGGTTTTTCTGCTTCTTTAGGGGAAGTCTGGCTACCCTACTGCTAGGAATGGCAAATATGTAAAGTGCACGCGGAAGGCCCCAGGTTCAATCTCCAGGTAAAGCAGGGGAACATGTGGGCCTCCAGGTGTCTCTGGACTAGTAATGCCCATCAGCCCCAGCCAGTATAGCCAATAGGAAGGGATTATGGGAGCAGTCCAGCAACCTCTGGAGAGCCACAGGTCCCCCAGCCCTGCACTAGGCAGACACACAGTGGCTAAACTCAGAGATACATATGAGATTAAAAACAGAATCAGCAGACAGGACAGGTTTTCATTTCAGCATCTCCATATTACAACGTAGCTTCCTTGCTCCTTTATCCCCTTGCAAGCATTCCGATACGTTCCTTGAAGCTAACCACCTGTTGATTTTTCCATACAGCGGCACTGACACATTTCAGATAGAGCAAATGTATTTTGTGGGAGAGAGTCTGGAAACTGTAGTAGGTGAGGAAAAACACCTAATATGTTGTGCCTTTCTGTTAGATTTTAGATGCTGTTGGGCTGGAGGAACGGTTCAAGATGACCATACCATTGCTTGTTAGGCAGATTGAAGGCTTGAAACTACTTCAGAAAACTAGAAAATCCAAACAGGATGATGACAAAAGGGTAATCTCTCAATTATTATAATTAAATAATGTGTTTTAAGGCCTTTGTATGGAGGCTGACATAATGTTAGAGTAGGTGATAAAGACAAAAGCATTATAAAATGTATTTTATGAAATATTTATTTATTTTCCATCGGCATTTATCAGCTGGTCCCAGGGTGGCTTACGTACACTTGAATATAAAGCCATGTGATTTTTATCAGATCACTAAGCCAGCAGTTAAAAAACATCCTTAAATAGCAACAATTTTAGCAGTTAAATTTTAGCAGGTCATTATTATGGTTTTTACTGATTTTCCCAATGATGATTTTTGTTTTATTTTATTATTGTGTGGACTGTTTTAATATTTATTTTTGTGAATGAAAAATGGTATAGAAATCTTTTAATAAAGTTAATGAATGAATTGGGTAAGTGGTTGCTTAGTGCAGTAGCCACAAGCTCACACAGAGAAAGTTCCTGCTATTGTTGAGCCTTTCAAACTTTGTAGGTTGTAGCGATACGTCCCATTCGAAGGATCACCCACTTTCCAGGCACTGCTGAAGACGAGGAGGAGGATGAAGACCACAACGATATTGTTATCCTTGAAAAGAAAATTCGAACCTCCAGTATGCCTGAGCAGGCTCTAAAAGTGTGTGTAAAAGAGGTTAAGAGGTAGGTAGTTTATTTAGATACTGAAACTCTCAGTTTGTAACGTTTTAAAATCTGATTTTAAAATCTGTTTTACAATCTTTGAAGCTATTACTTGACTTCTCATGTTTTCTGTATTCTTGAATACCACACTTTTAATACGTCGTAATCCAGCCTTCCGAAGCCAGTGCCCTCCAGCTGTTTCAGACACCAGTTTCCATCCACCCCAGCCAGTGTGGCCCAGGTTCATGGTTTACAGATGTTGTAGTCCAAATCATCTGGAGGGAACCACACATATGGCTGATAAATTATACTTGAGAGAAGAGGCAAAATCATGGGAACACAAAGTGAATCAGGGGATGAATCCAGTAACTGTGGCTTTAAAAACAGTTAAACATGTGCAGCACAGTTGCAAGTGAAGCTTAGCATGTTCAGATTACTTGCTAGGATTTTAAAATACAGAACTGATGAGCACACATCTTTAGGAACAAATATGCTTAAATTACACATTTCAGTTTTATCTGTTCTTCTAGATTAAAGAAAATGCCTCAGTCAATGCCAGAATATGCCTTAACTAGAAATTACTTGGAACTGATGGTGGAACTGCCATGGAGCAAAAGTACAAAAGGTAAAGGGAGTCTTCTATGCTTCTGTAGACTATGGCTACTACAAATTGTTTGAAAAATGCAAAGGGAAGGAATATTGGTGGTGTTACCAGGGTTATACGTTATTGTGGCTATTTGACCAGCAGAGACGCTTAAGCTTGGCGTTTAAACACAATTAACATTTGGTCAACAGATCGCCTGGATATCCGTGCAGCCAGAATTCTTCTGGACAATGACCATTACGCTATGGAGAAGTTGAAGAAGAGGGTGTTGGAGTATTTGGCAGTCAGACAGCTTAAGAACAACTTGAAGGGCCCGATCCTTTGCTTTGTGGGGCCTCCTGGGGTTGGAAAAACTAGTGTGGGAAGATCCGTGGCAAAGACTTTGGGCCGAGAGTTCCACCGAATCGCCCTCGGTGGAGTGTGTGACCAGTCTGATATCCGAGGACACAGGTATCTTTAGTGCTCCGTTTGCGAAGTGGTGATTTACAAACCGTAGATGAGTTTTCAGCTTGTTCCCAGCTCTGCCACCCCACCCCACCCCTTTTTATTACCTTGACATCATTGTTGTCTTCCCAATGGGGAAAGACACACTGCAACTCATGCATTACAAACAGCCCCTTCTCCAACCTGGTACCCTCAAGGTGTTTTGGACTATAACTTTCATTAGCCCCAGCCAGCACCACTCTGCTAGCTGGGGCTGATGGGAGTTGTAGTCCAAAGCATCTGGCTCAGGTTATGGAAGTCTGCTTTGCTACATACATCTCCCCCCCCCCCCCCAGGGAGCAGTCTCTGCAGCAGGGGAAAAATTAACGGTCAGCATCCTTAAATTCTGCTACAAATGGTCTTAATTTATAGTGCAGTCCTATGCAAGTTTCGAAAGCAGTTCGAAAGCACTTAAGTGCAAGTAGATAAATAGGTACCGCTTTATAGCGGGAAGGTAAACGGCGTTTCCGTGTGCTGCACTGGTGTAGGCTCGCCAGAGCAGCTTCGTCACCCTGGCCACGTGACCCGGAAGGGTCTCCGGACAGCGCTGGCCCCTGGCCTCTTAAGCGAGATGGGCGCGCAACCTCAGAGTTGGTCACGACTGGCCCGTACGGGCAGGGGTACCTTTACCTTTATGCAAGTTTACTCACAGAAGCAAGCCACACTGTTTTCAGTCGGAGTTTTCCTCTAGTGGGTGTGTTTAAGACTGCAGCCTTAGGTAAGTTTTGTTGAACTCAACTGGATTTACTTCTGAGTAGATACACATAGGATTGTGCTGTTAATTTCCTTTTGTAGAAATGGGGAACAATTTTAATTGGGAGGCTGAAAATGAATCTTAAATGTCTCAGGAGGGTTGGGTGTTTCTTTACATGTAAATATAGATGCAGATAATGTTATTTATTTATAGTGGGGTACACAAAGGCAGTATTCAAAAACAGCATCTGTTCATCCTATTTAATCTTTGGAAGTTGCGCCTCATTTGATATATTGTATCCCACCCTCACTGGGAGACTTTGGTATGCACTTGTCCGGAGTCAGTGTTCAGAAGTGACTGGCGATTGTGACGAAACTGAATTCAGGAGTGTATGGAAAGGTGGGTGAGATACTTGGAAGTGAGTCCTGCCACCGAAACAAACAAATGATAGCCAACTAGTCAGATGGGTTTTGACAGATTGATTCAATTTAAATATGCATGTGACTAAAAAAACAGTTCTGAAAAGGAAATGGGCATAACTTTGTGTTTAAAACGCCTTTGTGCATGCATATGTTGCAGGAGGCCCTTCTCCGAAGAGGCATCCCCTTTTGTGGGTGACATTGAAGGGTGGGTGCCTCTTCTAAGATGGTTCCCTTCCACCTGCAGTTTATAGAACATGGCTGGGCAAACTAAGGCCCAGGGGCTGGATCCGGCCCAATCGCCTTCTAAATCCACCCCATGGATGGCCCGGGAATCAGCATGTTTTTACATGAGAATATGTCCTTTTATTTAAAATGCATCTTTGGGTTATTTGTGGGGCCTGCCTGGTGTTTTTACATGAGTAGAATGTGTGCTTTTATTTAAAATGCATCTCTGGGTTATTTGTGGAGCATACGAATTCGTTCATTCCCCCCCCCCAAAAAAATATAGTCTGGCCCCCCGCAAGGTCTGAGGGACAGTGGACCTGCCCCCTGCTGAAAAAGTTTGCTGATCCCTGTTATAGAACTCCCTTTCTTTAAAAAAACAGTGTTGATGGCAATGATGATGATTTATATATTGCCTTTCATTTCAAAAATAAATACCAATGTGGTTCCAGGATTATGGAGAGCCCTGAAGAAGGCTAGGCAGGAACCAGCTTTAGGACCAAGTTGTAGTGGCTAGTAGTAGAGGAATATACCCTCAGGGTGTTTGGTAATGGGCCATTAAGAAACCATCAAGCAAAAAAGAATAGCGGAAACATATTTGCTACAGGAGATTTGAAGGTGGTGATTGACTGTCTGCAACAAGTTGAGACAACTGCCATTCTGTACTTTGTTGGAATGGGACACTTCAAATGAACAAATAAAATTTAGGGCTTTGCCAAAGTTGCCTAGCAAATTGAGATTTATGTTCAAGAAAATGATTTGGGAAAGCATACATCAAAATGTGTTCTTCCTGTTTAGTCATATATCTGGGGCCTGTTAGAATACAAATTCCTGAATTTACTGTGGGTAGTTTCTTGGGAAATGGTGTGTTTATGCAACATGAAAAGGCAAATTTTACCAAGCAATGGAAGGTCCTTAGTCCTTCCCCACATAGACTTTCAAAATGGCACTGTAGGCAGTCCTGCATACATTTTTGTGCAGTTTTCATGACCTGGCCCACCTGCTTTTTCCATGCATCTAAATCAAGACACCAAGACAGAACATCCTCCAGGTGATTGCAAATCACTCCGCTTCAAGTTAGCTTTGTTAGGCTCTTTTCACAGCTTCCACCACCTGTTATAATTGGATTAATACAATAAGCCCAGACAACACAATTAGTCATTGCAGCCTCCTGTGTGTGTTTGAGGAGGCCTCCTGCACAATCTGGGCATTGTGGAATATACTTTGATGTTTCTAGACGTCCAAATACAGCATATTCCTTAGCATGCTAAACATGGGAGTGGCCAAACGTCCCCCCCTTAAGGGACTGACTTGCTGTTGTTACATATATCAAGCACTAAATCTAGGTGATATGATGTTCTCATCCCATGTTGGCCATTGATGTGGGGCTGAAGCAGGCAAACCTTAGAATTTATCTCTCTCTGCTGTTGACAGTGCTCTACCAAAGTGGTAACAGCATGCTGCTGTTCACGTGGAAACCACTAGAGGTTGTCCAATGTTTAGGAAGTGTGAAGGGAACATATTTTTATGAAGAGAGTGGCAGCTTGGACTTCCAGCTGAAGCCTGCTAGTTTCAGAACACATGCTAGCAAAGTTTTAAAAGAGCACAGTGCAATAAATAGCTCTCCACCTTTGTGTCCCCACAAAGGACTTGTGGCTCTTTCTGGGAGTTCTCTTTCCCCACATCCACATGTATCCTTTTGGGTTTCGTTAAGCCCCCTTAAAAAAAATGTTCAGCTTTAAGAGCAGCAAACAATTTTGAGTCTGCTGTTGGGGGATGGCAGGAGAAGACTTTGTTGCTTCACTGTGCACCATTGATCTCTTCACAGCAGTCTCTGGCTTGTGACCCAGTGCTCTGACAGCACCAGAATTCCTCTTTAGAACCGAGTTTGATAAGCAGCAAGACCAGCTGATACCCTTGACTTGTTTTTGTTATGTGTGTCACTCCTGCGCAAAGCTAGCCTCTAGGAAAACTCAGCTGATTCTGCCAAAAGTGAAAGAAGAGTTGCCAGAGGCATGCCGGGGTGTTGTATTTGGGGAAGGACTTGTAGCTCAGTGTTAGAGGAGATGCTTTGCATGCAGATGATCCAGGTTCAGTCCGCGGCATCTGTTTGGAACCCTGGAGAGAAGTTTACATGTTTAGGAGCTGAGCTAGGTGTATCCGTGTACTGAGCTAAGTGCACCAGTGATCTGACACCAGCATAAGCCAGATTGCTGGAAGTGTTGGGATAGTTCTCAAGCAAAGCTGGGTTGAAATCTGTACTCAGCTGTGAAGTTCACTATGTGGCCTTGGGAAAATTACTCTCAGCTTCAATTATTTCTCAGGATTATTATGGGGATAAAATGGAGGGGCTGGGAAGAAATCATGCACATTGCCCTAAATTTCTTGGAGAAAAGGTGGGATATAAACAAAATAAATAAAGTAAAAACAAAGTGTTTATTCCCTCATCCGCTAATGAAGACATGATATCTGCTTGCTTTCTCCTTGCTCTCCCTCTTTTGTGTAAAAGATAGGTTGGATCTTCACTGAGTTAGCATTTTTGATGAGGGCTATTCCTAAATCTGCACTGTGAACAACAGTATCAACAAGGAAATGAGAGCTCTTTATAGCATTGTGTTGCACAGAAGTTGTGTGTGTGTTTTTTTTAAGTACCATCTCATGTGATATTCAGATATGGGAAGAAGGGAACACCCAGAACTTGCCATGTAAGGGCAGCTCACGTGCTTAGAGTTTGCCGTGCATGTGAATCTGCCTTCCATTTGGGCTCCGAGGATTCACTACTGTTTTCCATTCTGCAAACAAAGTTAGTCTCGTAATAGAGAACCCAAACTGACACTTTCCAGCTGTCCTTTGCTTTTGCTGGGCAGCTGTTCCGTGCTTGTGTGTGAAAAGTTTGCCCCATCATGTTAGAGACCAAGCTTATTTGGGAAAATAGAACTGGCGACAGCTTCAGAATTTCTGCTTCATTCTTAGCATATATCTTCCTTCTTTAAAAAGAAATACTCTGGGGGCAGATTCAGAGGCTTTGGAAGAAAGCCACACAGTCAGGCATCTCCTTATTTGGCTGGGTAAAAGTGAAATCAGCATAGGTTAATTAAGATACGGATCAAGTCCACTGTGCCAATATATTAAGACTCCTTATTTAAATTTCTGATTCAACAAATCAGCTTTGTATAAAGGTAGAAGATACATTTTTATCCCACCCTGCCTCTAAGGAGACCTCTTACAAAATTGTTATTTCCCCTTCCTAAATGGTTATCATCGTAACAATCCTGCAAAGTAATTTACACCGAGAGACAGAGAGCCTATGTGTCTGGCCCAAGGTAACCCATGGTTTAGCAAGGACTTTAACCCAGATCTCCCTGGTCAGGGTCCAACCCTGTGTCCACTGCATCCTGCTGACTTTCCAGGAACACAGTTCTATTGATGTTAAGCACTTTGAAGTCCCATTGATTTTTTATGTTTTGTGGAACTGACTTAAGGGAGCAAATTCCTTTGAACTTGTGTGTGCTAAAGTTGTTCTGTGAATGACTGCCAATGGGCCCACTGTTCATCTGTCTTCCGCCCACCCCCTGTACACCCCCTTTAGGCCTACCCAACCTTCTCGCTTTTCATGGTGCAGATATTTCCAAGGCATTTGTTATTTTTAAAAGCTGCAATAGGCAGCAGCAATACGTGAATAGTGATCAGGATCCTTCCCACTGGGTGGTTGATGGTAGACCTGTCCTGTGATGGGGAGGGGAGCTGTCCAGCTGGAGCAGACTCTCAGGCTGGCTTCGTTTGTCTCACCCCCCAACCCTTTTTACTTGTAGTTCACCGTGATGTCCAAATCAAGCAAGCTACAGAGAGTTTCTCTACAAACCAGAAACTGAAAACAGTAATTTGAAGTGGGTTTTCAGATTTGGTTTGGTGGTAAATAATAGCTGTATCCATACTTTCCCCAGTTTGGATGCCCTGGCAAATGGTGTTTACCACTAACCAGGAAACGGAGCAGGGAATTGGTATGGAGACAAATGGAGAGAATGAACCCCCAGCACATTCCTACAAACCAAACCCTGCTTTAGTCATAACATCTGATTCAGGCCAATGTAGTGCTTTAATATGGCTAGAGTAGTACCAGTCCTCAAGATTAGGATAATTACAGGCATAGAGAGAGAGAGAGAGCTGATGCCATCCATTTATGGAGATCTCTTGCAAATAAGAGTGTCATTACAGGCTACTGAGTCTAATTCTGATTACTATTGTTTTCCAGATCAAAGAATTCCCACCTCCATGCAGAAGCAGAAACTAAATGATTCTGCTTTGAGCTTAGAAACTTGCTCACAGTTTGTTCCTTTAAATTGTCTAAATGTATTAAATACTTTTATTTATTTTGGAGAGACAGTGGAAATATTAGAGTTTGGATGCAGTGTGGGTGAACAGTTTATTTTTTCACTGGGAATAGTACCAACATAAAGATTCCAAGCAAAGGTTTTTGGTGTGTGTGTGGTTGTAAACAGCCAGGCCAGTGCAGAAAGAAACCTATTTCCTTATTGCTTGACATTTTCCAGGACTCACCATGGCAAGGGAGCTGGTGGGAGGAGGGAGGAGGCAGAGCACTGAGAATCCAGGGCCCGAGGGAAGGGTGAGTGAAGAAGTCATGGGGATCATGCCTCTGCCCCCTTGGTTTCAACGCTGGAGGCTGAAGCTTCTCTCCAGCTACTTGATATTCAGGCGAAATGTTTTGCTGATTAAGGGCCTTTCCCTAACCATGCTCCACGAATGCCATTTAAAAACTTTTGATTCATAGATGCCTTGAGCAGTATCTGGGCAGTAGGAGGAGGAGAATCATCAAAGGCACCGCGGTATCATGTAAAACTCCTGGAGGGTTGTGTGACACTGGCTAATTTAGCAGCGATGAATTTGAAATAGAAGGACTAGGTGCAGAGCTTGCCGTGTGCCTGCTCACCTGGGGCTAGTAGCAGGGGCGTCCCTCCTTTCAACTCTGCCCCTCCCTTGTTTTGGATTTCTACACCCACTGTTGGCTCCTCCCTGCAGGCACAGCTTCCACTTTTTCTGTTGGCGCACATCCAAACCAGGAAATATGGTTCATGGCTTCTAAAAGATCCCAAATGGGAAACCATAGTTTGAAGTTGGCTTCCAGGTTTCATTGGAAGCCATTAAACACCCTTCTCAAGCCAGACATAACAGGGCAGCTCACTGTGACTTCCTGCCATTTGTTTCCCTATTTGTTCAAAAGGTGTAGGGAGCCATATGCATGTGTGTGTCTGAAGCTTCTTTGTATTTTGGCTTTGGTTGATTTTAAACATCAGAACACAGCCAATATCTAAATCAGCCTTCTGCAACCTAGAGCCCTCCAGACGGACTGCAGCTCCCATCAACTCCAACCAGTATGGCTAATGGTTGGGGACGAAGGAGAGCAACAGGTTGCAGAAGGCTGATGATTAGCTGATTGGGGTTTTTTGGGTGACTTTGGAAAGAGAACATAAAACAATTTGCTTCCAGTTTGCTGTTCCGTATTTCAACCTCATCCCTTGCTCCCCACAAGGCGCACCTACGTTGGCAGCATGCCTGGGAGGATCATCAATGGCTTGAAGACTGTTGGGGTTAACAATCCAGTGTTCCTGCTCGATGAGGTTGACAAGCTTGGAAAGAGCCTGCAGGGGGATCCTGCGGCTGCTTTGCTTGAGGTAAGAAGTGAAACAAGCTCCTTCTCTGTTGCATGTAGCTCACCTTTTTCTTCAGATCAGCTGTCTAATTCTGAGCTTGACAAATGGAGATATCATTTTTCCTGATCACAGTGTAGGGCTTTTGGAGATGGAAATAACACTGGACAAAAAAATAAGAAAGCCAATTCCATTTGTGTATGTGGAGCCATCAGTTGCTTAATAACTGTGGTATTTGATGATTAAGAGCATAAGAAGAGCCCTCCTGGATCAGACCAAAGTCTGTCTAGCTCAGCATCTTGTTTTCCCCTCAGTTACCAACTACAGTGGTACCTCGGGTTAAGTACTTAATTCTTTCGGGAGGTCTGTTCTTAACCTGAAACTATTCTTAACCTGAAGCACCACTTTAGCTAATGGGACCTCCTGCTGCTGCCGCGCCGCCAGAACACAATTTCTGTTCTCATCCTGAAGTAAAGTTCTTAACCTGAGGTACTATTTCTGGGTTAGTGGAGTCTGTAACCTGAAGCGTATGGAACCTGAAGCATATGTAACCTGAGGTCCCACTGTAGATGCATTAGCAGGGAGTGAACAAGAACCATCTCATGTTGTTTTGTCCCCAGGTTCTGGTAGTCATAAAACTGTTGTATTAACAACTGGGGATTTGTGTGCTTCTGCATCAAAAACTAAAGTAGTGACTTGCTTTTTGACAGCATATTAATCTGAATGTTTGATATGGGCTTCAGATCCAGGGTAAAGGGAAACTCCGGTTAGCCCCATTGCTGTTAACATCAGGAGTCAATGGCTTAACTACCATTAAGGGGGTGGGGGTGGAGATTTGCTCCAGGTAAAGGGGGGTGCTGTAGGGACAGGGGCATATAGTCAGGTCACATCTTAATGTGCATAAACTTACTGAGACCTCTGGGTATGGGGTGGCATATAAATTCAATTTTTTAAAAAATAATAATACACAATTTCAACTGTATGCCCTTGGCTGCATCTCCATTCCAGGATCTATTCCAGCCATTTTGATCTGCCATGCTTTCTCTCTCTGCCCTTCTCCGTCCTCCTCCCTTGCAGGTGGAGGAGTGAGGAGCGGCAGTGGGTACACCAGGAAAGGGTGTCCCAGTGGAGCTTGCCAGACAGTAACCAGCCATGAAAAGGTCATTTTGGCAATACACAATTTTCACATAGGCATGCTACCCTTGGAACATAACCCCATCATATGAGGCGACTCGACTGTGTTCTTGAGGCTGGTTTCCAGTCCTTTAACCAAGTTTAACATGAAGCCAGTGTTGCATCCATATGTTGGGCCCTGTGTGTTTGAAGAGCTATTGAAAGTAAATTGGCTGCTTTGTTTCGATATTTTTGTGTGTGTGTGTGTGTGTGTGTGTGTGTTATGATGATATCAGAGATACTTTCTGGCATGTTGAGATTGGTAGCTATTTTGGAGCACTGAGATAAGAAAACAACAACACAAGGGAGAGTCCTTGGGCAGCTGCTGGATCCTTCATCTGATTGCCATGGGACTAGCTGACATTCTTACAAAAAAGGCATTTTTATTTATAACATGCAACAACAGGAAGGAAGTCAGGCAGAACGATCCGGCTCCATTTGCAGAATGGCAAATGCTTTGCCGTGGCAGAGGCTGTGCAAAGGAATTTGTCTTCATATAGTATGGAGGATCCCCAAGTGCTGTTCCTGCATTGTACTAGTACTGTGGCAAAACTCTTGTTTTTTAGTGTGACTGAAGACAAGAGAAGGCCGGCTTTGTGTAACCTGGGGTTGCTACCTAGCTTTGGATAATTGCAGTTAGTTTGATTGTGAATGAAACGATTCTATGACTACAATCTCAAGGCATCCCTGAGTTTCTTTTATCCTTAAAGCTTCCCAGGGCAGGTTAACATGGGCTGCGCCTGGCGTTGGGGAAACTTGTGACCCTCCAGATCTTGCTGGACTGCAACTCCCATCAATGTTCTTACTGGTGCTGATGGGAGATGGAGTCCACCATCAGCTCAAAGTTCCCTGCCTCAGGCTGGGCCATTCCTTAAATTGTGCTGAAATATTTCTCACTGAGGAACAAATTCGTATTCTAGGGCTGAAGAAATGTTTTGTTTTGTAGACACCAGCATTGAACAAGATCCCCCAGATATGTTGGCACCAGCATTGCCTGGGGCTCCTTTTTTTTCAACCCTCTGTGATAAAACTGAAAGGACTTATGGTCCTTCCCAAATATTCCCTGCCCTATACACTGGAGGGAGAAAGACCCAGTTTGTCCATTGCTGGGTAAGGTTGGTAGTTCAGATGGTGGGACTGAGGTGCCGTGTTGCTTGAGCAAAGCAGAACGTCTTCCTATTTCCAGTTACTGTCCATCAACAAGAGAACATTTGTTCTATATTTGGATGACCCCACTGAAGGTCGGAGTAGACAGAAAAGGTTCCAAGTGTGTCTCGATGGAAAACCTTGGTAGGCAGATATGAAGCAAAAAGCAAGTGGGCAGGCCACTAAGTGTTCTTGGGGTTTTTATGTATGTTGTGGAAATGAAGGAGCTTAATTAAAATAGTAATAATAATTTATTTAAAAACTTTAGAAACCACTCTTCCATAAAAGTGCAAAGGTCAGTATACAAAGAAATTTAAAGTTACAAAAACATTATAACACAAACCAATGGTACAGTGAAATCAAAACCATTCAACCAGCTAAAGATAAGGTAAAGGTAAAGGTAAAGGTACCCCTGCCCGTACGGGCCAGTCTTGACAGACTCTAGGGTTGTGCGCTCATCTCACTCTAGAGGCCGGGAGCCAGCGCTGTCCGCAGACACTTCCGGGTCACGTGGGAAAGATAAGGTAATACAAAATGCCTAAGCAAATATAAACATTTAACCTGGTGCTGAAAAGAATACAGGGTCAATGCCGGGCATATCTTCCTCTGGAAAGCATTCCGCAATCAGGCGATCCCCAGAGAAAATATCTTTTTCCTTTGCACATAATGTACTTCCCCTAACAATGTAATACAGAAGAGGTTTTTAATACATAAAAACTCTCCCCTTCACCCTTACTATGTATGCTCTTAAGGGACGCGGGTGGCGCTGTGGGTTAAACCACAGAGCCTAGGGCTTGCCGATCAGAAGGTCGGCGGTTCAAATCCCCGCGACGGGGTGAGCTCCCGTTGCTCGGTCCCTGCTCCTGCCAACCTAGCAGTTCGAAAGCACATCAAAGTGCAAGTAGATAAATAGGTACCACTCCGGCGGGAAGGTAAACGGCGTTTCCGTGTGCTGCTCTGGTTTGCCAGAAGCGGCTTAGTCATGCTGGCCACATGACCCAGAAGCTGTACACCGGCTCCCTTGGCCAGTAAAGCGAGATGAGCGCCGCAACCCCAGAGTCGGCCACGACTGGGCCTAATGGTCAGGGGTCTCATTACCATTACCATGTATGCTCTTCTTTTTGGTGCTTTTGATCATTTTACATTTTAATCTTCACCAGATATGGTAAGTTTTGTTTATTGACCAAACTGTTGACCGAAACCCCAAGGCAACTCACAGCAATGTACAGAACCCTAGAGTTGCAGGGGTGGAAGGAACCCCAAGGTAATCTAGTCCAACCTCCTCCAGTGCATCTGTTGCAGTGCAAACAATATCTAGGCTGCCACAAACACTCTACCCTTGGCCAAATGACATAAGATAAAAAATGCCACCAAAGGCCTGACGGAATAATGTTTGATGTTTTATCACCAAAGAAGGGTCATCCAGGCATCTTGCAGCAGTTAATACCAGAGCCTGGGGCCATATTGGTGGAGGCCCTTGCATCAGGACTGGGATGTAGAGCAGGGCTTCCATCCACCAAGGACTGAAGTGTGCAAGCTTTGGTTTCAAATGAGGACATGAAGAGGTTAAGCAATGCCAACAGATGTCTGTCGGAGCTGCCTATTGCTTTCATACGACAGATGGGCTACCTGCTTTAAATGATGAGCCTTCCCAGTCTTACCTGTTGAAATCCAAGCACCATTTTCATAATTAATCCCCCACCCTCTCCTCCACCAGTCATCAGTGAATGTAACAAGCCTTTTCTGTTAAGCAGGCTGTAGACATTCCTTATAGCTTTATCTCTGATTTCAAAATGGGTCAGCGGCAGCACAAGAAAGAAGAAACTCCCTTAGTAGAAGCTTCCACACTATTTTAGATTCACGTGGGGTTAAAGGTCCCCGCCCCCACTCACTCTCTCACTCATATTTACCTCATTCTTCAATATATATATTTTAAGTTTCAGCAATGAAAGCTAAGTGAGATGGCTTTCTATTCTTGACAAATGTTCAAACTCTCTGTGTGTACGTGTGATATATAATTTTAATTAGCAGCACTCTTCTGGGTCCATAAGTCAAGTCGCTAAAGCAAAAGGGATGTATTCATTCCATAATGGAAAAGATAAATTATCTTGACAGCAGCATGCAATTGCTTGGGCATCACAGAGGTCCTGTCATGTGTTATGTGAGAACTTTTCATGTCAAAGCCACATTGATAATTTATCAAGCGCCAAGCAAGAGCTCTAGAGTTCAAGGGAAGGGTGGTAGAAGAAAGGTGCTAGCTGAGTGTGATGTTGCCGACAGGTGTGGATCACAGAATTCTATGAAGAGGAGTGAAGGTGACTAAGGAAGGGGAGTTGTGTTGCCTTTCGATACCTAGGAAACCACAAATATCAAGGTTTATATAACAAGAGCTTCATTGTATGATCCTCTGTCTGCCCTTAATTTTAGATAGCGTGTATGTTAAGGGGAATGCAAGTTGAGTAGTTAATGTGCACAACAACCAGTCGCTGTGCCCATTCACCAGCCCTCATGGAGAATATGCATATAATCCTTCCATGAAGAGGGAAACATGCACATTTCCCCATCTGTATACATAATCTCCAGCAGGCCTTGGGAAATGTGTATCTATCAATTGAATTCTGTACATTTTCCAGCTATGGAATAGCCTCGAGGAATGTGCATATCTCAGCTGAATTTTGTACATTCTCTGGGTAACATGCAAATATTCTCCAGTCAATATGCATAGTCTCCACAAAACATGTTTCCCCACTCTGCATTTCTTGTTCAGAAATTGTGCAGCATACACCCCCTGGGCTGGTTCTGACCCACTGCTCAATCTTACATTGCCAACAACCTACCCTGTCATTGATCAGCCAAGCAGCAGGAAGGGGCAGGAAGGGAGGCCTCCAGATAAATATTAACTTTGTTTTGCTCTTCCGTACTGTTATTAATCTTCAGAAAATTGCCAGCCTGTGCCAGAAATGGCAATGGGTGGGATCAGAGGTACTTCACACTCCTTCTTCCCCAGCCCTCTTCCCTGCTGAGTAACTCTTCCTCAACATCACATTGTCCTTTCTGTACTGGTCTTTCATCAGTTATAGGAGAGTACTGTAGAACTGCCTTCCATTCAAATGCACTATCATATAGTAAAACTAGACTATGCAAGTATCTCACTCACTGAATTAGGTTTGCACACGCAAGCGACTTTCCTTATTTTTTAGGGCAAGAAACTAAAATCAGTTTTCCTTTGAAGCCTTATCTTAATATACAGCCCAGTGTATACGGCATGGACCAACTCAAGGGTTGTCCAACCCGCTCCGAGGCATACAAAAATTAGTGAGTCTTTGTTTTGGTGAAATGGAGGGTGCTTGACTTCAGACATGCTGGAACTCTGCTTCAGCCACACCCACAAATTAAATCCCCCTCCCTCATTACATTAATTACAGGATTTTCTTTTCTATGCACTGCATGTTCACTTTGAGTGCCAGCCCTACTCCTTCAAGTTAGAATGTTGTTTTGGAATGTAATGGATACTGCAGGCTGCTTTCTGGAAAGCTGTGCTGCTTTTTAGGAAACGGATCTCATTTTAAAGATGACTGGTGCCATGCACCTCCATAAAGACAGTTTGTTTCCTTCATTCAGCATCATTCTGCTGTTTCCTCTGTACTACATTAGTTGGGCTTTTGCCTTCTGCTTTAACTGATGCTTCTGGCAGCAACTCAGGAAAGCAAAAGAAAGCTTGGAAATGATTAAGAAGTTCCTTTTTGCAAACACTGTGAAGAGCAGCAGTGCCTTATGAATAGATTTAACGTTTTATTTCAAGTTTTTGTCATCCACCTGCCCTTAGGTGGGCATAAGCAGTTGCAGAAGCATGTACGGTAGTGTTTTATCTTGGTGCCCCAAAGGCTGGGATTCTTAGGGCAGTTCTGCACAATACCTGACATGAGGTGGTAAAATGACGCGGTAGTATTCTGAGTGGTATCCACTCTGATTACAGGTATATTTTGTGTGTGTGTGGATTGCTCATAATTTTGGATGCTCCTTTACAGAGAAAAACTCCTTATAGTCAACTTGCATCATAAGAGAACATAAGAAGAGCTATGCTGGATCTGGCCCAAGGCCTATCTAGTCCAGCCTTCTGTTCCCATAGTGGCCAGCCAGAAGTCTCTGGTAAACTCATAAGCAAAACATGAGCACAGTGTCACACTCTCTCCCATGTTTCCCAGCAATTGGTATTTAGATCCATGGCACCTCTTAATACTGAATGCAGTCCTCATGGTTAGTAGTAATTAACCAGAGAGAGAATTATGCAGGGAATCTCTGGCCCTCCTGGTGTGCTTGCTGGAGTTGATGGAAGTTGTAGCCTAGCATCATCCGAAGGGCCAAAGTTTCCCCACACCTATGCTAAAGCTTCTTCTCTGGTGTGTGAGTTTACCAAGTGCAGGTAATGTTTAATGTGGGAGAGCCTTTGAAAATGTAAACTTGTTGAGGCGTGTACTGAGTGCCCATTCAACACGCCAGTGGAGTGTGCCAATGGAACAGAAAAAAGCACCAGACAGTTTGGGTAGGGTCGGTTCCGTTACTGACAGTATAATGCACTTCCACAGCTTAGCAGTTACGTACTGGTGTAGTATACAGTCTTTACAGCAGTCTTTCCAGTCTCCTTGCAGTTTTCCAACACAGACTAGGCTCTGGCCAAAGGCAAAGGCCAAGAGCAAGCTTGCTTCAAACACAAGTATATTTATACTTTAGATTATGCTGAGTCACTCTCACATGCTTGCTGACTCACTCTCACATGCATAACTGGTTTAGGCTTGCCATATTTCGAAAGGTGGAAATCCGGACACAAAAGTTGTTGAGCAAAATCTCAAAAAAAGAGGATTTTTTTGAGCTGTTTTAACGGAAAGCTGCCAAAATCTACACTACCAACATGGGTTGCCATATGTCCGGATTTTCCCAGACATTTAAGCGATTCCCACCCAGGCGGTTTCCCACGGCCGAATCCTGGCTGTGTCTGGGAAATTCTGAGTGCATGGCAACCCTAAACTAGTTGCAGGTGCAGGACAAACACACCCTAAATTAACCAGCAAACCTAACTTTTACCTGTCCTTTTTCTCTGCATAAATAAGCCCTTATACATTAACAAAACTCTGCTCTCATCAGGAATGGTACAGAATTCCACTATCCCATTCTTCTAAAAAAAATTTAAAAACGTACTTAAATTGTATATCAGTGTTTTTAAACAAAAGGATCTACTTTTTAAAAAAAATTCCCTATCCTTGCCCTCTCACCAGCATATGCTCATTTACCTACCCAGCCTGAAGCTTATCCCTCCCTGCAGAAAGGATACGAGAGAGGGAAAAGAGAGATAAGGAAAGGTGGAGGGGAGAAAATAAGAGAGAAAAGCCTTGACTAACACGCATGTTGAAAACAGAGCCCAAATCACTGGGTTGCAGCAACGTTGAGACTGATCCAAACATTATAGTGCAAAGACTTCCAGAAAAGCAGGCTCACGTAACTTGCAATTTCTCAGATGCTGCTTTTCTTTAAGGTGCCTCAACACTTTTTCATGTTTGGGCTGCCGCAGACAACCACAACTACCCCTCTGGAAGTGGCGCTTCTCTTCAAAGCAATCTGCTAATTATTTGCAAGGTGCAGCATATCTTCCACGCAGGAGTCTTAGATTCCCAACATTGCCTGTGATGTGAAGGTCAGCTCTGAGAACGTGCCTAGAATTAAACGGGCAAGTCCTTGTGCCATCGGCCACCTAATGGCCCCACACTCCTAAATAATTCACCAAGTGACCGCTTGAAACAAGTGTGATATTGTGAGCGCTTGTAAGCTCCAGTGTTCACCTTGAAACGCAGCAGGAACCAGAGTGGAGTGCCCATTTTAATTTATCCTTAATTAACATCCCGTTACTCAAGTGACAGTGGCAATTTTGCTTGGTGGCTGTTTGACAGAGAAATAAGCAAAGGGAGGTGCTTGGAGTGTCAGTGTTTGTATCAGTGACACTGGCTCATCCTTTAATGGATGGTAAATTACCCTGCTGTGTCCTTCTTGATAGCCTCAACAGAGATCCATGCTTGCAAGCACTCAACCAGAATAAGAGCTAGTGACTTAACTGCGTCCCTCCTAGCTGTGTACAGTCAAAGTAGCTTCTCGGATCCGATGCGCTCTAATTTCCCTTTTCACCCTAAATTTTCACATGTACCCATTTAAAAGTCATTTTTAAAAACAGCAATTGATTATTGACACTTGGATTTTGGAGCGTTGCTCACCCTTTACTCCACTCATTTGGCTTCTGCCCATTCCACTTCCTTCAGTTGAGCACACTCAGAAAGGGTTAGACTTTATATGGGCAGCTCTACTGTCCAATCACAAGTGCAATTTAGTTTCACTCCTACCTTCTCACTGGCTGTTGATTCTCCTGCTCTCAACCAGGAGAGGATGATAATTATAATAATAATAATGGGAGGTAACCAGCTCATAGTAGACCCACTGAAATTAATGGCCTATGTCCATTCATCTGAATGGGTTTACTCGGAGTGGAGCTAACATTGGCTACAACCCGGGGAATAATAGAAACAGAGATTAAGATAATACTTTGCACTTATATGGCATATTGCAATTGTTCAAAGCACCATGCATGTCTATTCTTTTAAATGGAGATGCTAGACATCAAGCTGGAAGACCTTCTGTAGGAAAAGCATGTGTTCCATTACTAATCTCTCCCTGAGCCTCTCTTCTGCCTTGAGAGCTCTGGGAATTGAAGTTCAGGTGGTGGCACTTAGGGAGCTCTAGCAGAGAATTCTTCCCATCCTTATAAAACTGAAATTCTGAGGAATGTGTCATGAGGGAATAACAGCAGTGAAAGAAATGGAGAACCTGTATACATTTGGTGCGCCTTCCTCTGTTCTGTGGAATAGCATTCCTGTCAAGATACAACAGGCACCGTCTGTCTACACTTTCTGAAAACAATTGGAAGGACATTTTTGTTCTGACAGGCTCTCCCAGCTGGAGAAACGGGTCTTAGCCATGAGCATCTATTTTGTGTTGTTTCAGTTTTGTTTTAACTGTATTGGCTGTTCTTTGTGTTTTAAATGGGTTTTTTTGTTGTTGCTGTTTTTATTGTATATCACCGTCAGACTGTTGTGTAGATGGCTGTTAATAAATAATATTAATAAAATAAAAGCGGGAAGTGTACTTATGCCTTCATTTTCTCCTTCTCCTCTTCCCACACCCTGGTCTCTTTTGGACAGAAATAAAAAAGAGGAAGCTTGTGGTGCCACTAGTGTGACCCTCTTGTGGGTCCACTCCTTGATGGCCAAAGTTTTTTTTTTTAAGTGTAGCTATGGGACGCAGGTGGCGCTGTGGGTTAAACCACAGAGCCTAGGACTTGCCGATCAGAAGGTCAGCGGTTCGAATCCCCGTGACGGGGTGAGCTCCCATTGCTCGGTCCCTGCTCCTGCCCACCTAGCAGTTCGAAATCACGAAGTGCAAGTAGATAAATAGGTACCGCTCCGGTGGGAAGGTAAACGGCGTTTCCGTGCGCTGCTCTGGTTCACCAGAAGCGGCATAGTCATGCTGGCCACATGATCCGGAAGCTGTCTGCGGACAAACGCTGGCTCCCTCAGCCAATAAAGCGAGATGAGCGCTGCAACCCCAGAGTCGGTCACGACTGGACCTAATGGTCAGGGGTCCTTTTCCTCTTTTTTTAAAAAAAAAAATCCCGCCAACTGTCTTCTAAAATATAACTAAATATAACTGAGAATGTAACAGCATATGTAGCTGTAACTACAGTCATACTTTCTGAGAGGAATTAAATTTGCAAATCTTTTTCATTTGCTTTTTAAGGTCTTGGATCCTGAGCAAAACCACAGCTTCACAGACCATTACTTAAACGTAGCCTTTGACTTGTCCCAAGTACTTTTCATCGCCACAGCCAACACGACTGCCACCATCCCACCTGCTTTGCTGGATAGAATGGAGATCATCCAAGTTCCAGGTGATGTAGAACTGACCAGGGTGTGGGTGCTGTTAAGGCAGGATGTATCAATGATTCCTGCTGCTTGTTGGCGCTGCCTGCCATATTTGTATATCATAGATGGCCACTGCTGGTATCTTCTCCCATCTCGCTCTCTTTCCAGCTGAGGCTAAAACTTCATTTCCTTTAAAAATCTGGCTTTGTATGTGACTTCTGATCTGAGTTCAATATCCTAGTTCTTCTAAAGGATGTGTCTTGTTTCAAAGGATACACGCAAGAAGAGAAGATAGAAATCGCACATCGCCACTTGATTCCAAAGCAGCTTGAGCAACATGGACTGACTCCTCAGCAGATTCAGATTCCTCAAGATGCAACCCTGGCAATCATCACCCGGTAATTTTAAAAAGGTATTTACAGTCGTACCTTGGAAGCCAAACGGAATCTGTTCCAGAAGTCCGTTCCACTTCCAAAACGTTCGGAAACCAAAGTGCGGCTTCTGATTGGCTGCAGGAAGCTCCTGCAGCCAATCAGAAGCTGCAGAAGCCCCGTCGGACATTTGGGTTCCAAAGAACGTTCACAAACCGGAACACTCACTTCTGGGTTTGCGGTGTTCAGGAGCCAAAACATCCGGGTACCAAGGCGTTCAGGTTCTAAGGTACGACTGTATGTGTTCATTTTGCTGTTTGGTACATTTAGTTGCTCTGCTCCGTTCTTGCAGCTGCCTAGGAAAATCGATAAGTTTAGGTTTACATTGAAAATGTTGTTCCATGGCACCTGGATTCATTCCTGCCAGGATGGGGACTGTGTGGCCTTCCAGATGTTGTTGGACTCCAACTCCCATCATCTCTAGCCATTCTGCAAGCTGGCTGGGGCTGATGGGAGTTGGAGTCCAACAACACAAGGAGAGCCACAGATTCCTCATCCCTTCATTAGGACGCAATAATGTCCAACGAAGCCTTTCCCCCATATCTTTTTGCACATTAAAACCATTCATAGAAATATGTTCCCCAAACTAAGAGATAACTTTCCTTGTTGTGGAACAGGGCCCTTAGACAGATCCAGGATTGTGTCAATTTAGACGGGCACTGAAAAGGACAATCTTGGCTGCTTCTTTGTACTAGATACACCCGGGAGGCAGGAGTCCGCTCTTTGGATCGCAAATTTGGAGCCATTTGCCGAGCAGTTGCCGTGAAAGTGGCAGAAGGCCAGCACAAGGAGGCAAAGCCAGATCGCTCTGAAGTGACAGAAGGAGGAGGTTTGTGTGCCTTTTATATCCTTCTGCCAGTCGCAAGCCTTTGCCAGCTCTCTGGCTTGGAAGGTTGCCCAAGGAAGGGGGCCGTCAACATTTCCGAGTTTGTAGATTTGCATATGTTTTGTCCTCGACTGAAATAAATATGCAGTGTTTTTCATTTCGATCGCTCATGATGAGCGATAGAATTATTTGCAGTGCATCTCTGGGGAGAAAGGAAAACTCAAGCCAAGTTTGTGGCTGAGAAATGGGCGCACAGTGAGGACTGACTGCTCAGACCATGTTTTGAACTGTGAAGCCGTTAATGATTTGGGGCTAGCATCCTTGAGAAGCTGTTCCTGTCCTGTATCCTGTTATGTTCCCCCGTAGCAAGTGCTATCCAAAAAGGCAGGGAGAAAAAGAGGAGTTTCCAGAGAGCTGTCCGCAGTTATTGAGTACCTGGATACACTATAGAGCCTGAGCAGTCACCCTTTGCTGCTTGGGTGATGTTGGGAGTTTGGAGATAACATGGGAAGGAACAGTTAAGGATACAGATAAACCAGCATCGCCAGGCCCCTCTGGTGTGATGAATAAGGTTCCAGCAATAACAGAAGCATCAGCTATGCTGTGATGCGGTCATGTGAAAAAGAGGCCCTGAGTCCTCTTGCCAGAGCAATGTGGCCAGATCGTTTCCTGTAACAGTAGCACCAAAAGGATTTCTGCATAGAGCAGGGGTGGGGCACCTTATTCAGCCCAAGGGCCAGATTTGTTTCTGGGCAACCTTTCAGGAGCCACATGCCAGTGGTGGGTGGGTGCAGAGGCAAAAGTGGGTGGAGCAACGAATGTGAATTTTACCTTGGTATAATGGGATGGTTTCCTACACACAGTCACACACCCCTCTCTGTCCTCGATGTAGACAAGCAAGAGGCATGATTAGAATTGAAGGATGCGTTCCATCCAGGCCAAAACACTTGAGGGTGCGAAGCAGGGCTTGGGAGAGTCCTGAGGGCTAGGTAAGAGACCTGGCAGGCTCCAACTGAGCCCCAGACCTGAAGCTCCTCATCCCTGACATAGAGTAATAAAAGCAACAAGAAGTGATCAGCAACAGTAGATATTTACCTTTGACTCCAGTGAATATTTACTCGTGGGTTATGATTCTGCTATTCAGAAATCCTTTAAAAGCTTGCATGAAATCACCGACGTGCTGTTGTCAAGGAGGAGGCCATTAGTACTACAATTGGGCATACCTGCTATAAACCGCCTACACAACAAACATAATCAGGGGCTGCAGTCTTGCTGATGAGTCAGATGCTTCTGTGTTGGTTGGCAGACTTAAATATGATCATCTAGCACTCGCTTCTTGTCTGAGTGATAGCAAAAAGACATTATGGAGAACTCTACACCATTCTACCTACCACATGGCAGTTTAAAGGCATGTTTTTCGAGGCATCTGTGCAGTGTAGAATAGCCTTGAGCCCTTGAACTTTTACCTCATTTCCAGGTTTCTTTAACTGCTTGTGGCGGGGGCTTCGTTGGCAGCTGAGTTGTTGATACAGTGATTGCCAGCTAAGGGCTTCATGCCAATTTCTTTTTTTCAGATCTGAGAACAGGGGAGACCCAGATGTCTGTACAAGCTTTTCATACTCTCCCCCCCCCCCAAAAAAAGCAGCCCTCTGTTTAATGTTTTATTAATCATCAGAAATAAAATTGAACAGCTAATACACCTTTTAAAAAGATAATGTACCACTGATATCTTACATGGCATGTGCACTCAGATGCTGACACCCTGCAATATTGTAATTTAAAAAAGGGTGTAGCTGACATCCAGGGGCTGCCTGTATGTGCCTGGAGACAAGATATGTAAAACAAGAAGTATTTTGGCAATGATAGTCACCCTCAAATATCTGAAGGGCTGTCACATGGAGGATGGAGCAAGCGGGTTTTCTGCTGCTCCAGAGGGTAGGACCCAAAACAGTGTTTTCAAATTTCAAGGGAGGAGATTTTGACTAAACTTTAGAAAGAACTTTCTGACAGTAAGAGCTGTGGAGCGGACTCCCTCAAAAGGTGCTGGACTCTCCTTCACTGGAGGTTTTTAAATCAAGGTTGAATGGCCATCTGTCAGAGTTCTTTAGCTGTGATCCCTACATTGCAGGGGGTTGGACTAAATGACCCTTTGGGTCCCTTCCAGCTCTTCAGTTCTATGGATACTTCGACCAGGAGTCAAAGAACAATGCAACTAATTCCAGAAGGTCCCAAACCATTTGGACTTCTATCTGTCACCACCGCATGGCAAACCTCTGTTTAGAATCAATGGGTGTTTCAAAAAAACAGTTCGTAGTGGGAGCTGGTAGGGAAAAAATAGAAAATTCCCCATGTGGGAACAAGTCCGTGGATGTGCTTAATATATATATATATTTGTTTTGAATACAGGCCATACATCCATAGCAGCAGGATGACCTATGTAAGGCATACAGTAAAAACCTTTAGGTATTTGGTAGCCCATGTTGCTATTCTGGGCTGCTTCAAGAGAGTGATGCTGATTTCCAAAATTTTGTCCTGTACGCTGGAGCTCCTGTATCAGGAGTTTGCTACGCACACTGTTCTCTTCTCTTTAGTGTTCCCAAAATTGAAGTGAAGCGCAGGCTCATCTGAAGTTCTCTGCGTGCATTGGAGCCTCGGAGAACATTAAGTCACAGCTCATGACAGTGCTTGGTTTTTCCCAGGTACCAAAGTGCCTGCTAGAGCAGACTGGGAATCTGATAGCTGGGCCTTGTAGTCCAGAACTGCACATACAGACCTAGCTCTGGTAAGCGGCATTCACCATCACATTTCTCCCCTTGCAGCCTGGACTCTGGAAGGGATCATGGCTCAATGGCAGAACACGTGCTTTGCATGACAGAAGTCCCAAGTTCAGTCTACAGGCATGGCCAAACTTGGCCCTCCAGATGTTTTGGGACTACAATTCCCATCATCCCTGTTCTGTTAGCTAGGGATGATGGGAGTTGTAGTCCCAAAACATCTGGAGGGCCAAGTTTGGCCATGCCTGGAGATCTGGCAGCAAGTAGTGGAACAGGCCTCCCACCTGAGATTCCCTAACTGTCAGAATAGATGATACTGGAGGCTAGGTAAATGCACAAATAGTCTCAACTGATACAACTATACTACCTATACAGAACGCTTATTGTCAAACCTTTTTAGTGCATCCTTGCTCGAGTCAAAAGTTGTTTGTGTGGCTTTTTTGGCTCCATCATCCCTGCTTAAAAAGGCCAATTTTTCCCCTTGAAAGGTCATGTTTGCTGAGGTTGATAGGAGTTGTAGTCCAAACAATTTGGTTGGTATTAAGTTGCAGAAAGCTGTCATTGGAGGATCCCCGTGTATGTGTACTCTTTAGCACTCCCAAGAGAGAGGCAGGAAAACCTCAAATATGTTTAATCTTTGCAGTCATCTCAGATTTCATTGAATGCCCACATGCTTTCCAATAATGCAAGGCAAGGGATACATCTTTTCTAAAGAAATCCTAGTCAATAAAAAGTATGTGTTAATCAAATATTAAATTAAATCTACATATAACAAAAAAAAAGTTTTGAAGGTGGGGAAACATGCTTGCTTTGATGTGTAAGTCACAGATGGGTGTCATCTTAGAAAAAGGCATCTTCTCCTAGGTGAGAATGAGAGAGTGACTCTTCTATGATGAAGCATGCATATTAAAGCACATTAACCATTTTTAAAACCGTTGCTTTTTAAGTATGTTGTTTGTTTGGGGATTCTTTAGTCCATTTAAAAATAATGTAAATGGAGTAATTGATTGGTTTTATTGGTGATAGACTTTTGTTCTGTTTCTAACTGCTTTCAGAAGATTTTACTGAATGCCATTATTTGTACTTTTTTGGTTTTATGTAGCCTATGTACTGATTTTTGTTATAGTGGGTTTTTTTTAATATAAGTAATTAATCTACCCAGTTAATTAGTTTAAAATGTGGAGCCCCGGAGAAGATAAAGAAACTAAGATATTTCATAAAGGAAAAAAACTCACATGTAGTGCTGGTAATCAGTTTAAGAGCCCTGAAGTCTTTGTGACTTGAGGAAAGAGAACATTTTAGTTATCTAGTTTTACTAGAGAGAGGGCCAAAGCTCAGTGGTAGAGTATCTTTTTTGTTTGCAGAAGGTGCCCCAGGTTCAGTTCCCAGCATCTCCAGGTAGGGCTTGGAGACACTCCCTGACTGCAACTCCAGAGAGCCACTCCCAGACAGTGTGTAGACAACAGCACTGAGCAACGTGGATCAATGGTCGGAAGCATTATGAGGCAGGCAGCTTCCTGTGTTTCTAGCAGAGCAGTTTGGAAGCTCTTCCCTTCACATGATACAGTGACTTGTTTACTATTAAACGCAGAACAAAAGGGAGGCTGTCTTCAGCATTCCAGCTAATCCAGCGAAGGAGTTATTTACAGTGTTAAAATTAGAGCTGGCAATCGCTGCCAGCTAGGAAAGTCATAGCAAGCTGAGTGCTTCCAAATGGTGTAAAACTCCAGTTTGTTAAGGGTTGTCTTTTTTTCTTTTTTCTTTTTTGGCTGTTTGGAGAGAACCCAGAAATCCTAATCTGTGAACAGTTGTCTTTGTGTGGCCTGAAATTGACAGCAGGCAAAACAATGCAAAATAAAAGAGAGCCTGACAAATGGGGAAAGGGCTTGATGTTTGGCTGCGCTGGAATTAGAATGGCACTGCTTTAGCCCCAGAAGGAGGTGGGTTGTTTTGTAAAAAAAAGAGAGACAGAGGAGGAGGGCAAATGCTTTGCAGCACGCAAGCCCTGCAATTGTAAGGAGCTGTAATGAATCAAGCCGTCTTGGAAAACGTTGCTCAGGCCGGCCCAGCTTCAAAACACCTAGCCCAATGCAAGCCACCCGCCATGTATTGTGACTTGTTGGGTCCTTGGCAACATTTCAGTTCCTTCAGTCTTCGTTGACCTAGCAGCCCAAAGCCAGGAGATTTATCAAGCCCACCCACCCAACAGTATGTACTAGGTAGTTGGTAGGAAGCCTTCAGCTCAGGCCCCCAGTTGCAGGGGCCAAACCTTGCAGTTTCTGTAAGACACTCTCAAAATATCATCATACAGTATTCAAGCTCAAATAGAGGTTGCCTGACTTCTCATACAGTGCCTGTCCTTCTTCTAAAAGGAAATGATAGAGAGGTCAGGAAACTGGACAAATGGCACACTTTAAATTGTGTAGGGCAGAATTCAGAGCATCACCCAGAGACAGCTGTAGGCAGAATTCCTGCATTGCGCAGGGGTTCCTTTCAAACTCTATAATTCTGTGATTCTAATTGGACAGTGTTCTCGAAGCTACAAGCATGAGTTTGACCAAACTGCGGGTGGAAGACAGGAGTGCCTGGCATGCTCTGGTCCATGGGGTCACAAAGAGTCAGACACGACTAAACGACTAAACAACAACAACAACGTTTTCTTTCTTTTCTTTTGAAAATATCATATTTTTTTTACTATTTAAGCTACATTATCGAAATGTAAGGTGTGGAATTTATCATCATTACTTTCATTTAACCCTGATAAATCCAAGGATGAAGTGGGTTCAGCTACCTAAAATCAGATGGTGTGAAACAGGCCCTGGGGTGGGGTAGCTAATCTATAGTCTTCCAACTCCTGCCAGCTCCAGCCACCATGGCCAGTGGTTAGGGGTGATGGGGGAGGGGGCTGTAGTCCAGCAATATCTGGAGGACCCACCCCTGACCCAGATGAATGAGAGTGTTAGGATTTCCAAGCCAACCAAATGCCAGATCCCTCATATCACAAACTACCCTTAGCATTGCATGACTAAAACAAAAAATTAACGAAATGAGATTCCCTGTTTGGTGTGCCAGAGAAATATAACAAAGTAGTTACTATATAGATCTGAATTATTTGTTGCAATCGTGTTTTTGACCCGACTAATTTGAAAGGAAATCTGAAAAGCATGAATTCCAGGCAAAAATCCTCTAGCGAGTTAGGCACCATTCTTAATAACCCACACTGCCTCATATTTAGGATTTTAAAGTGCTGTCAGTCTCAGGTCTGTTTCGGCTAAAATGTGGAATTTTATGAGAAGGGTATAAAATCCCGGGGTCTCATTTTTTTATTATTAAATTCATTTGTTTGCATAGCAAGCATGTGGCTTTAAAACACCTGGGCTTTTAACAAAAAGTAGCCAGTCTCTCTTATTTGCCTTGGGGCTTTCTCCCCCCTTTCCCTTCTAAAGAGCACAGGGTTCAACTTCAGCCAATCTTGCTGCAGAAACATTAACGAAAATCTGATGAGAGCAAATCCCAAGGTGATACGGCTGCAGGCAGCTGTGAGCTTTGAATAAAGCTGCACTGTGGTTAACACACTTAAAGGAATGTCAGCAAAAATGTAGCACTTGGATGGGGCCCCCAGTCTCTGGCACCTTCTCTTTTCTCTCCAAGACCCCCCCCCACCACTTATAAAGCAGGGGAAGGGAACTTGTGGCCCTCCAGATGTTGTTGAACTCAAAGACCCGTCAGCCCTGCCAGCGTGGGCAGCAATCAGAGATGATGGGAGTCTGACAGGATCTGGAAGGCAAAAGAATCCTCACTCTGCCCTGTTGCAAAAGTCGAAGTCTACTGGCACAATCTGCCCAGAAAATTATCTGGTGCTGGGCCCACTAAAATGGCAAGGAGTTGGATAAGAGTAGAGCTTGTGTCCCAAACACTCTGTGTAAAGGAGTAATATCAACAGCAGGGGCAGGCAACCTGGTGCCTTCCAGATGTTCATGGAATGCAACTCCTGGAATGATGAATGGGACTGGAGGAAGGGAACCCAGTCAACCCCCCCAAACTATACATACACCCTGTCTTAAGTTTGCTCCCCAAGCCTGTGCTTGCATGTTTGGCAGTCAGTCCCACAGAGCTCAGTGGGGCTTCCTCCAAGAAGCTGGGTCACAGTATTTGCCCCTCTTTCCTAGCAACACAGACTGTGGAAGTACCATATCCAAGTGCAGGTCCCCACAGCTAATTGGGACCCTCAGAGACAAGACTCTCTGAGCCCAAATCTGCTGAGAAGATTCTCTAGGCTCCCTTCAGACCAAAAGCCCCACACAGTTTAGGATGGGGAACCTGAGACCCTCCAGTTGTCTTGGGACTCCAGCTCCCATCAGGCCCCCCAGCATGGCCAATGGTCAGAGGTGATGGGAGTTCAAGTCCATCAACATGTGGAAGGGGCCACAGGTTCCCCATCCCTCTGAAAGATGTCCTATCCAAGCCTTCCTCATGGACAGATCCATTCAGGACCAAATTTAGTTCAATGGACAATTTAGGATCATCTCCTCCTGCCCTCACTGGACTCTTGTGAAATCTTAACATCATACTTTTTAATCTAGTTGTTATCTTTCTAATTTAAAAGAAGCCAACCTGTTTTGTAGGTGATATTTTTTTTATTACTATTCTTCAGCCTGCTTGGTTCTATAGCCTCTTGTGAGGTTTGTATGTTTATGTAACAAACGCCAATCTGATTATTTGATGCTTCAGTCTGGCCTGTGTTCTATTGTAATCAGAATGAGCTAAGAGAGCTTATTATTTGAAGCAGAAACCACAAGGCTAGCTGTAATTGCACAACTTGGTATGCAAAGTTGCAAATTTTGTGTTGCATCAGATTTGGGGCAGTAGGGGAGGGGGTCAGAGAGTGGAATAAATTTCTGCCGAAAGACGGGACACTGTTGTTTGTCACTGCGACGTATTATGAAACAGGCTTTCCTAATTGGGTTATCTGAGTATAAAGCAAAAAAAAGAAAGAAACGTCTTTTTCTCAATAGGACAGATGCCCCTCACAAATTCAGGAGAGAATCATTTACAAGTCTCCCATGTTGCCAACTGCTGTCTGCAGAGTGAGCAGTTTGAAATAAAACTGGACTAAGTCCCAGTTAAAATATGAATAGTTTCCTGTATGCTTTTAGTTTCTTATTTATTTATTTATATTTCATAAAATTTATACACTGCTTGATTGTAAAAAAAAAGAAAACCCTCAAAGCAGTTTACAAAGAGAGTTAAAGAATGAGAATATCAGTAGAAACAACTCTTGGTGTAAAACCAGCAATAAACTAAAAACAGATTAAGACTTATGTCAACATTCTACATGTCTGGGTAGGCTTGCTAACAAAAATTATTTTAGTGGGCGCCAAAAAGAATACAGTGAAATGCTTGTGTGACGTCAATAGACCAGGAGTTCCAGAGTGTAGGTGCTGCCACACTAAAAGATTGATTTCTTATAAATGTGGAATGGGTATTATGTAACACCTGCAACAGTGCTAATTCCTCCTATCTTAATGGTTGAGTAGGCATGTATGGGTTTTCCAAATAAACTAGCTTCTTAAGTCTTCTGGCAAAATGCTGGAGAGTATTCCTATGTTGTTATGTATGCGTTGGTGTCTTTCGTTGTGCACTTTTCCTTCCCATGCCTTCCACCATTGTACTGATGAGGGACACTGCGGGACACAGTAGTAACATACATTCTGTCATTCTAAGGATCCCTGTGCAAAGTTTGCCTCCTGCTGCCAGTACCCCTTGCTGTAGACTCTACTCACTCTGTGTGCTATGCTGCAGTGGTGGAGGACCTGTGGCTCTCAAGATGTGGTCAGACTCCTGCTCCATTGGTCATGACCATTGGCCATGCTGGAGATGACTAATGGGAGTTGGAATCCAACAACATTTGGAAGGCCACAGGTTTCCCATCTTGGCTCTATTGGTCTAAGAACACAGGAAACTTTGTTCTACAGATCCTTAGTGCATCTATCTCATTATTGTCTAGGCAGGGAGAAGCGAATGTGGGGTCCTGCAGATGTTGTTAGACTAGAACTTCCATGCTGGTTGGGGCTGATGAGCATTGGAGTACAACAACGCACATTGTCTATCCTGGTCTACACATACTGGCAGCAGCTCTTCATCTACCCAACTCTACCTGGAGATGTCAGGGCTGAATCTGGGGGCTTTTGCAAGCATAGTCATGTGCCCAACCACTTAGCTGCTTCTTTCTCCCATAGGGTCTTCCTCATGGACTTATATTCTCTCCTTTGTTGATTTTAAAACAAAGAACGTGTTTGTTCTTTTGGTTAAAAATATCGACCTAGAACATGGGGGGGGGGGGGCTTGTGACACACACAGAAATGTTGTTGGATTCCCAATTCCCATCAGCCCAACCAGTGGGGGCAAGGAGCAGGGAAGTTGGTCCAGCAACAGGGGCAAAGGTTCTCCGCTTCTTTTCTCGAAGAACTTAAAATCTCCTACAATGTGTTATCCATTGTTCAAAACATACGTCAGGGAGAGACTATTGCTGTGTGGCAGAACACATACTTTGCATGCCAAAGGTCCCATGCTCAATAGCAGTTAAAGGAGGATCAGGTAGCAAGCGTTGTGAAAGACTCCTGCCTTATGTACCCTGAAGAGCCGCTACTCATCAAAGTGGATGGTAATAGACTCAATGAGAACAGTGGTCTTGACTTGGTGTAAAACAGCTTTGTGTTCACTTGCACCTCACCAGCTGCTGTGGGAGAAGTGGCAGGCTGCGCACTCTGCACAGTCTTCATGCGCACACATTTGGACGCATATGTGTTTGAGAGAAGATGCATCTTCCCTACAATGGTTGGGGGTGTGTGTGTAGCTGTGTTAAGTGATGTGACTGAATCATTGATCCTTAGGAGTAGCTCCATCAAGTGGTTGCCCATCCATTTAGTGGAGCCAGTCGAGATTCTCTCTAGAACAGGCATAGGCAAACTCGGCCTTCCAGATGTTTTTGGGACTACAACTCCCATCATCCCTAGCTAACAGGAACAGTGGTCAGGAATGATGGGAATTGTAGTCCCAAAACAGCTGGGGGGCCGAGTTTGCCTATGCCTGCTCTAGAAGTTGCCGGCAAATGTTTCTTTTGCTCATATCTGTGAAGTGACCTTTTTTCTAACCTTAAGAGTGTAGAGAGCATGTTGCGGAAGATGCGAAACCTGATTCGCTCAGCGACACTGCCGATCTGGCTCTACCACCTGAAATGCCCATTCTAATTGACTTAGATGCCTTGAAGGACATTCTTGGGCCACCAATGTACGAACTGGAGGTAATTATTGACTATTTTCTATCTTTGCTCTTTTTTGTAGCTTGTATAAATTAGTTGGTGGTGGTGGTTTGTTTGCTTTCCCACCTTCAGAACAGCCAGGTTGGGAAGGGACTTCTGGGGAGAGTCCCATGGGCCAGATAGAAAGGCTGGGGTGGGGCCTGAATTTGGGTCCCAGGCCTGCTGATCTTCACCTTATGTTAGTGGTACAAAATCTAAGCTCTTCCAGAAGCTACTTGGTTACATCCAGACTACATCTGAAGCCTCTGAGCTCTGTTCAGGCGCAAGGGTAAAACCCCTCTTATTACATGCAGTAGCAGGTAGCTCCCACTGAACTGTAGGTCTTATAAGGCCAGTGAAAAAATTAGGACCTAGGGATGGAATGTCAAACCTCCAGTAGCTCTGTGTGCAACTTTGAACCATTGGGGTGTTTTTCCTTGCGATTTTGTCACCAGGATCTGGCCACATCCAGGGGCCAAGATTACCGGATGGCAGCTTCATAAAAGAAGTGAGGCTTTGGCATGCTTGAAGGGGTTTCTTTCTTCTTAAGCTGCTGTTGCCCTTCTCTCTGCAGCGAGGAGCGCTGAACTTCCGTCTCTGTGAAAAACATTCCAGATTGGTTCCGTTTGTTTTTCTTTGCTGCAGTCTGCAGTGGGGCCTCTCTCCCTCCCCACCCCACCCCCGGCTCAGAAAGCCTCACCTCTAACCTTCGCTCTGCCATCAATAACTAGCTGGAAATCAAGACCCTGCAAAGGCCAGTCACATGTCAGCGCTCAGCTCGAGGAGGCCCGGCAGAGAGAAATTGAAAACCTCCCGTAATTGAATTGACTGGCCCTTCCGGAAGGGGAAGGCCCTTTTCAAATGAATATATATATTAGAGAGAAGTTAGGCCTATAATCTCATAAGCGAGGGTGCTTTGGAAAGAATCAATTCAATCAGCTGTTCCAAAGTCACAGATCACTTTTAGAGTCAAAACCTCTTTTGGTGGAATCAGAATATGGCACACCCCAGACGGATACATGTCACTCGCTGGAATTTCGAAATCCGATCCTGGCAGAGTCTGAGTGTGTATATCTAAAGCACCCTTTTGCCTCTCTCAAGAGAGATGGCTCAGTGCTGGCTGAGGATGATTAACTCATGATGGTTTCCTGAAATGCGAAACCCCTTTGTGTGCCCAGGAACACCCTGTGGCCTGCCTCTTCTCACATCTGTCTCTGCTGCTCCATAGGGCTGCTGCTGCCCTGGTCCCAACTGCGATGTTTTCTTTACAATACTGTTGATGCATCCTGGGCTGCTTAATGGCCACTGGAAATAGCAGGTGTATAGGACTGTTGACAACCTGGAAGCTGTAGGTTAGGGCAGGAGTTGGAAACCTGTGGTCCTCCAGATGTTGCTGGAGCCCAACCCCCATTCTTCCTAACCATCAGCCATGCTGGTTAGGGCTGATGGGGGTCCCAACAGCAGCTGGGAAGCCACAGGCTTTACTCCTGACTTAGGGGGGTAAGGCTGACTCACCTAGCACTTTGTTTGAAAAATGCTGCCTTAGGTTTACAACAATGGACTCCTCTGAGCATTCAGAGGCAGCTCATCCCATCATTTGGAAGCTAAACTTCTCATATGTGTGGCAAAAAACGGGTTAAAAATCAGGGTGGGGTGTTTGTCTGCAGCATTAACACTAAACTTTTAAGATAGAATTATCTGGGTGGATAAGAAAGTCTTCACTTGGTGCTACAAGGACACAAGACTTGGCAATAGGTGTGCCCTTCTGGGGAGAGAATTTCACAGAGAAGTCCACAGTTGAGGTACCACCACTGAAAAGGCCCTTTGTCTCAGAAGTGTGTAGCGGGGAGCCTCTAAATATGGCTTCAATATTTGGGAGTAGGTTGCCCTTCGTATATCTACATCCTAAACCATATGGGACTTAAATGGTTTTAAGCCAGCACTTCAGATTGTACTCGGAGACAAACTATTAGGCAGTGATGCTCTGTAAGTGAGATGTGTTCTACTCAGCCAGCCTCAGTCAACAGTCTGGCAGTTGTACAACAGCTGCCTGGGCCAGTTGAAGTTCTGTGGGTGCAGACACTACCTGCCAGAGTTGGAACACTTCTGAATCCCATTGAGTTCTGTAGAACTCTCCCATTAATTCAGGGAGACGGAAAGGCACTTAGCTTTGGCTAGATCATGGCCCATGTGAAGGTTTGATAGAGCACTTTTTAAAAAGCATCTTCCTTTATAGCAGTTAAAGTTGAAGGTATAAGAGCTGACCTTTCCTTACTTGGAGAAACTGAAGAACAGGGTAGATCTCTGGGTTGCTGCATAAATGAAAAGTTCCATCTGCCAACTTCAAAAAACTTTAACTCATTTTTGCTGTTACAAAAAAACAGTACTCTATTCTCTGCTCTATGAAGTACCCATTTTAAGCCCCCACCCACATGCACCCTAGCCTTAGGAAACTTTCCTCAGAGTATATGTTTGCAGCTCCACCCTTTCAGAAAGCTGTTGTCAGTGGTGTTTCAGTCCTTAGCTTCCTTGGTCTGATGCAGGGAAGAAAAAATATGTGTAGCCGGAAAATATTAATGTGTGTAGTGAAAGGGTAACATTTCACTTGAAGTTTTGCTTGCTTTGTTTGTTAAAAGCTAGGATTCTGGAAATGATCCATGCTGCAAAAGTGTTGACATCTTTCCGCAGGGCCTGCAAGACGGAGCTGTTCCGCCTGGCCTTTGGTTTGGACTCAGTCTAACCCTTATATTTCCCTCCCCTTATGGTTTTGATTTATGGGCTACTACTAAAATGAGGCTGCATTTTAAATTGCATTTTAACCCATATTTTAATTAACTGTTTCCCCCCCTTCCTATTACATTTTATTGTAATTTTATTGGTGTTAGCCACCCTGAGCCGGGTTTTGGCTGGGGAGGGTGGGGTATAAATAAATTATTATTATTATTATTATTATTATTTTATTTTATTTTGCGCCCAGTAGAAGTCAATAAGCAGAAGTCATTTCTGAGATTCCCTCCTGTAATCCTCTCTTAGGAATGTTCCTAGAAGCTTGTCCAGAACTAGGACCATTTCTAATAATTATCAAGGATGCTCTAATAGCATGGGTATACTGTCTCTGCTGGCTCCCCCTTTGTTTCTGGGCTCAGTTCAAGACGCTATTCAACTCTATGGCCCCATCAACGCAGAGTTACTCATGGCTCAATTTTATCCCTTATGCTCATGGGCGTAGCCAGGATTTTTGTCAGGGGGGCTGACCTTTTGTTAGGGGGAGCAGAACCTCAGTTTGCTATGTATTTTTATTGATTGGGGAGGGCAGCTACACCCATGATTATGCTATTTAACATCTACATGAAACCACTTATTAGGGTCATTCGGAGAGACCCATCTTGGCCTTTCTGCAGTACTGAAATCAGAAGACCTATTTTAAGCGGGAGCCTTATTTTCAGCACCTATCTGTCCTTTTCCATAGAAATACTGTTCTTCTTTCTTTCAGGTGTCCGAGCGGCTGAATCAACCCGGTGTGGCAATAGGTTTGGCTTGGACTCCTTTAGGAGGGGAGATCATGTTTGTAGAAGCCAGCCGCATGGATGGGGAAGGCCAACTGACTCTGACTGGGCAGCTGGGCGATGTCATGAAGGAGTCGGCACATCTTGCCATCAGCTGGCTGCGCAGCAACGCAAAGAAATACCTACTGACAAATGGTATGTGAGAAGGCATGAATGGAAAGATCTGGCGCATGCTTCATGCATGCATAGAATAGGTTTTGAACATGTCTGGCTTTTGCTGCCTGCCTCGGACTATAGAAGTGGAGGCCATCAAGCCTCTGGAAGACACCATACATTTTTGGTGGAAGGCATTTTTAGCTTGGGGCAAGTTGCAAAAGGAGACTGTTGCATAGTGGAGGAGCAAGTGCTTTGCATGGAAAAAGTCCCAGGTTTGGGCCTCAGCACAGCCTATGTAAATTAGCCGCCAAACAATACTAGCCTGCTCAGTTTTTTACTAGCCTACTTTTTACCCATAAGAAGAACTGGCAGAGAACAAACAGAGCAGTCTGTCCCAACTTTACCAACCCTTTACCATTTAAAATCAGGCTTATGATTAGCAGGCTAGAAACGCAGTAGGTTGGCTAAGAAAGGTGCTGACATGTCTCCATTTTATTATATTAAATATCTTTATGCCACCACTTTGGTTAACCCAAAGAGCCTTATAGCAACCCAATGTAAAACAGAAGCTTTTCTTTATAAATTTCTCTTTTGGGCAAGGGTTTGATCTTTAAGAGTGCTTGGAATTGAATTAGTACTGTATATTTTGACACTGCTGTCTGGTTAAATTAGTCTGGGAATTCTTTCTTCTTGCTGCAGTAATTGCTTTGATTGTATTTTTTTAACTCCCGTTCTCAGGACATACATAAACTGAAAAGCAGATAGAAATGTTTCCAAATAAACAAAGAATTTGTAAATGGCCTCAGCTGGAAATTCCATATTTAAGAACAGCGCAGCTATTAAAAACAACAGAGTATTGGCTTTGAGGGACTTGCCTCCGTGTGAATGATCTGCACCTTGGTTTCTTAAGGTTGCTTTTACAAAAGGCTAAGAATGCTGTTTTCCCTCTAGCTGCTTTTTAAAGATGTGCTTTAAGTCTCAGCCCCTCATCTGTAATATGGAGATAATACTAGGCACATGAAAACATTGAAAGCTGCCTTATAGTGAGTCAGACCTTTTGGTCCACCTTGCTCAGTCCTGCCTACTCTGACTGGCGTCTCTCCAGGGATTCAGGCAAGGGGCAGATGCCAGAGATTGAATGCATGCGAAACCACATGCTCTACTCGTGAGTTACAGTCCAGATCCACTTTACAGATCCCAAAGGTGGTGTGTGTTTTCAAAGTATTGCTTTGAAAACTCAGGACACTTCCTAGCTTCCAATGGTGACTTTGTCTTAGGCTTAGCAGAAAGCATCTCCACCTGGGCAGCTGATTTTCATCACTGGGGCCCTGCCTAGTGCAGCCTTCTGTGCCATAGCTCATACTATTTCAGTGTCCCCCAACCTCAGCAACAAGGAATTTTGAGGGGAGGGGTGTCTAGGCAGGTAGGTATGATTGGCAAAAATTGGGTGTCCCACCTTATGCAAGCCCCAGTAGATAACAGTCCTAACTAATTTTCTCATTCACTTGAAGATTTATCCAAGTGAATTTACTATTGACTGACTACTTCGAACAGCATACATTTTTGCCTGATCAAAACCAGCAATTCTGAAAGAAACCAGTGCTTTTATTGCCTGCACCCCGTATCATCACCTAAGAAGCATTTCTCCTCTCACATGTGCAGAAGGGAATGCCTCTGCTGAGATGGCCCTTATTCAGTTACAGTTCTTATAAACACTTAAAAAAAATTAAAAGTAACTTTTTTAAAAAAATAATCTGCTGCCCAGTTAAGTGGGGGGCACCATTTTTAATCCAATCAATTCATTTTAGTACCACGGAAAGTGTTCGTACTGCTGTTAAACCGGTTTATCTGGGAAAGTGTTTCCAGATTCAAAGTGTAGCAGAGTATATTGACACAGGTGTTTTCTTCCTTAATCCTTCTGTCTCCCCCTCCTCCTTCCCCTCCTCCACCACCCGGCACAGATCTCCTTTCAAATGCTCTGCTGCCAAGTGGAACAAGCGTCTGGAATGCAAGTCCTCCAGTGATGTGGTTTGTTTATTTGTTTGTTTGCTTTTCCCCAAAGAACAAAAGACCAGAAGCACCGCAGGTTTGAATTTTCCACACTGAACATCCCCCCTCCCCAATTCTCTTTCTTAAAGCTTCTGGAAGTTTTGATCTCCTTGACAACACAGACATCCATCTGCACTTCCCAGCTGGAGCTGTCACAAAAGATGGACCATCTGCTGGTGTTACCATAGTAACCTGCCTTGCCTCCTTGTTCAGTGGGCGGCTTGTGCGTTCAGATGTAGCCATGACTGGAGAAATTACACTAAGAGGCCTTGTTCTTCCAGTAAGTATTCTCTGCAGATAACGATATTGTTGAGGCTTTCTATCTCTCTGTCTCATCCCCTGCCCCACCCCCTGCAAAACAAAAAAACCCAACACACCGCACATTCCAATACTAGTTCTAATTCTTTAATCTAGTCACGCTACTGAAGGTTGTCTGGCAAAGTTAGCACAGTTCTACAAAACAAACAGTTAGCACATACTTTATTTTTCAAATCTGCTCTACATTAGTGATCTGCCACAGGCGACATTTGCAAGACAACAGAGAAGATAATAGTAATTTATTCCAGTGGGTGGGGCTAATATTGTCAGATATTGCCTAATTGAAAACTGTGGCCACATCATCACTTTGTTCTCTGGGGAGCTGTTGAAGAAGGAATTCTTTTACCAGATTCAGCCAGTTTTACTTCCTTCCCACTTCTGTCTTCATGACAGCTAGGAATACCCCTAGATCAGACATGTTCAACCGGTCAACCATGATCTACAGGTAGATCCTGGTAGATCGTGGTTGATCGCGGGACCCTTATTGATCTCAGGATTAAAATAATGTTTCCAACCCCCTCCCCCCTCTGTTCCTCTGTCACGTAAAGTGTTTGCGCGTTTGGCGTTTGTTGCTGTCGATCGTGGATACGATTATTGTCTTAATCAGTGTGTGCATTTGTTTTCTTATGGGTTTTTTTGGTGAGCGATGTATGGCATTTCCCCCAAAAAAGCTCAACAACTCTGGCTCCTCCTCCTTCTAATGTCAATGGGTAGATCACTGCCAGTTTTTTTATAATAGGAGTAGATCGCAGTCCCTTGGGAGTTGGATGTGCCTGCCCTAGATGTTTGGCTAAACACCACTTCCAAGAACTGGAAGTGTTGCTCACTGGGGCAATATGGTTTGAGCATATGATGCCAATCCTGGCCTGACTGCAGTGGCTGACGGTTAGTTTCCGGGTCCAATTCAAAGTGCTGGTTTTGACCTATTAAGCCTTAAATGGCTCAGGACCACAATACCTCAAGGACTGCCTTTCCTCATATGAACTGACCTTCAGCCCCTCTTCATGTGCTTCCTCCACGAGGTGCCGGGGGTAGGAATATGAGAGAAGGCCTTTTCTGTGGTGGCTCCCCACTTGTGGAATGCTCTCCCCAGGGAGACTCACCTGGCACCTTTGTTACATATACTTAGGTGCCAGGCAAGATTAAACAATCTATGTAACTGTAAACCACTCTGTGATCCTCAGATGGAAGGGTGGTATAGAAATTTTAATCATCATCTTCCTTTTAAAAAGGCACTACTTGTGCAGGGATTTCATTATACTTGCCCAAAATCATCTATCATAGGTTTGCTACAAAAATAAAAATACAAAACTGACTCATGCCTCAGCTAGCCCAGGCCATTGTGATCTGAAGTGCTTTCTGGAATGTGCATAGTGTTGGTTGAAAACACTCCCTCTTCCATATGACATCGCAAGGCACCATTCAGCCTGCAAAGAGCAAGTTTGCACTGGACCAGAAACTGACTAATCTCCGGAATTAGTCCTTTGCCAGTTTCAACCCTTATTCCAATCGAGACCTTTTCAGGATTGGTCATTGGGCTAAAACTGATGATGGGGCTTTTCTGCTCCTTTCCCTCCCTTGAGGCTGGTTTCAGGTCTTGTGCAAATCCAGTATTTGTAGTCTTAAGTGTTCTCATTTCTCAGGCTGGGGCCAGAATGGGTCGCTGAACCAATATGGCTAACTTGCTCTCATCCCCAATACACACAAGAAACAAAAACCAGAATCTGCATAGCTGTTACACTTGCTTTGTTCTGTGTAGATCGGCAAACAAGTGATTCAGGTTAAAGGCAGTCCTGTTGGTTAATGATCCCAGGGAATGACCTGAAGGCTCACACACATCACAAAGCAAGCCTTCTGCAGCAAAGTAGCTTCAGCTCTGTTCAGTTCCTAGGTGAGAGACCATCTAGGAAACTCATGTATGTTGTCTTTAATGATGGAAAAAGGTGGAATATAAATTTGATTAAATAACACATAGTTCAGGGTTACATGTGTTTGTGTGAGTCCCACCCCTCTTTCAAATCTGCACGTGGCAAACCCAAATTATGTATATGTTTAATAAATTTTATGTTTGACAAGCATTCACATAATTTGGATTCTTTAAGGAAGGAATGAAGGGAACAAATGGACATGGAGACAAGAGAGGAGTTGGCAAGAAAAAACTGGAGTATGATGCAGTGGTCTGTGAAAACATTAACAAGTTGAGAAAATTATTTGCACATAGCATAGTAATAACACAATGCCTTATTTCTGCCAGTAGCATCCTCCTTAAACTCTCTTTGCTCTCCCCATTTCATTCTGTGTATTTAAACAGGTTGGAGGAATTAAGGACAAAGTTCTAGCAGCACACCGAGCTGGACTAAAGCGAATTATCATTCCTCAAAGAAATGAAAAGGATCTTGAGGAGATTGCCGCCAACGTACGGCAGGATCTGAATTTTGTGATGACAAGCTGCCTGGATGAAGTTCTTAATGCTGCTTTTGATGGGGGATTTTCAGCCAAGACAAAACTTGATCACTTCAACAGTAAACTCTAAGCAGATTGACTTGGGCTCACTCAAGGAACAAAATGCAAAGCTGATGTTCATCTGGCAGGATGCAAAAAAAAATATGTGAGAGTGCTTAAAAGTGGCCAACACTGGAATGAGATTAGGATGTGTGAAAGGGCTCTTCTTCATTTGGTGGTACAAACTTGCTGCCCATTCTTACTGGTCTTTATGTGCATTAGTGGACAGGAGTCCAGAGAGATAGATTTGAATGCTAAGCTCTTAATTGTTAATCCCCTGTGCAATTAAGGGGTAGACTGATACAGCAGCAGAATATCCAATCACATGAGCCTTCATGAAATCTGCCTGTTAATTTATTGAAACCTGCTTTCTTCCACCCCCACCCGCCAAGAGCTTGATGCAAATGTTGAGATTTTACCTTGCTTTAATATCAAAGCTGTAGTTAAACTGTCACTGATGCCAAGCTACAGTATTGTTCACTTCGGGTTTTTAAGCTGAATGGGTATGCAAATGAATTAGTTCTGGTCTTGCACATGGGATTGTCCTGAGGTCTCATTCTTACAATAGACTAGGGACTTGCAGTTTTGAATCATAGGAGAGTCTCTGAAACTAGAAGAGTCTAATTTAGAACAGTCTAGGAAGTGTTGCAACAGAGGTGGCGAATTGTGTCTTCACCATTGGCCTTGCTGGCTGGGAGAAGTCCTACAACATTTGGGGTCCAAAGGCTCCCCCACTCCTGCTTTAGAGAGTAACTGCATCAAATTTAGTCTGCTGCCCCGCTGCTCCTTTGACTGCTTTAAATTAATGAAGTGATTCATTTGAAATGGTAGAGGAAGAAGCAAAGCATTTCTAGACAATATATGGCCTGGCTGATTTGTTAATAGTGCTGTTAAAATAGTGTTTAATATCAGAAACTTAACTTTGATTATTATAAAAGACTTTATTGCCTTGAAAAGTTGTAATGAGATCAGACACAAAATAAAGAGCTGATGGTACACAAGAGCCAACTTTCCTTTCAGGCTGAAGGTTCTCCTAGCACTGATAACACTTTCTACATGGAATGAGAAAGAGCCACATCTGCAGTGGTTATGGTTAGGGAAACAAGTATATGAAAGAGAGAGGAGATCATTCTGGTAAAAAAAGGGGAAAATAATTATCTATTGATTGCCTGAAGTATCTCAAGATGCCAGCTTGGCTCACAGGGGCATTTCTGAACAGAGGCTTGTTAGTGACATAACAGCTGTGAGAGATGCGACATACAGAAGAGAATGAGGTCTCCCAGACTGAGCAGTAGCAACTGTTCCCCCTGAGCAGCCCTCCAGCTGTTGGACTCTAACTCCCATCAGCCAGCCCCAGCCAGCATGCCCAATGGCTAAGGATAATGGGAGCTGTTGTCCCAAAATATATTGTGGATGGTCATCATAGGGTGTTTTCAGAGCACATTCATTCATTTCCACAAAGGAGTCCATTTGCGTTCGATACAAAATGGGTTGTTTACACAACCCAGTTACCTAAATAATGCTCATTGGTTATTGCAGGGATGAGGAACTTGTGGCCTTCTGGACGCTACTGTACTCTTAACTCCCATTATCCCTGACCTTGCTGGCTGGAGTTAATGGGAGGTGGAGTCCTACACCATCCACAGGAACACACGTTCCCCACCCCCTGGGTTATTTGAAGCTCTTGCTTGTCTAAAAACCTTGTTTCACAGAGGCCACACACAATGACTTCCGTTTAAATTACATTTTAAATAACTTTTTAAAGGTTATATAGCCTTACGTTTCGCACAGACACGTTTTCAGCATTCTGTTTCACATAAAAGAAGTTCTAGTAAACGTCCATCCATGTAGCATGGCATGAATAAAGCACAGTGCTTAAATGTCATACGATACTATGCAAGGCAGCACTAGCCCTGGCCTTGTTCCATGGAATGTAGCTTGGGCATGTGAGCGAGAGATGCATCCTTCACAGGGCTTAATATATGGCTGCAATTTTGGCTTTTAAGAACTCCATGTGCAACACACTACTTGACTAGTGTACAAAATCATACCATAGGGACGGAAGGGGGTCTTTCTTACCACACCCAGTGCTCAAAGGACATGGGGTTCTGCAACCCACCGCAGGCTACAGGCACTTTGATTTGATTGATAGATGTGAACACACGAGCAGCACTACTTTATTGTACAAATTTGTGGGTACAATTAGTATTTATGGGAATTTTGTTTTACAAACACACAAGGCTACAGGCAGGCACTTCAGATACGCACTATGGTGTTGGATCACTTTCCACTGCATTTTATTTATTGCTCTTTCAGCTGTTCCTGCCCCTCCCCCATCTTCTCCCACATCAAGCAGGGCAAATCTATTCTGGTCATGAATAGCTCAGGGCTTCTGAAGTCACAACCTCATCACACCCAGAGGTATTTGATCAATGCAAGATTGCAAGCGATACTGGTAGGGTCAGCTTGCTTAAACCATTTTTGACACACCCACTATTTTGACACTCTTGGAAATATGCTCCCTGCCGCAAACTGTATATGTTTAAATGGGCCAGCTGCAATTCCTTTTGTTCACTCTCAAAATAAGCTTTCATCATAATTGCCCCACACAAGCCCAGCTTTTGGTTCATATATTCAGTACTGCTCTTTAAAAACGTTTTCAAAGCCATTGGGAAATTTTTATTATCTTAGGGCTGCACAGTGCTGTGCACTTACTTAGAAGCAAGTCTCACAGAATGCAATGAGGCTTGCTTCTGCAGGCAAACATAGGATTGCAGGTTTATCATGACATCAACTGAAAACAATCTAGTCAAGTACAGCAACCCTCACCCTAGGACAACTGAGTCCTGCAAAAGAACAATAGATGTTTTAGAACTCCTAGTAAATATTTTACTTTTGAGTGTCAACCTACATATAGAGGTGATCCAGTCAACACTGTGTACATAGGGTTGTATCCAGTTCAAGAGTGGACCCAATAAAATAAATGGGCGTAAGTTAGGTATATCAATTACTTTCAATGGATCTGCTCTAAGTAGGAAAAACACTGGAAACAACTCTTACTTTGAAAAAACCCTTCACCAAAAATACTTGAGTAAGCTTCGTAGTTATGGGATAAGAGGACCTCCTAATGGAGAGTGAGATAGTGGAGTCCCCTTTGTTTCAGTATTGCAACCTGTGCTTTTCAACATGTTCATTTATAGATGTGTTTGATAAAAGTTTTTATAAACCACCAACTAAAAAAAATATATATTGTGGTGTATAACAACAACAACAACAACAATTTGTTAATTTGTTAATTTATTATTTGTACCGCATCTATCTGACTGGGCTGCCCCAACGACTCTGGGCGGCTGATTAAAATCATTTAAAAAATCATAAAACACAAAACAAATGGCCAACCCTGAATCAAAGTAATTCTCTACAAAACACTTGGCAACAAAACATTGTAATTGCCGGTTTAATCTCCATGGGAACAGTTATCCAAAGTACTAGCGCCATGATGCTAAAAGCTTTAGTTCTCATACACACTAAACAAAAATGAGGATGGCATTTGATTATTGTAGTGATAAGAGACAAGGCAAGCCGTGATATTCTACCTCCTCTGTCAGCAGCAATCAGAAAACCAGTTTCTGAAAATCGCAAGAGGAGAGAGTGCTGTTGCACTCAGGCCCTGCTTGCAGGCGCCCCACAGCCATCTGGTGATCATTGTTAGAACAGGATGCTGGACTAGATGGGCCTTTTGGACCAAGTCAGTGGGGCTCTTCTTATGCAGTGTATCCTCACCTTCTAACAGATTCTTAAAAACCTAGAAAGTCATGTGAGGATACTGTAAGCTGTTCTTGCCCTATTTTTCTTTCCCAGCTGACACTCAACATACTGACTGCTGACCATGCTCCATTATCATCAGACTAAATTTGTATTGGGCCACTGCAGAAAAGGCCCTCACTAGAACTTTTTAGACAAGTCTTATTTAAAAGGGAGAAAGCAGGGCATCCAATTAGGGCACCAGGCATCAAATGCATATAGATGAAGGCCCTCCTCTTCCTAAATATATTTTCTCCAGACAGAGAACTGAAACCCTAAGGGGAGGACACACACACACACACACATCATTCCTGGAGTTTCCTTTCTCTTGGCTCCCGTTAACCAGCTTATTTTTATCGTTCTTGAACCCTGCTCAATTTGTATTTGTCAGTGGGAGATTCTTCCTTGGCTCAGAAGCGGAGAGATTCCTCAGCTAATCTTTTCCCTCCTCTGCTCCTGTAGAGCAAGCTTTGTGGGAAATTTTGCCCTCCGACCCTCACTGCTAAGGAATGCAACCCTTTGTCTTCCTGCTAGCCAGTCTGGAGACACTTGATGAGAAAATCCTGCAGGCATCCCTTGCCTCTCCTGGAATGGGAAGTTACCCCGCCTGAAGTTATAGGAAGCCACTGGCCAAGGCAGGAAATGTTAATGGAGAACTGGGAGGGAGAACTGATTGAACTTCCCTTTTGAAAAAGCTCTGTAAGTTCCCCTTCCAACACATCACTGAGTCATGATTCAAAGCAAGCTGCTGGGGATTGCTATGAAACCACCCTTTCCATCTACTCCAAATCCAGGGCATGAAAAAATTATCTTGAACCAGAAGGGAAGTATTCCTTAGTGCAGCAACTCTAACTCCCAAACTATGGTCCATGAGCCACATTCAGGTGGTCCATGGTATAGCCACATTCGATATCGTGTTTAATTATACTTTTGTTGCTTCTTTTATTGTAATCCTAAATGCACTTCATTGTATTATAATCTGAATTCTACGATTCAAACTGTAATACAGTGGTACCTTGGTTTACAACCATAATCCATTCTGGAGGTCCATTTGTAAACCAAAACAGGTTGTAACCCAAGGCACACTTTCGCCAATGGGGCCTCAAAAAAAAAGAAGGAAAAAAAAAAAAGGGTTGTAATCCAAAAAAAGGTTTCAAACCGGGACATGCACTTCCGGGTTTGACGTCTGTAATCCAAAACTTATGCAAACCAAGGTACCACTGTGCAGTATAATACAATGTAAGAAATAAAAGCAGCAATAAAAATAGATGAAGAATGGTACAGCATCTAGCACAGCACATTCCAAATGCAGCTGAAATATCAGAGCTATAGTTAAATTGTCACTGATGTCAAGCTACAGTCTTATACTTGAGTAAGCTTCGTAGAAAGCAAAATGGAATTTCAGTAAAGGAAGGTTGCAGCAGGGATCAACACTTCACCACCCCACCCCCCAAAAAAATCGAACCAAAAGTTCATAGGGAGACATCTCCAACCAGAGAGGCAGCTTCAAGATACTTTTCCAAAATGGAAGAATGAATACACATCTCCTGTCCCACTGGTTATTGAATATGTGGTCATAATTCTGTTTCAGCAGGATTTGATGCCATAATACTGTTTCCACCCTATTCTTCCAAAGGCATGTGCAGACAGCCACTGTAGGGGGCTCAAGAATGAAAAGCAACCAAATAAACACTTCCTTTTTAATACAGCCAGGCTGCATCATTGTCTGTCTTGAAATTGGTATTTCACAAAGGGGTAAACATGCATAATGCTTTCCCTCCAATTATTGCATGTATACATGAACTGAAAGCAGCCAAGGATGGGCCTAGGGACTGCCCTCAACACTGTGACACAGAATAAAATTGATGCTCTGGAAAAACCCACTTTTTTCATTCTCTCGTTACATGTCATAGCAACATAGACTCCTACAAAGCCCCACACCCATATGCTAATATTTCATTTCCATAGTCCATTTCTGAATTTAACCCAGCAAGTATAACAGGAGTCTCCAGTAACAAGAGAGATTCAAACCGGTCTAACTTGCACATCAAAAGCCAGGATGTTAAGTGTATTGTATGAACAAAGGATCTGAAATTTGTTTACCTCTTTTGTTCTCTCACATCTCTGACTTTCTAAGCACGAAGGTTTCAGCCCTAAACACACCATTACTAGGAAGTAGTTCTTACTGAAAACAGTTGGTTTTACTTACAGGTGAAGATGTGTAGAAGAGGGCTGCACACATTTTTTAAACTGTTACATAGGCAGTCTATTTTCTCCGTTAAAAAGGGCACACGAGGACAACCTGGATCTGACTGCAGTGCATTCAGCTTTTTTTTTTTTAAGGCAGTAACAACATTGCCTCCTCAAAACCATTTTTATAAACCTGGAAAAGTAGTCTGCCTCTGATGCTGCAGCAATGGCTCTCACTTCAAGCTGCATGAGAGTGAGAAGCCACAGGGCAACAAGAACAAATCAGCAGCTACTTTCTGTTTCATTAAACAAACGTGTGGCATTCATCTTGGACCATTTAAAAAGATTTTTAAAAATAAAAAATGTCTGTGCATGTCAACTAGAATTACTCCCCAATTGATCTGGATTTTCTATTTTTTTCAGAAAAGAAAAATCCACCTGAGAGCTGCTGGTGATCAGGGTATACACTAGCAGCTTAGACAGACTCTGGGCAGCTTCATTATGACTTGGCACATAGTTTGAAGGCACATAGTGCAACTGATTTGCTGATGCTAAGCAAGTTTAGATCTGGGCAGGGTCTGAAAAGCTTCCATGTTCATTGCTTTGAGTTCCATCCCAGAGGACAGGGGAGATATACATATTAAAAATACATGTCACCTTATTTATACTGCCAAGTGGGTCTGCAAACATTCCCAGAACACCAGATAATTCAGGTAACTGAAAGAAAACACCTTTGCAGTTAGTAGTGCAGCAGTTCAACACCTAAATCCTATATGGCTTGGATCCATGTTACCTGAAAGATTATTATCTCTCTATTTGAACCTGCCCTGGTGCTAAGATCTGTGGGTAAGCATCTTCTTTTGGTCCCATCAAAGTTGGTGGTGACAGGAGAGCCAAGCCTTTTCCTATATTGTGGGATTCCCTCCCAAAAGGGGTTAGACCAGATCTCTGTTAGTAGGTTAAGAACTTCCTATTTAGACAGAGCTTTAAAAACCAGGTGCAGTTTATGTTCACTACTGGGCTGCTTGTTATCAGGGCAATCAGTATGTTAATACTGGCTCTAAGTGTGTTTTACCGTATTTTAACTATTGTTTTTAACTAGATTGTTTTTATTACTCCACATTTTTAAATGTTTTTAAAATTGTTGTAAGCCGCCTTGAATCCCAACTTGGGAGAAAGGTGGAATAGAAATACTTTAAATAAACAAACAAATCCAGCATAATTGGCTGCAGTATGCACAATGCTCCAAGGTGCTCTCCAAGTTTATTTGCAATGTCACAGAGAACAGCAGGGCACAGATTCTCAGAAAACATACAGCTGCCAAGATGCATGCCATCCAAATTGCATGCCATTTCACTCATGCCCTGAAATGCATCACTGTCCAAAAGCAAGGTTATCTTAAAATATCTGCATAATTCTTACTCAGTTTCAATGCCCTTCCTTAAATATAAGGGGGAAAGAGGGGCAAACATTAAGAACTAAGCTTCAGAGTTAAATGACCCTCCCCAAACAAAAAAAATCAGAAAAAAGTATTTATGCAAATACATTGATTGCTTATGTGTACATTACACCTTAAAGTGAGCAAAGCCCTGCTGGATCAAGACAACGCCCCAACTAGTCCAGTACTTTGTTCTCACGGCAGCCAACCAGATGCCTGTGGAAAGCCCACAAGCAGGACCAAAATGCAAGTGCTTTACCCATTTGAAATTCCCAGCAACTAGAATTCAGAGACATACTGCCTCCACCATCGGAGACAGAACCAAGCAATAGTGACTAGTATTTTTAACAAAACAAATTCCTTCCATCCAGTAGCACCTTGGAGACCAACTAAGTTTGTTATTGGTATGAGCTTTTGTGTGCATGCACACTTCAGGTACACTGAAACAGAAGTCACCAAACCCTGATATATAGTGAGATGGTGGGGAGGGGCATTACTCAGAAGGATGGTGGGAATGGGTGATTGGCTGATAGGTGTGGTAAACCTGTTGACAACTGCAACTGGTCTTACAGGAAAAAGCAAGGGGTGAGATGGCTAAAAATAGCTTTATCGTGTATAATGAGATAAGAATCCAATGTCTCTATTCAGACCAGGTCTCTCCATGGTTTTAAGCTTGGTAATAAGTTGCAATTCAGCAACTTCTCTTTCCAGTCTATTTCTGAAATTCTTTTGTAGTAAGACAGCTACTTTGAGATCTTGTGTAGAATGTCCTGGGAGACTGAAGTGTTCTCCTACTGGTTTCAGTCTGGCTCTGATGATCTGTTGTTTAACTTCATCAGGTGGGTATTTTAGTTCTAAAAAGGTTTGCTGTAGATCTCTTAGGTGAATGTCTCTGTCTGTAGAGTTGGAACAGATGCGGCTGTAACGTAGGGCCAATGGATTGTTTGGTATGTTTGGTATGGTAGCTAGAAGCATGTAGATATGTTTGTCGGTCAGTTGGTTTACGGTATAAGGTGGTATCTATACGCCCATCCTGTATTTTTATAGTAGTGTCCAAAAATGTATTTCTTGCATAGATTGGTTCATTGTTAGGTTGATGGTGGGGTGAAAGTCATTGAATGTCTGGTGGAAGGTGTCCAGGGTCTGTTGACCATGTGTCCAGATAATAAAAATCATCAACGTATCGCAGGTACAAGAGAGGTTTGAGTGGGTAGGAGTTTAGGAAACATTGTTCTAAATCTGCCATGAAGATGTTGGCATACTGTGGGGCCATGTGGGTGCCCATTGCTGTGCTGTGCTGCTGATCTGGAGGAACAGGTCATCACCAAATTTGAAGTTGTTGTGGGTAAGGACAAATGGCAGAGTTTGGTAGCAAAGTCTGCTGTGATTTTATTTGAAATGGTGTTCCTTATAGCTTGTAAACCATCGCTGTGTGGGATGTTGGTATACAGAGATTCCACATCCATAGTGGCTAGTATAGTATTGTTAGGAAGATTATTCAAAGATTGTATTTTCCTCAGAAAATCTGTGGTGCCACATATGTAGCTGGGAGCACTGATGGCATATGGTTTCAAAACAGAGTCCATATAACCGGTAACACCCACAGTAATAGTGCCAATACCTGAGATGATGGGGCATCCTGGATTTCCTGGTTTGAGTATTTTAGGTAGAAGACAGTATTTTTAAGCAAGCTTAATAAGCAACAGGCTGAATGGCACTTACCTTAATGCAGCTGCTCATTTCATACCTGCTTTGAAGTCAAAACTAATTAGTAGCACAGTCAATATCCTGTTAAAGCAAACTGCAATCTATTGAATTCTAGATTACAACTAAATATTTACATATAACATAGCAGTTGGGGGGGGGGGGAATGGGCAGGATCAGCCATATTTAAGTACTTTGATAACCAAGGAATTGCATGGGGGAGAGTGACTGGGCTGATTACCAGGACAGAGTGCTTCATTCTTCCTCTACACAAAGTATAGAAATCATTGGGCTGCCAGAGAAAGGAAATCCCAGTGCCACCTCACCTAGCACAGAAAGCTCTACAGCCGTCCTCTGCTAGCCTGTGACAGACTAGTAACTCTCCTGAGCTTAGTTACAAGACTGATTCAGCCACAGCAGACCTGGAGAAGTACCCCTCATACAGTGTATTCAAACCCTCTCTCCTCCCAGTTCCCTAGCTGCATTGTGCTGAAGCATGCCTTGTGGGTCTTGGTGAAATGAGGTTCTTTTTGTGCCTCACATCTGCATCCAGCAGCCTTCTGCTTCCTAGACCCCCTTCCCACCACAGTGCTATTCCAGCTGTTGAAAAGATAGAATATTTCCCATTCTTGCATTGATTCCTGCCTGCTCCTTCTATTAAAGGAATCCTTATAGATTACTTTTAATCTTTCACAAGCACTTCCCTCAGGATAACTTTTAAGACATGCAGAGTGTTCATCTGTGTAATCCGTACAAAAATTAAGAGAGCCTTGGCACAGATCCCATTGGCAAAACAAAAGTAAACACAAAAGAAATATCACATTGGTTGACATTTCTGGAAAGTAGATGCAGCATTAAGCCCTGCATGTTGAATCCCAGAAATCCCAACCATTAATGTTTCAGAAAAAAGGTCAGGTCAAAGAATGGCTGCTACTACCACCACCACCACTACCACTGGGAACTCCTCTAGGAGCTAGGAACACTATCAGTGTTCCCCTTGTGCAAGAACAGGCAGCATATCCTTGGACAAAGGAACAAGGAATTCTGAGCAATGTTGCATTCAAGTGAGCTTCTATTCCGTTAAGGCAAAAAATTCACTTAAAAGAGTTTTCAGTTTGCCAGGAATTCTTTTAATGACAGAATTTAAAAAAGACCAAAAACAGCTTATTTCAACTGCCTCATTTAAACAAATGGTCTGTAATTTATAGTTACAAATACTGTATAGACAATGCCTTCTTGTACTGCACAACCAATAAATACAAGAATGACTTCAAAATGTCTAAAGGTCTCTAAAGTCATTTGAAAATGTGCCTGACCTTCCACTTTTTTAAATTAGAACATTCTCAAACAAATCTGCAGTTATGCTTGAACTCAAAATACAATGGCATCTACAATTTAAAAGAAGCCGTTTTAGGAATCAGTTCAATGTTGCCCCTTTTTAGACACTGTTATGTTCACAAAAATAGCTGAATGAACAACAGTATCATTGAATGAACTACTGGAAAGAGACTAAGGACTTCAATCCTTTGCAGAGTTACTCAGGTTTAAGTTCCATATAGGTCCACAGGACTTATCTGTACTATATAACCAGTGGCAGGATTGCACCCCCCTAAAAATGATACCAAACATACAGAAGTATACACTTTACCATAAGTAATTATAAGTATCAGAAAATGGACACCTGTAATTAATCTCAAAGGGTCAAAAAAAGGAAAAAGGAAAAACCTGAATTACATAAAAGAAAAAAATCATTTATTTAATGAAAAACTAGAAGTTAATAAAAATTAGCAAATACACAGAAAATTTACACAAGAACAGCAGCAATACTATGTAGTGACTTACGCAGTGGGAGGGGAGGAAGAATAGGGGGAAGTAGCGGCCAGAGACTGGACCGCCTTGCATGGCTTGTCAGTCAAAGGAAAAGAATACAAATTAAACACAAAACAGTATCTGTTCCAAACGTACAATCAATCTACAAACAAGTTTAGAATTATTTTACAACACATTTCATTCAATCAGTTCTTAATACAAAAAGATGCCCATTTTGGGTAGAATATATATATATATACACATACACGCATATATATATATTTTCAGTGGTTTACTGCTGACTTATTTTAAATATATTAGTGTTATTACATGCAACTGTTTCCTGTACTTTAACAGCCTTCCTATTAATTTACCTTCATATATGCTAACCTCTCCCTACCAAATTGTTCACATCTGGCAGTCAAAGATGTTTACCTTTGTTCTATGAAACTGAATGCTGTGGGTTGTTTTTAGACACTGGCCTGAAAACGTCAGATCGCGGTTTCAACACATCGAAATCGTCACATTAATGCCTAAATTGCCGTTCTCTGCAAAAAGCTGTGCAATGCTGGTGTCAAAGACTAGACAGTCACTGTTCATGATGGCAGTTGCAATCCCTTCGTGAATTGATCGAGGAGTTGCTTCCCAAGTCAATCGTCGCCTATGACCATTTAGCTCAAGTCGATAAGCAAAATTTTCAGCTTGTTTCCGTGTTCCTATCAGCTGTACAATTGCAAAGAACTGCTGGTGACCATCGTATTTCTCCTGTTTCTCCAATACAAGCATGAAGTGAAAGCCAAAACAAGACTGCATCATAACCCAGTCAACGGCACCAGGAAGATTAATGTCTGTAGCAAGGAAAACTATATCTTCTCCCTGTAGTGTCGTTATTGACTTATGTTGGTGCATGAGATGAGGCATGACAGCATCTAGAGAGCCTTGCCACTTACAAGAAGCACCAGGACATGGGCACGAATAAGGCCTGAATTCACAAAGCTCTTCGTGGTCTGCTTTTTCAGTGTGGGGCAAAGTGATTTCGCAGCCAGAGGAGGCATATTTACAAGGAAACAGTACAGAGTTGGCAACCTTTTCCATAGCCAAGTTACGAATTGAACCCAGTGGGCCTCGGCAGGTCGGACAGCATGTGAGCTTGGGACGACAGTTGCTACAAACAAGATGGCCACTTTGGCACTGCAGAATAGGTGGCAGTACATAGTCAAAACAGACAGGACACTCAAAGAGACTAGCCAAGTCATTGTTGGAAGCGGTGGTGCCAGTCAATGCAGGCACCCTCTGTGATGGTGTGCACTTGGAGGTACCCGTGGGAAGCGCTGTAGCAGTTTGACGACTCATTTCTGTAAGAAAGCAAAACAAAATGAGCACATTTGTAAAGCCCCCTCTTTCAAAAGAAAACAATCAAGCCTATTTTTTTGGGGGGGGGGGGAGAATCTGACACATTTACTAAATGTAAAAATGGTCTAATCCAGGGTTTCCCAAACTTAGTTCTCCAGCGGTTTCTGGACTACAGGCCATCATCCCTGACTACTGGTCCTGTTAGCTAGGGATGATGGAAGTTGTAGTCCAACAGCTGCTGGAGATCCAAGTTTAGGAAAGCTTGGTCTAATCCAACAGGGCTTGTAGGTCCATCCAGTCCAGCATTTATTTCTCACAGCTTCCAGAAGGGTAACAAGCACAGCATGAAGACAGCAACCCATCCTATATGCCAACTTCCCCAGAAACTTGGTATTTACAGCGATACTGCCTCTGATTATAGAAGCTCCACTTAGCTAGACCAATTCTCCATTAAATTTTCCAATCCTTTTTCAAAGCCATCTAAGAGAATGGATGTTGGGGAGGTTTTGCTAAGACTTTCAGGTATAGGGCAGTATATAAATTCAATTAATAATAATAATAATAATACCAACACATGTTACTTGAATTGCAATCAATATATAATATATTGGAATATGTATTTTAACCACATTTATTAATAATTTGTAACTAAAGAAATGGATGAGATAGTTGTAAAGGAATACTGCTTAATTAGAGCACCTAATAAGGTGGTTTAGGGTAAATGAATTTTAATCTATTTTTTAACAGCCATCTAAGCCATGGTCAACACCACATCTTGTGGTTGGGAATGCCATACATTAATTTGTTGTGTGAAAAGTGTTTTCCTTTGTCTCCCCTGAAATTAATTTCACCAGGGGACCCAATAAATGCTAAATACTACCACATTTCACAATGTCTGAAAACAGAACCTGATGTGATCTGCATTAAAACATAAAAGCCACCATCAAGTTCATGCTCATGTCTGCGTCTAGGTCTCAGTGGAAGCAGTGGAAGTTAAGTGTGTTTAACTGTGTCTGGGCTACAGCCAAAGTACCAATGAAGTTTAAACAGGGTATTAAAAAGTCTTATATAGCAACTAGTCATATGGCGTTAAGAAGTAGTACAGACTTTCAGGTGCTGGTTTTGTATGGAGTAACACAGTCTGTTTGAGTAAGTAGTATCTCAGAGTTAAAATGCTCCTGAAACTCAAATGCCAAGAGAGCTTCTCTACATGTAGGATACATCAAACCTGCGATTGTAGCCACACCCTGAACAATGTATAAAAACACAGGACTGCAGTCACAATCCTTCTGTTGTAACAACTGCAAGCAAAACCTGTAAGTGACCAGTAAGCTGGTTTGTTTTACTGCATATATTTACCCCACAAAGAAAAATCCCTGAGGCATGCAACAGTGGGCAACTGCTAATGATCTCAGAGATGAGGTGATTCTTTCCACCATCTCAAAAATCAGACTAATTAGTGTCTACTTAAAAACATAACAGCTTCTCTAGTTAAGTTTTGTGCTATTCAGGAAACCTTATCCTTGATACATTCAAAGTTCTTACTCAATGTACTCTGGGCAGCAATTAGCAATTTTGCTTAGCCATTTGCAGCACAGAAATCTCTACCTCACTTAAAGACAAGCAGTAACGTTACAAGGAAAAAGAATGACAAAATTCCTGGTGTATGTATCGACACATACTTTGCATATAGTGTTGTTTTAAAGATAGGAGAGCAACATCTTTTTTTAAAAAAAATAAGCAGACTAAAATAGAAACGTTTTGTACTATTCACACTTCAAGCATGGTAATAGCTTACAATTGGTTTTTCACATTAGTCAAAATATTTTCACAAAGTCTCTAACCATCTGGCTACATTTTTTGTGTGTGGTTGCAATGCTATTACATACCTTAGAGACTATAGCTAACCTTAATAGCCTGCTAAAAGGTTCACTGGGAACTGAGCAGCTTATGGTGCATTTTTAGTGAACATAGAACTGCAAGTATTTAAATCAATTAATGGTATGGATCAAGCAATTAAAATATTTTGAATAAAAATATGCCACCAATTAATTGATAGGCAGATTCTTTCAAGAATCTAATCACACTTTGTAGGGAGTAATTCCCATTAACACAGTGGGCCTTACTTCCGTGTACACATGCATATAGGCACACTGAGCTAATTATTTTTGCTTACAAAAACATCATATTGGAACAGACATTTCTTCTATCTCAGACAGTAAGGAATGTCTCTTTCCATATGCTGCCCCCTGTGACACATGTACGCATCTAAAAACAAAAGACCATTTCCTTCAGAATAATTTATTTGTACACAGGTGTAACCAACAGATTACAATTTATGACCAAACCATTTTAAACCTTTAAATCACCTGACAGCCCACACATGTAGATAATCCAATGTGGGAAGAGTCAAATGTTCATTTCGGCATCCCCATCTTCCCATCTTGTAAGCCTTGCAAGGTAATTACCACTACACATATGCTTAGAAGCTGAGCACCAGAACAGGCAAGCTCAGCTATCTCACACATTTCAATACACCACTGAACAATTCACATTCAACTCTGAATGAACATTTAAACATAAGCACATTGCTTCAGTTTTTACCAAATTAATCTGCAATGCAATAAATATATCCACTGACAAATACCAGGTTGTCCCAACTATCTTACAGGCCCAATCAGAGCCTTCAGTTATCTATGGAACTCATTCCTGGAAAACCAGAGAAATCAACTAGTTTTCCTATGGGCCAACTCTCACAACATTTTAATATGAGTAAAATTACAATATCCAACAAGGACCCAGAACCTGCTAATACTGACAGACTGTTCCCAGATTGCATGGGTGGGGCTTGGCCTGATCTGGGTAGGGATACACTCTCAGTGAAGGAGGCATGTAGCTCATGGGTATTTCTGGCTCCAGTAACGTAGCTTGAGGTACAAGTGGCCTCAGTGGTGCAAACTATCTACGCCCCTCTCTGGCCAGATAGACTAACTTGTTTTGCATACACTTTGGTAACTTCTAGGTTAGATTAGTGCATGAGTCAGCAAAACTAAGGCCTGGAGGCCGGATCCGGCCCAACTGTCTTCTGGATCTGGCCCATGGACGGTCCTGGAATTGCCACGTGGATCGGCGTGGGGATTCTGATTGTTCAGGCTGCGCCATTCCCTCCCCTCACACACACCATGGAGGCACCTCCTCCCTCCCTCCTCCTAGCTTCTCCCCCCCTCCCTAGAGGAGAAAGGGGGCTGGGTTTTGTTGAGCCATGGTTGGCTGAACATCATTTTACGCAGCCCCTCTCCGGAGCCAGCCCTTTCGCGGCACTCATTGTCCTGCCACCAGCCCCTGCCGCTTGCAAGGCATAGGTAAGCAGCCACTGGGGCTCATCCAGTGCTGTAGAGAAGGGAGGGGAGAGTCAGTGGAGAGGAGCTTCCCAAAATATAGTCCGGCCCCCCACAAGGTCTGAGGGACAGTGGACCGACTCCCTGCAGAAAAAAATTGCTGACCCCTGGATTAGTGTAATGTGTTGTGTGGTTGAGTTCCCTCGAAAATGATTTGGAAACCACAGCTAGGCAAAATTCAGCTGCCAAATTGCAGGACAGTTTGAGCATAACATCAATTTTGGCACAACTGCACTGGTGGCCAAGTTTAACTCTGGTTTTGACCTATAAAGCCTTAGGCAGTGCAGTACCCCAATACCTCAATGACCACCTCTATACACACGAACTCACCTGGACCCCGCATTCCATCACCTTTCACTATGTGTCCCTCTAAAGGAGATGCAGAGTGAAGATACAAAGAATGGGCCTTTTCAGTGGAGACTCTGCACTTGTAAAATGCTCTCCCCAGGGGGTTATGCCTGGAACTATCACATTGTTTTTATTTGCCCAGGCTTCTGACTCTTAAATTGGAAGGTGGTTGTTGTTTTTAGCCTACTTTTGTGCTCATCCTTTTAGTGGGGTAGGTTGGATATGTCCTTTTTATATATTTTTATGAATGAACATTTTAGGTTCTTGTTTTAGTCTTATTCTTCTGTTTGGTTTTAATGTTTGTTCTTGTACTGCAAGCTGCGTTGCAAAAAGTGACAAGTATAATCATAATATATATAATCATATATAATTATATAAATATATAATCATAATACTATTTTATGTACAGTTTACTTTTTCTTTTTTTCCATGGTTGATTGTTTTATGTATTCATTGTTGCAACGTATCCTGGGATTTAGGACAAAATGTATGATATTTTGCTTGAAATTATTTGATACATAAAATCAATCAACAAGACAGGAGCCTATAATATTAACATGGACAACTCATTTTTAATTTTTTTAAAACCCACAACCTCAAAAAATAATCAAAATTTACCCTATGCCAGTTCAGAATGTTGCATCTGGGTGGTCCCTCACAAGAGAACACCAAAAACACCTGTAGTTTATACTGAATATATTAGTACAAAAGGTTTACGAGTTTTTGCTTACAGTTACTCAGAATGTCTCATCTCTCCTTTTTGGCAGGGTTTGCTAGAAGAGAAGCGGCCTTGTTCTGTGAACACTGAAGTCAACACCATAATGCTCCGACTACTAGGCAAGATCTAACTGAAACTGCTGGTTTTACCAAGTGTACTGTGCAAACTTTACCTCCAATTTAAGTTAATATGAGAATTTGTTTTGACTTGTTATATGTTTCATAAGACATCTGTAAACCCCAAACAAAACTCTAATCGTATGAATTTTGTCACAAAAAAAATAAAAGCCTGAAAGATTCAAATTATCTCTTTGAGTAGCACCAAATGTACTGCAATTCAATCAATAGAGCCTGTCTCCTTTGTTCTCGAAGAACCAAAGAACTAACAGTTCGGTCATAAAGTATTAGACCTTGATGCACCTTTCTCAATTTCTACTGGGTATACTGTACCTACGTCTGAGTTGTCACTTGTTAAGATCTAAAAGCTTGATTTAAAAAAACACACCCACCCCTTAATGACCCATTTTTTAAACTACAGCTGTGCTCACAAGAATACCTTATCACTGTTTGACAGCCAGAGCTAGCCCATCACAGTGTCCACACTTTACTACAGATAATTTGGTGTTAAATCTGAATTAGTTGTAAGCATCCCTGTGAGACCAGAATTAAAGTGTTGAAGCTACTGACCATCAGTCATGTATTTTCTAAGTACATATGCCTCCTTTGCATTACAAGGGCTTGCATAGTAAACACCACATTTTTGCAGGGTGAAGTAGTGAGCAACCAGAAGAAAATGGAGTAGAGGAGGGAGGGAAAGAACAACATAAACAAAACTGCAACAGAACTGTGTGTACAGATGCTTCTGCAGTGAAATAGTTAATCCTGAAGTCACCAAGGGAACACAACCAGATGTTGGAGGTTGCTGTACTTTTTTATAGCCATCTGAGAGTTTTATTCACCTCTGCTACTCTACTACAATGCACAAGGCTGCTGTTTAAAAAAGTAAAAGAAAAAGTAGTAGTGATAGCTATTTTCATCAGCACCAGCTTGGAACGATAGCCCTCGCTCTTGACAAAGTTCTGGCTGCAGGCTTGGACACTATATTGTGATTCAAGGAAGTAAATAAAACCTATTTTACTTTGTCACCATCTCCTTTATTAACACAGGGCAAATAGTACAAGAGGAAAAAGACATTCAAATTGACTCTCATTATGTCTATTTTTTAAAGCCATGTTAATTGTTCTGCTACAGTAATTCCATAGAATAAAAATTAAAGTGAGCAGTGTTCACACCAACTAATTACAGCTGAAGTTACAACCAAGGTCTTTTTCACCCACATAAACCTTTACACAAATCTTCAGGAACACCACAGATAAATATGAAGTGGACATATATGCAACAGCCTGGGGTGCTTGGGGTAGAAAGTGGATCTCTACACAACAAAGGAAATCCAGGGTAGCCTGTGAGTCACTAAGTATGTTTTGCACACACCACACACACACACACACACACACGTGTGGCTAAGTGCTGAATCCTGTCCCACCATCATGGAGCCTGCCAGATCCCGCCCAATTCTGCAACAATCTCTAACATCCATAAATTTTATGTGGCTCTTTGATTGCACCAAAGTTTCATATTGTGTCTTGATACCCACAATACAAAAATCCATGTCAGAATCAGATTATCACATGAGGAGCCCAACTTCTCACTAGTACACCCCCAAATTCCACTGTGCAAAGTATTTCTACAATGTCTGCTCCAGCTGAAAGGAAAAACTCTATAAAAAGTTCAGGTGCAGGCAAACAAACTAAAATTCCGTACCTTGTTTCCCCAAAATATTTTGATCATGCTGAGTAAACAGACGCATTTGAATGTTGGATCAAAACTTGGTAGGGGTTCAAGAAGGAAAATGCATTCAAATCCAGCCTCCAAATCTGATTTCCTTAACAGGTGCCTTGGTAATGAAAAGAGGGCAAACACCTGCATGAATTATATGATGAGCATTTTTACAGTATGTTTCCCCCCAGTAGTAGTTGGATTTTGAGGGGGAAGGGGAGCTACATTCCAAACGTGTAGTGAATGTAAAGAAAAATAAAACATGGACAACAAATCTATTTCTGATAACTCTTTAAAAAGATTACAGGATCAACTAGTGTACTCATCAAGTGAAAAGCTAAAGATGTTTATGATACAGTGCCAAACAAGGAAAATTGACCATTTGCGATATCCCAAGCAACTCCTGGCTTTCACAAATCTCACTGAGGTCCAGCGCCTAACAATGCCAGTGTAAGAAATGCTACCTTTTCTTTTGCTGGTTTTATTTCCTGGCAGGCATGTATCAAGGACTCCTTTCCATGCGTATAAAAAACTGAAGGCGGATTTCCCCGTCATGAGGAGTAGAACAGCTCATTGCGTTTCTCCATAGAAACAAAAACAATCCACAACAGAGGCCCCTCCTGGAAACGCCAAGGCTTAGAGACAGCCGGCGCGAAAACAATACCCAGAAGGGGGCACAAATCCATGCGAGGCAGGCAGCTCCCTGAACAAGGGAAGGGCGTTCCTTTAATGAAAGTTTCCGAAGTAATCCAAAGTGAAAGACGTGCTAGTGTGAAGAAGCTGCAGAAAGTCTCACCAATTAGATCCACTTTGATTAGGAAGCCTCCTAAGATGGAGACCCGAATTTCGACCCCCACCCAACTCCTTTTCTTGCGCGATCTCCGGAGCCCCCGCGAATCTGAACTGGAAACAACTGCGCCCAAACCCAAGAGGGAGGCGCACGGTCACATCCAAAAGCAGAAGCAGCAACTCCCGAGTTCAGTCCGAAGCCTCGTGTGGCAAAGCTATTGGTCGCCGAAGAAAGCCTGAGCTCACTCTCCGCCAGCTCCTCCTAAAGCCAGTGAGAACGAGGAGGCGGTATCCTGCTTGGGCCCAGGGAGGGAAGGAGGCTGGGCGGGCAGATCTGCCTCACATGATCAGCCGGGCTCCGTTTGCAGCCAGCTATCGCAAGCATCCGCCAAGGGAGACTGCTTAGCGCAGCAAAGGTCGCGCCGGGAAAAGGCGGCTTGGTCCTTCCTTCGCTACGAAGGGACGATCCTGGTCACTGCTCGCCCGGAAGACGCTCTCGAGGCCGAAGGCAAACGAGCGCCGGCCCATCCACCCCAGCCCCTTCCTCTCCAGCGATTAAGCTGTCTCCAAAAGCAGCTGAATTACTGTCCTTCCTGCACAGCAGGATTAATATGGAGCAAAATTCGAGTGAATGAGTCAAACTTGACAGGCTGGTAGACAGAGTCAAAACAATGGACTTGAACCATCTAGTAAAACAGTTTACTACGTATCTGATTTGGATCTGCCCCTTTAACTCTTAAGAATGTTGGTAATTTGCACAGCTGATGTTTTGAAACAAAGGAATCTTGACGTCTACCAAATCATACTAGTAGTCTACCTAACTCAATATTGTCTACACACTGCTTGGCAGAACTCTCCAGTTTGATGCAGGAATCTTTCCCAGCCCTACTAAGATGCCAGGAAGTGAACCCTAGGCATTTTGCATGCAAAGCATGTGCTCTATCACTGAACTATGCACCTTCCCATAAAAGGTCTTTATCTACACCCTGAGTATTTTTAAAAAACTGGGATAGCATGAGCAGGAAACTCCACAGAGATTTTACAGATGCCAATAGAGGAATGAGCCTAAACTGAGGAACTTCTGCTGACAAAATTCCAGTGTCTAGCCTTAACCCAAATTCTGTACCAAGGAAAGGGAGGATAGTGCCTGCAGCCTGGAGACACAGACCATGCAGTCAACAGAGGACAATTACTATGCACAAAATGCCAGGGATGGTACTGACCACAATGCTGCACAGCAATGACACATGGAAGAAACCACTCCAAGCTCAACAGGTTCATCTATATGCCTATACTCCTGCCTTGTTAAACACTTTAAGGAATGTATATGATCAACTAATTAAGTCATAAGAAAATTGGCAAACAGCTAACAAATGTGTTAATTGTCTTGCAAGCTCAAGTGCAGCATGGTGAGGATTTGAGGGGCTAGAAGCACATTTCTGGCTAGCAGGCCACTTCAGGCCTTGTTACAAATTGCTAGAGAGCTCTTTACATAGTTTAAAAGGGGGCTGAGGGCTCCCAGCAACCAGCTAATGATCAGGATAGCCACACTCCCTCTCCTTTTAAGGCAATAAAGCTTTAAGTGCCATTTCCTCCTTGATGCCTCCATACTGCTCACTGTGTCTGCCTAGCTCCCAAATTGTGCTGCCATTTACCGTTCTGATCACCTATTTCGAGAAGCTGGGCAAGATAATGAAGGACTTCTGCGTGTGAAAAATGGCAACTAAAATGATCAGGGGACTGGAGCAACTCATTTACAGTACAAGGAAATTTTATGTTTTGAGATACTGAGCTTCAGGAAAAAAAGTGGGGTGTATGTTAGAGATGTATAAAACGATGCACGGTGTAGATAAAGTGGGCAGAGATGCTTTTCTTCTTTGCTTCTAATGATTAGGACTAGAGGATATATGGTTTTCAAAATTGTGATATATCACTAGCTAAAAATTGTGATATACCAATATATTGTGATGTTAAAATAAGGATGGAACTATGCAAAGGCGAACAGGGTAACGTCCTGGCAACTGCTACTACTTGTTGCAGAAGTGGCCTGCAGGGCCTCAGGGAGCCGGTGGCAGAGGTGGCAGCAGCCTGTGAGGCCATATCATGGCAGTGGGAGGTGGCGACAGAAGTTGTGGTGGCATGCAAGGCCTTGCCGTGGCAACGGGAAGTGGTGGTAGAAGCAGTGGCAGCCTGGCAGCAGTGGTACAATAATCAGGAACTTGCGAGGCCTCATGGCAGTGGGAGGCAGCAGCAGCAATGGAGGCGACTTGCGAGGCCATGTTGTGGCAGCATGATGTGGCAGAAGTTGGGGTTGGCCTGCAAGGCCTCATGGTGCTGATGGGATGTGATGGCAGAAGCAGTCTGTGAGGCCATGTCACTGAGGTGGGAGGTGGCAGCAGAAGCCGCCTGCCTTGGTGAGGCCTTTAAGGCCACTGCCGTTTCTCACCACTGAGAAGCTTTGCAAACCGCCACTTTTGTGCCCCTGACACAAGGCCTCATAAGCTGCCACCGCTACTACTGAATTGCCATGGCAGTGTTGATTCTGTCACCGCCTGACCACCGCCGTCACCTCCCGTTGCTACCACAAGGTCTTGCAGGCTGCTGCTTCTGCTGCCACTTCTTGCCGCTGCTTCTGCTGCCACAGCAACATGACCTCACAGGCCTCCTCCTCCTCCTGCTGGGCAAGGCCTCACAGGCTGCTGGTTATTGTGCCACTAGTGCCAGGCTGGCACCACTTCTTCCGCAACAACATGACCTTGCAGGCCGCTGCTGCATCTGCCTCCCGCTGTGACATGGCCTTGCAGGCTGCCACCACAAGGCCTTACAGGTTGCTTGTGTTCAAGCAAATGTGAGCAAAAGTCTCCTGCAGGCTTTCCCCACACAAGACAAGGTTTGTTTTTGTTCTTTATTTTGTGTTTTTTATCTCGTATTTTTATGTTGTGAATTGCCTTGAGATCTATGGATGAAGGGCGGTAATACAAATTTTACTACTACTACTACTACTACTAATAATAATAATAATAAATGTAAGTCCTTCTGAATTTAATGCAGCTTACTCCCAGATAAGTGGCATTGGGATTGCAGACACAATGTATCATTATATAAATAATTCAATTTAATCTTCTACATCAAAGAGCTCAATAGTTGTCATAATGTTTCTATATTAGGAGTTTTGATTATCTTGTTCTTTTGGGATAATTTAAAATTGTGACTGTTTGTATATTTTTTCACCTCTTAGGTATTTAAAAAGTGAACCAAGTATGAGGGACAATAAACTGGGCTTTAATCTTGACAAATTGGAAAACATGGTTCCTGTGTCCAAGAAATTTGTCAACTGCTTGTTCTAGGCAGAATTGCACACCGCCTGATGGAGGGTTTGGAGGGCTTCTTAATCCAGCTTTGTCACTGGAAGTCTGGGTTGCCTCAGAGGCTAGAAGTGCCTTTAACTAGCTACACCTGGTATTACAGCTATGATCATTCCTGGGCTGGGAGAGCTTGGCCATAGTAGTTCAGGCACTGGTGACTTCAAGATTGGATTACTGCAATGCATTCTTTATGTAGGGCTTCTTGGGCTTCTTATAATTGAAAAAAAACAATAGTTACTTTAAAGCACTTAGAGGTTTCATAATATTCAAGTGGTAGATACATTTTGTTAAATAAATAAAATAAAAACAACTACATGTAACTACCTTAACTCTATCAAAACACAACCAAGGAAGTTCAAAAAGATGGAACTAGGAAATGCAAGTATCCACTCACTAATACACACTGGCACACTCTCTCATGTGCAGGCTTTAAAAAAATTTTTTTATTTAACAAAATGAAAATAACACCATGGGTGCAGCCAGGATTTGGGGGGTCAGGACTTTGTTGGGGGGCAGAACTAACATGACTGGACTATTAGTTAAGTATTTCTATTGTTTTACTTGATGGGGGGGCTGCCCCCAGGCTACATCCATGTATACCTACCATTAAATAAAAACAATCTTAAGTGCTTCCCCCCACTCTTAAATGGAAGTTAAGCCAATATTTTAAACCTAGTCCAAATGTATTTGACTTATATATCAACACATTGTAAGTGAAATGGAGAAAATAAGTAAGAAATATTTGCCAAAATAGCAATGATTTCTTTTCAATCCGCCTACTATCCAGAAGTCTGTATAATAATAGACCAAGACAGATCTGACTACAATGGGTATGGATTGTTGCAACTCTTAAATTTTAATGCATGTCTTATTTAAGACTATATATCCTACCAATTTTCCTTTCAAAACACTAACCCAGTAATGAAATGTGTTAATGAACCACTGTAGTTTAGTTATTTTTGTATTACACAAACACAAAAGCCTCAGGAGAGATAATTATGGGTTTTCTTGAACTCCTATCAGTCAGGAAACTTCGCATCAAGTTCCAGTTTTCAGTACATGCATTAGATCAAAAAGGAAAGTTATATCATAATATTCAAATACATAGGGCAATACTTAGCAGATGGGTTTCAAACCCTTGGTGAGTTAGATACTTCCCCTGCATGTGAGGACAAGCTCTGGGTGGAGGAGACGAGACGGGGTGGGAAAACAGAGCAATGTAGACACCATTATCCTACCCCAGGGGAAATGACACAACAGTGCCAGGGCAGGACATGCTATTCCTTCTGTGACTTATGTCACAGTAGTGTTGCTGCATTTTCTCTGGATGCAGCAATGCTCTGCCTGCATAGGCTTGGGCAAAGGCAACATTTTCAAGCCCTGCCTATACAAAGTACAAAATAAGCTTGATGCTGTTAGTGAGTTACACCTGCATGGTGGCTATAGCAGTGCTTGCAGGACTACAGCCATTGCAAAGAACCTTCAAACTCCAACAGACTGCTAGCAATTTATAGCACAGAAGTGTCCGACCTTTTTGGAAAGCTTGCTATAAATCATGTTCAGAGTACAAGACAGACTTTTTCTAGTGTACACTGCAATGCCTATTTAGATCCCAAAAGCACTGTTTGATTGGTTATACCACTAGCCTATTGAGCCAAAGGTACATGTAGCTGTACAGATGCAGGCAGAAGTTTGGGCCTAGATACGGTATACAGTCAGGACTGGGGAGGTGGGTGGGGACTCTTTCCTTGCCTATCAGTGGCACACACCTTACAGTGGTACCTCGGGTTACAGACGCCTCAGGTTACAGACTCTGCTAACCCAGAAATAGTACCTCGGGTTAAGAACTTTGCTTCAGGATGAGAACAGAAATCGTGCGGTGGCGGGGCGATGGCAGCGGGAGGCCCCATTAGCTAAAGTGGTGTCTCAGGTTAAGAATAGTTTCAGGTTAAGAACAGACCTCCGGAATGAATTAAGTTCTTAACCCGAGGTACCACTGTATTTGCATCCATCTTGGATAGTATCTAATGGTGGCCATATGTCCTCTTTTTCCAGGACACGTCCTCTTTTTCATTTTAGTGATCCATAGTTAAAAGTAGAAGTCGGCAAATATGTCCTCTTTTTTGCTCTTCAAAATATTGCAACCCTAGACCTGGGAAACACATCTTCAAAGTGGAGCACCCAATTTTCACCAATCCGTCCTACCCACTTAAGCCCACCCACACCTAGAAAAACTACTGCACCTTTGAAAAAGTATGGAATACGACACAGATGACACCTATCGAAAAAGCCATGACTGGATATAACATATCTTTACAATATCAAGCATGATGCAGATTTGACACCAATCATGCTAATCTGCGGTCTCTCACCAACTTCTCCACTGAAGACTGTGGTTGGGTTATTAAAAAATTCTCAAAGGCACCTTAATTAAAAATGTAAAATAGTTATTTCAGTTCTTCATTTAAAGGTATGATGCCTTTTCAGGAATCCCAAGATGAATCTTAAAAGTCTATTCTAGTTCACTTCAAAACTTAAGATGCAATAAGGGCCCCATATTGTTATACAAGTGCATTGGTATTCTAAGTGAACAAAAAAGAAGAAGATTAAACTAGATTTATGAATAAGAGAACCCATTTAAATATTGCATGTATTTTCTGGAATGCTCCTTTCCTAAAATAAATACATTTTCTGTGAAAAGTTCTTGAAATGTAACATGAAATTCTCAGTACTTGGGCCAAGAGTGTTTACATTAATGCTATTAGTCTAATCTAGTGGCTTACATGATGCAAGAAGTATTTACTTCGCCTTGCATCACAGCTAGAATGATAAACAAACTGACTTAACAGATAATAGAGAGCACAGGGACCCAATTCAAAGAGCTAGTTAGGACTTCTAAAGTCCTAAACAGCTTGGGCCCAGCATGAACCACAACCTCTTAAGGTCAACAAGAAACTCTGAATTATGCCATCTATGTATCAAAACCATAAGAGCTAGCAGAAAAGCATTCTCCAAGAGCTTAGAATTCTCCCCACACCTTTCTTTCTTTCTTTCTTTCTTTCTTTCTTTATTTATTTATATACCACCTTCTCATAAGGTATCAGGACTGTGAATAGTAAAATAAAAGCAATTAAAAGCAGTAAGGTAAAGGGACCCCTGACCATTAGGTCCAGTCGTGACCGTCTCTGGGGTTGCGGCGCTCATCTCGCTTTATTGGCCAAGGGAGCCGGCGTACAGCTTCTGGGTCGTGTGGCCAGCATGACTAAGCCGCTTCTGGCGAACCAGAGCAGCGCACGGAAATGCCGTTTACCTTCCCGCCGGAGCAGTACCTATTTATCTACTTGCACTTTGACGTGCTTTCGAACTGCTAGGTTGGCAGGAGCAGGGACCAAGCAACGGGAGCTCACCCCGTCGCGGGGATTCGAACCGACCTTCTGATCAGCAAGTCCTAGGCTCTGTGGTTTAACCCACAGCGCCACCCGCATCCCTTATATTAAAAGCAGTACAGATCATTAAAATGACTAGCTACTAATAATAATTTTAAAAAATGGATAGATTTCAAGAGACAAGTGAGCCCAAGTGGTTTCTGGTGTTAGACAGATTATGTTCAGTTAAATGCACAGGATTCACAGATTCAACAACTGTAACTTCATTTTTACAGCAGCAAGAAATCATGAAAAACAGTGCTACAATGGTCTGAAAATAACCCTCAGGCAGCTTTGCTGTTTTTAAAACTTCATTTAAAGGCCACCTTTTCTTCTCCAAGGAGCTCAAGGTGATTATGTTGTTGTCCCCCTCTTCATACAAACCCCACAACAACCCTGTGAGGTACATTAGTCTGAGAGGCATTAAGTGGCCTAAGGTCAGTGAGCCTCATGACTGAGTGGGGATTTGAACCCTGCTCTTCCAGCTCCTGGTCAGATACTCTATCCACTTCACTACAATGACTACAACCTACAATTCCCAGGGCTCTTAAATAATTTGGAGGTGGGGTTGTTGGGTTTTGTTTTTGTGCTTAGAATGCCATTTTATAAGTGCTCACTTCAACAAAAGTTTTCATCCCAACTGTACTTCTTTTAAAGCAAGTTCCATTACTGTGTGCAACTTCCTTCCAGTTATGTTTGTTTAGCACTGTGGAATAAAAGCAGGCAATACACATTCTCATATTAGACCCCCAAGAGCATCAGATTACTTGCTTTTAAAGTTGTGCATACATTTTAACATGGGAAAGCAAATATTTTCAACGACATTTTCAAGCGCTGAAAATTGTGCTCAAATTCAGTCACACAACTATCCCAATATGGCTTATGTATTTGAACTTCTATGTATTTGAACAACTATCCCAATATGGCTTATGTATTTGAACTTCTGCGACCACTGTCTATTACATGAATCTATTATTGAAACTATCCGTCGTCAGGTATGATTGTTAACATAAGAAATGAACTTAAGGAAGGACTAAAATCGCTGTATTCTGAGTGCCTGGTTCCTCAGGTACCTAAAAATCAGAAAGATTTTTTTTTACCCCTGTGCAAGTAATGCCATGAAACCAAATGCTGCTCATGAAAAAATTGGCAGAGGGACTGGGAAATCTTTAATCCCCACTACTGCCTGCATGGTCCCTTGTCCATCTAACATAGTTTGATTGCTCCATTAGGATTTTTCAGGCTTTTCTCATTTTAAGCTATGTGAGCAGAAAATGCGACATACACCAAACAAACAGAAAAAAACAATTAGGAGAAAATATGTAACTTCATGCCATAATCTCCCCAAGAAAAAGCAGGGCTAGTGAGGCAAAATGAATCAAAAGAACTAAAAGGGACTTGCATAAAATAAATATACTTTAAAGTATTTTAAAAGGTAACTATAAGCCTTGAATTGAAAAAGAGCTACTTTAGTAGGGAACCTCTGGCCCATGGGCCAAATCTTTGTCTGTCAGGGATGCAATTTGGCCAGCAAGGCCACTTGCCTCAAACCACATCTACCTATTATCAGATGAGCAGGGTTCAATCCTGTTGGGTGCTACTTCACCAGTGTCTTTCCTGGGTGGCAAAGCAGACCCTTCCCCTCCCAGCAGTGTTAGAAACTCAGATATGTAAGCTAAAAGTCAAATGGCGCCTTAACCGTAGGTTATGGTCACCACAATGGAGTTTCTAGACGCCCTTTTGCAATTAAATAAATATTGCTAAATCAGTGTTTTATAAATGTATAAACACTTAAATAAGCTATTTACAACCTATCTGACAGCACTTTGTTAAGAGCTGAAAGTATATTGGGGTGCAGGGGTGCTTCTCACTGGGGACTAATGGGATAGTGCATTTTCTGCTTGTTGGAAGCATTTATGCCATCTGCACTCACCTATTCTGTTTGCAGTCTCTGAACAATAAATCAAATTATTACAGAAAACACCAGAAATCTCCAGTGATCCCAGATAAGTCCTGCCACAGAGTTTTTTTATCATCACTAGGGGATGTGGGAAACATGTACCACATATTTACTTCTCTCACCTAATATAGCAGTAATCATAGCATCTCTGCATATTGCTCTGAACTACATGAAAGTGTTGATTTGAGTGAAAGCTGTTCGTCACTTTGATGTCAGTTAAATAAAGTTTTGTAACTAACCCTGTAATAAGACCCACATTAAATACAATTTTTTTAGGTTACACTATCCTAACCACCTTATGCTAGGCTAGTTCAATTCTTGATTAGTACAAACAACTAATTTATTGGACTACCAAAAGTTCAGTTTCTCTATAATTTTAGTACAAGAAAAACAGAGGACAGGACTGCAGTTATCTTGCCCTAGGCTTCTGAACTATTTTGTAATCAATGAAAATATTTTATAGCAAATGTGCCAATACTACCACAGGTAACTGCAGTATGGCATTTGGAAGACTTTTTTTTGTTTCTGGCACATTTAATATTTTTACTCACAGCGCCGTTTCACACATGATGACAAATTCCTATTTTCTTAGATAATGATTATTTCAACACAGGAAAGGAACAATATGTCAGTCTTCTTTAAACCCAATTAAGAGATGGGGGAAAATTCAGACACAGAAAAAGAAGCAATTAAAATTGTTGTAATGTATGCAGAGTCCTTATTTGCTTAGTGATCATCCAAACTTATCTATCTTTCTCTAGAACCTTTTTTTATACTAAATTTAAGAAATCATCAACCCTTTCATCACAATGACCCTCACAAATCCAAGCTATAATTACAGAGGACTAGTTTAGTTCAGTAACTAAGAATCAGAGACCCAGGTTCAAATCTGACCTCTGCCATGGAATTAAAAAGTGGCCCTGGGCAAACCACTATCTCATAGCTTCAGACCCATATGGAGATAATAATATTGGGACTATACTATCCTGCAATGTTATATTAAGGATTATCAAATAATGTGCCAGGTGTTTTGAACAGGTGAATTACACTACATGAATGTTTAATATTATTTAGCTATTTCACAAGAAGTCTGCTTATACACAGGTGGTCCAATGCTTTCTGCTTTTCCAACTGTTATTTAACTTCATGAAGCAAGTGATCATGCAAGGTTGATGTCACAATACCAAATCAACTATTCCGTACTCGAAAAAGCAGTGATTTAAAAGTAAGCATACAGCATCTATAGGGAGAACATGAAGAACTAGGTCATGGCTCAAACATGTAAAAAACAAACCCACAAACAGCATAGAACCTTGCATTTTTAAAGAGTGTTATTACACAATTGTCCACTTCTGTCATATATGATTAAAGCAAATAATGATTTTATTCTTTATTCTGGAAAATACCATATTTATCTGTATACATCACGGGTCAGCAAGCTTACCGAACGATGGGCCGGTCCACACTCTGTCTGTCAGATGGGCCGGAGTGTGTGTGCACGCACGCGTGCTCTTCCGGGTCGGAGGAGACCCTGTGCGCACACACTATTTCCAGCGCTCCTCCGACCCGGATGTGCGCTGGAAATACCGTGTGCGCACAGGCACCATCAACCCGGAAGTCGGTCCCCATGCCGCGCCAGTAAGAGCAGGCAGCACCATGGGCCGGATAGACGAGCCCCGTGGGCCGCTACCAGCCCATGGGCCTTAGGTTGCCAACCCCTAGTATACAACTAGGAAGCCTACACAGGCAATTTTAATGATACATGTATTAAAGATTTAAAAAAAACAACAACATGAAATTGAAAGTGGCAAGATGTGTTATATATTTCCATACTCCTATCTTTACCACTTGCACACAGTTTCTCTAAGGTCACATTGCGCCTAATTTATCAAGTTTCCACAGTTCAAAACCAGTCTTGAACTTCCCCACACTACACAAGAACAGGAACCACTTCTGCAGTAAAAAATGTACACTAAACAGAAACAGCCCTTTCCGTATTTTATGTAATGCCTTCACTCTACACAGGTAAAGTAATAACATATCATTATGTACATAAAACAATGCATGGTGATGCATTGTAGAACAAAAAAAGGGCGGAGACAAACAAGCAGAAACATATCACAAACTAGGAATTTAAACAGGGAAAATAAGTGTGCAATAAACAGATCAACTGAGATGTAGATACAAGATGAGGAATGTCCCTACCTCTTAAGATCTCTGGTGTAATAAATTGGTAAGGAGAGGTAGGGAGATCAGAAAGTTCAGCAGCAATTACAACTAGGGCTACAATCCTATGCATGCTTAGCTGGGACTAAGTCCTACTGAAAACAATGGGAGTTACTTTGAACACAGTGGATTATGATATTGGGCTGCATCCTAATCACACTTACTGGAGAGTAAGGCATACAGGATATAATGGCAGTTTTAAGTAAACACTTGTACAGCAGATCTTGCATTTTTGTTAGAAAGGAAAGGGGATCAGCATCCCTGCCAATTTTATTTGATGTCAGGAATTGTCCATATAAGGGATGTCAAACATCTGGGGATCAGGGAAGTGGGGGTGGAGAGATGTGATCAGCTCCCAATAAGTTTTGAAAACTAGAAAGAAAGGTAAGAGAGAAAGTGCAGCTTAACCCTCCAGTGTCACACTCATCATTTAATGTTCCAATCCACAATTAACCTGTTTCTCTTTCTTCTTGCTTTCTCCCCACACACCAAAGAACCAGTGTGCTCTACAGACACAACCCAGTAAGTGAAATGTGTATTTCCAAACACCCAAAAATGGGGAACCACCTTCATTGCTTCTTTTGTCCCAAGTACCCTCCACCCCTCCCCCCGTGCATGCTGCCATCTTGTACGGTGGCAAGTGTAGCTAATATCATTACATCTATCTAGCCACCACGTGCATTCCACCTTAAAGACCGTTACAAATTGCACACAAGTTTTGGGCAGCAAACATCACTGGGCTCACCCTTCCCCCTTTCTCACCCACTACCACTTGTTTCCTTTTAACACCTTGACTGAGGAAGAGTTCTGGGGAACCTGAAAACTTTGCACGTGGCTTTGCACGACCTTTCGGCGTCAGTCCGACTTAGTTATTAGTCCTTATTAGCAACATTAGCAAGCAGCAGCAGCAACAACAGACTGTGGCTGCCTGCCTTCCTCGGGAGCAAGCGCTACATCTGAAGGCAGCGGGGCTTGCTCCCTAACTAGCAACACGATTACACCATGGCTGTCAGACTTCCTCAAGAGTAAGCGCCGGTTCGTGAAAGCTGCAGGGCTTTGCTCCCGAGGAAGCCGCGCCGCACGGGCCGCTCCCCCCCCCCCTCGCACTTCCTCCTCCCCGCCACTGAAGCGGTGACCGTGGAAGACGAGACTGAGGGCTGCGAGGAGGCCACCGCCGAAGCCACGCTGTTGTTTCTGGTGCCGCCGAGGCCTGCCTCCCCTCCGAACCCAGCACAAAAGGACATCCGAGGCCAAGCAGGCGACGCCGGCCGGCCGGCCGCCCAGCCAGCCCCTCTCTTCCACCACAAAGGGAAGAAGGCGAGGGAGGCGGAGCGGGGCCTGCGCGCGGCGGGGCCTGGGAATCCGACCAAGCCAGTCAGCCCACCCACCCTCCTTCCGAGGAGGCAAGCCGCGGGCCTCCCCTCCTCCGGACTCCCCCCACCCCCTCGCACTCAGGCCAGCCGCCGCCGCCACTTCTCCTCAGACTCCCGTTAGGCCGCGGCGAGGCCTGCTCGGGCCCGGCATGAGGCGGCGGCGGCGACACCACACATTCCCTCTCACTCTTTGCCTCCTCACCTGTGGGCGCTGGGCTGGGCGGCGAGCCGCGGCCTGGCTCCCACCCCCGGACGGGCCGCGAGAGGACCGTGTGAGGAGGGCGCTATGAGCTGGCGAAGCGAGCACGGGGGGGGGGGGATGGAGGGAATTAAAAAAACAAGGGGTTAAAAGAAGGAGTAAAAGAGGCGGGCGGGCTTATCTCGACGATGGCCGCCAAAACGACACTCACTCACACACACGAAAATAAAACGGAGGAAGAACCAGCCTTGGGAGAAAGCGGGGTGGGGGTGGGGGGAGTTAAATAGTCGGCCGGCCGAGTGACCCCGCGCTCGCTCGCTCGCTCGTTCCCTCTACCGCCACCACCAGCGCTAGGCCGGGAGGGGAGCGCGCTCGGCTCTCTTTCTCCAGCGGTTGCGCGCGCACGCGCGCTCGCACACACACCCTACCCTGCCCTCTCCCTCGCGCGTGCGCGCGCACCCCGGCTAAGGGCTGCATCTCAGAAAGAGAGTTGGCTCGCTCTCCTTGCGCACGCGCACGAGACCTCGCCTGACGGGAGAATGAGCGGCGTTAGGTGGAGGGAGGCTAGAATTAGATGGATTTGTGGCGCCGCCTCCTCAGCTTTTGGATGCACCTCATCCTTGACTGAGGTGAGACAACATTTATTCCTCTCACCTAGTTAATCTTGAAATATATGGTTGTTAACTTGGGATCTCCTTTAATAATAATAATAATGATAATGTCCTGTGATATTTAAATAACAGGAAATAATAGTAAAGTTTGACCATTTAAGGCAGAAATGTTTATGAAATTAACTTCCAAGCTAATTTTAATAAACTTTCAAAAGTATTTATTTATTTATTTATTTATTATTCTCATTATTATTATTATTTGCTTCCCATGAGGCCTCTGGAAGCGATTTGCAATGTACAGTAATGACGTATGTAGAAGTTATGTATATAGAAACCGCATCTTCATATAAAAACAATTTTAGGGACAACAGCAGCAAATCTAGAAACAGTTTAAAAGAACGCATACTAACTGAGAAATATTTTAAAAGGCTTTTTGAAAGAGGACTGAAATTATTTTTATGTTGGGTTATATTCCATTTTTGCTTGACTCAGAGTAGACCTATTGAAATCAATAAACATGGGTAACATTAAGTCCATTAAATTCAGTGAACCTACTCTGAGTAGTCCTGAGTAGGATTAACATTGGATATGATCTATAATTTTTTGTGTGTGTGTGTACATACAGTACTTTTTTGATTAAAAATAAAATGTGCTGGTACTTGTATCTTAGTACAAGATACAGCACAAAATGGTTGACATGGGCAGTGGAAAAAGAGGTGGTTGCACCAGTGAATACATCCACACACACTGTTATTATTTCAGGCTACAGAACACATTGTATACATTTATCATATTTTTGTTTGGCTCACCTCTTGATCTGGGTGCCTAACACTGAACAACAGACCACGATTTGGCATAATGTGTTGGGTGCTTCCTATTATCTTCTTGAGTTAGAATTCCACACCACCTTATTTCTCTTTCTTTCTTTCTTTCTTTCTCTCTCACCCACCCACCCACCAATCAGGCAATAACAAAGAACCCACCCACATTATATGCCAGGGATAGAGAACCCTCCACTCATAATCACTGAGGGACTACTACAACTCCCATAATCCATGACTGTTGGTCATACTGGTTGGAATTATAGTCAAACCCCATTGCTGTAATAACTGTGTTTTAAGGGCATGTGTTCGTGTGTGCTGGTCTGGCCTTGCCCAATGGAATATGCCTTCCCAGTGTGCTTCTTAGCCTAAAAATTTCCCCATTCCTGATTTAAATTATCATTTAACCAGAATGAAAGTACTGTAATGGAAACATTCAAGTGAACTATCTGTTTTAAGTATTAGATTATCTATTAATTGTTGTAATAAATGACATTTGTTTTGAATTATGGAAATGTTTGATAAATTCTGCTCTTAAGTTTAGTAATACTAAATAATGTAAATCAACTCTGATGATTTATAATTTCCTGAGATTGGAGGACAATTACTTTTGCATTCCAGTACATTAGGTGCAGTAAAGTAGATACAGTCATTAATTACCTTGGGTGCCAATTCATTAGATAAGGAACTGTTTGCTTATCTGCTAAATCAGTATTCGTGATAATGAATTTATTGTCATTAAATTCTATGATTTCCCATGTACTTAAATATGCTCTTACCTATTGACAGCATTTCTGGAGGTGAGCAATAGCCCCAAGGCTTCATTTTGCTTCTCTGCCGCCACTTAACAGACTGCGTTGTTAGATCACTTTCCCAATAGCAGGGATGGGGACATGTGACCCTCCAAATGTTGTTGGCCTGCAACTCCCATCAGACCCAGCCAGCATGGCCAACGGCCAGAGATGTTGAGAGGTATAGTCCAACAACTTATGGAGGCGCACATTCCCTACCCCTGACAAGTAACTCATGATCTGCTGTCATCTTGTCCAGGAGAGGCTAGTCCAATACATGCATTACATGCCTGCAGGAATGCATTCACACAACAATTTATTCCATTTTTCCGAAAAGGCCTGTTCTCATGTTGCCACCCTCCGGAGAGGGTCAGGACTAGCCTCTCCTGGACAAGATGACATGTATTGGACTAGCCTCTCCTGGACAAGATGACAGCAGATCATGGGTTACTTGTCAGGGGTAGGGATGTGTGCCTCCATATGTTGTTGGATTCAAATTTGAATTCAAATTGTAACACAATAAAAACTCAATGTAAGAAGCAATAAAAATATGAATTAAAAGTCAGTAGGAATATTTAATATGATAAATGTGCCATCTTCAACCATAAATCCACAGATGCTCTGCGGACCACCTGAATGAAACTCACAGACCATTGAAGGTCTGCGAACCAGTTTGGGGACTCCCCTTTTAGACGGCAAAGTGAGATATAAATGATTGGCAATAAACAATAGCTATAACTGACAATAATCACAACTCTTGTCCTTCCTTCCCTTCTTTTTCCACCCTCTTTCTTCTTCCAATCCAACCCATCATTCTTTCATCCCACCAGTTTATCCGAACTACTGTGTTAGAAATCTGGGTTTTATGCACAAAACCTTGCTCTCCTGTTGGCTATAATACAAATAGCCTGTTCATTTAGCCTATCTGATTTACATATTCATAATTGGACTAACCTCTATGACTCCTCCAAAACCTCCTGCGATGCTGTTGTCTTCTCCTTCCGCTATAGCTCACTAGTCACCCTAGTGTAATATGGCTTTGGGCAACAAGTGTAAAACGAGGGGAAATATTTACAAAATTAGGCAATGTTTTAAATGCCCCTGCTTGAGACCAATTGCAAAACCTTTTATCATGAGAGTACAACACTTCAGAAATTGGCAAGAAACAGAGGCCAAATGAATGAGCCTCTTTCCAACTGTGACTGAGATTTGGCAGACATGACTGGAGGTTCCTCACTCTTTCTGAGGTTGAGAATTGTTGGGAAACTAGACAGCAGCGCTCCCAATATTTGATGAAATGCAGCCTGCACTATGGAAAGTAATACCTTACCTTGGACTGCACAGCCATTAATACTCTTAATGCTCCCTGCCATTCATGCTAAGCATCTTTACAATGCTGTTGAATCACTGTGTCTGGGATTCCCAATCATTTCTTTTCCCTGAGCTGCATATTCTGAAAGACCACATTCCCAGGACTGGAAGTGTTTTTAAGGTAGGGTGGGGTGGCAACTCAAGGCAGTCCACTTAAAATGGAAATGGGTTCTAACTGAAAATATAGTTTATGAATATTATTAGGATACCCTGGTTCCCCTCACAGAACTACAGTTCTCAGAGTCATTTAACAGTCAATCCGTATTCTCAAGGAACTCCAGGAATTGTTGTTCTCTGAGAGGAATACAGACCTCCTAACAACCTTAACACCCATAACAAACTACAGTTCCCAGAATTCTTTGGGGAAGCCATGACAGTTTAAAGTATTATGCTACTGATTTACATGTATAGTGGAGATGCAGAGCAAGTCTTTCTGAAGAAAAATCTTGTGCAAAGTCTACTCATTTCTCATTAACCTTTTAGAGTTACTTTGAGAATGTAATAGTGATGGTCCATTATGCATTGGACTTCCAAAAAGCTTTTGACAAAGTCCCACTCTAAAGCTGCCTGAGTACACTTGGGAGTCAAAGGATAAGAGGAGCAATCCTCTGATTAAGGAGCAGGAAGGAGAGGGGGGAAGGAGTCAGGTGTGTGTATTACCCTAACGTGGCTGATTTTACAGAGCAATGTAAGGGTAAAGGTGCCCCTGCCCGTATGGGCCAGTCGTGTCCGACTCTAGGGTTGTGCGCCCATCTCACTCAAGAGGCCGGGGGCCAGCGCTGTCTGGAGACACTTCCGGGTCACGTGGCCAGTGTGACGAAGCTGCTCTGGCAAGCCAGCACCAGCGCAGCACACAGAAACGCCGTTTACCTTCCCGCTATAAAGCGGTACCTATTTATCTACTTGCACTTAAGTGTGCTTTCAAACTGCTAGGTGGGCAGGAGCTGGGACCGAAGGACGGGAGCTCACCCCGCCGCGGGGATTCGAACCGCGGACCATACGATCGGCAAATCCTAGGCGCTGAGGTTTTACCCACAGCGCCACCCGCGTCCACAGAGCAGTGAGGGGACTGTAAAAAAGACATTAATGGCTGCATCCAGACAGGATTATTGCATTAGTTTTCCTGGTTATAATGCTAGTGCTATGCCATTTTCTAATGTTCCTTTTACACTTCACTACCTGCTTCATTATGGAACTTTTTTATTGATGTATCACCATGTCCCCCTAAATTCCATTCACACCCTTGACTATGGTGTGACACAGCAGCCAGCGTCATTGGGCATGTTGCCGCTGTGTATGCAGATGTGCACTTCTGTTTTCCCTACGGTTCCCCCATGAAAACGACAGGAAAGAACTGTATGCCAGAATACAACCCCAAATTTCATCCCAGTGTGTGATCCATGAAAACCTCAGGGATCTTGCATCTTACAAACCTCCCACGATTTTGCAGGTTAATGGGGCTGCAAACAGATATTGTTCTGGAAGCAATTAGCACAGAAATTAAGGCTAAACTTCTACCACATTCCTGTAGATTTCTAGAAGTAGTGTTTAAGTCACGCGAAAGATCACATAAAACATGTAAACTATCAGATAAGGAAACATCAGGAAAATGGAATAAGGTGCTGTCTGAATGCAGGCTGTGTCATGTTGCACATCTGAGTGCCAAAGAAGCATAATGTTCATTGAGATGAATGCCTACAGTGACAATAGTTCATTCAAGGAAGGTAATCTCGTTTTAGAAGCCTGCCACCTTACAGTGTCACTTCTGCTTTTAGGCTAGGGAACCTTTTTCAATATGAGGGTTGCATTTCCTTGTTGGCAACCTCCCAAGGGTCCCACACTAGTGCTGGGTGGTGCCAGAGGCAAAAGTGAACTGAGCAAAATATATGATCTTGTACAGTAAGCTATGCTTCAACCATGCAAAAATCAGCTTTCCATGCATGCATGCACTCACTTGTCCCTATATATACACACATTTCTTCATCCAGGCAAACAAGAAGCATTATCACAGTTCAAAGACATATTCCAGCAAGGCAAAGTACTCAAGGGAGGGCGTGTCCTGGGAAAAGTCTCAGGGGCCTCATAAACTTGGAGAACTACATTCCATTCCTGGGCCTATGGTTAGTCATGAGGGCCAGATAACAAAGGCTTGAACACTGCATTCTAGCCCTGGGCTTGAGATTCCCTCCTCCTATTCTACTGTTACGTAACAAACCTTGGGGCCTACAAGCTTCTTTTTCATTGGTGAAGTCACCATAATCATATTATTCTGAGTCTCATGAGATGCATTTGGAAAGGGTTGTCTCCTCTGCGGCAGGATCATTCAAAGAAAGTTAATGCAGTGGGATTATGTTAGCTATCCAATTTGGTATGGTAATATTGAGCATTGCCAGCAGTGTCTCCTTAATTCTATTTATTAAAACCACTGCATTCACGATAGGCTGTGGTGTTCTATTACTTTGTCCTCAGAGAGTTGGTTCTGTGACCAGTGTCCTCCTTAGAAAATAGGAAATATGCTCTCTTGATTTTGAGCCAAAGTGCTCTAGATTTCATCCGTGCAAGGTTAAATATATGCCCCAAAGTAAACACAAAATTAAATACAAAAATCCCTTAAGCTCTTCTGTTTGAAATGCAGTAAATCTCAAGCCTCCTGCCCCCCCACCTTATTCTTAAAAAGCAAAAAAAAAGTATTATGGAAGATGATACATTCAGAGCTCTGCCTGGAAGAAAATTTATCACTCATCAGCTCATAAAGATACCCTCTTCCAAAGTATTTTGATCTGTATGTCTGCGTGTATACACATGAGGAAATGACATGACCACAGTGTGCAGTGAGGCAGTCAACTGAAATCCTTTTGTAAGCTCTGTCAGTGCTTTTGGTGGATACTGCTGAAAAGTGAATTTTCTCTATAAACGAGCTAAAGCTGGTGTATTGTCCGGACATCTGCACAGAGTAAAATAAACATCCATTTCAATAATGTATGGAATAAATCCTGCTCGAGCTGGCCTGGAGGGGATAAACAGAAGCATTACACAGCACATCCTCAAGCAAAGGGTGGGGCATGCACTTTTCCTGCCAGCCAGATCTGGACACCACCGATTGCATCATGGAGAGAGAACATGCTTTAAATTTATGCTGTGCAGCCCGAGGCACTGTCTCCTGTACGAATGCGCCTTGCTGTGTCTGTGAACCAAAAGTCCCAGCTACATCTCAGATAGCCTGCTTTTTCCTATGCCAGTGAGGCTCATTTTGTACTCTTAATAGCAGACTGTAGGACAGTTGGATACAGTGCTGGCTCAAAGGTGTGCAGGGACTTAGGGTAACCATTTACGCGTTATCTTCCCCCTACCCACCCAATGGAAACGTACCATAGAGAAAAGAGGGCATGCATTTGCATAAAATCAGCATATGCTAAGGTCTATGTGCAAATTTAGAAATAATGACTGCAATTCAAATAGAAATACAGCCTGTCTCACAACAGTGAGGAAGACTTTGACCAGGTAGCACACGTGCCTGCTCAGTCTGCTGTCCAGCTACTCACTGTTCCTGATTGACAGTAAGACTCCTGATCTCCCTTCTTAGGGGTCATTTTATCTTTAAACTGGACATGAACTGGGCAGCCCTTCAGATCAAGGACATCTTCAAATAGAGAACTGCCCTCCTATGCTTCTTCAAACAGTAGATTGTCCTCTATAAAGTAGGACATGAGACTACTCTAGAAAATGCTCAGTGGGGCCTCTATTACTTACAAGTCACGGCTGTCATCACTGCACACTGAGTTCTCCATTCCATCTGGGCATGATCTGCACCATTGCCCAGCAGAAGGCAACACTGTGAGGCTCCAGTGGTTTAGCTTTAGTATGTTCCCAGTTGTGCCAGCCCCTGGTGCTAGGGATGCATCGTTTCCCATTCTACCCCGTAGCTGCCACATACAGAACAGTTTCTGTTCTGTTGCAGTTCATCTTTCACCAAAAACTCTCCACACTGGCAAAATGTAACTTATGATATTCCACCCTATTATTTTCAGTGCTAAGGAAATGCAATGCAAATGGGTGTGTGGAATCAATTACTAACATTTGCAGACTGAAAGCAACAACAGCAGCAAATACCAATCTTATTCACTGGATTCATTTCTGTTCTGGGCATGGGATGAATAAGTGAACATCAGCAACATTTTCATTCCTGTTTCCATTTTTGTCTGAATTCTCCAACATCCCTACCTGACGCTGGACCTGATTATGTTTTTCTAGTATATCTCTGACCTATCAGTGCAGGCTAGTAACAGAGAGTAGAGCCTTCGGCAATATATCATGAGGCAGCCAGGGCAGTAACGCTTCCAGTGAGATCAAGGATTTTACCAGTATGTCCCTAGTTTCCTCTGTGAGTCATTGGGAGGTTTTGCACTTCCAAGATAGGAAGTCAATCCGTTTTAATGCCTGTCTGCTCAAATGTAATTCCTCAGCTGTCATTTTGACAAGCAGATCCTTCAGCTTGAGTCTGTAAATAACTGATGTCCACCCACCATTCCTTTTATCACCTTTCTGATTATTACAGAAGCTCATTTTGGAAACCCCTCAGAAGAGTAAAGCCTGGAGATGATGGATGTCAAAATCTCCAGATTTCTGCCTTGAGCTCCTTGAACCTAGTAGACAAATTTAATTAGTACCCAACTTTGAATCTCCCAACAAGAAAGAAAGAAAGAAAGAAAGATTCTTAACTAGAATCGAATGTCTTCAATTTTATATGCAGGATCCCAAATTCTCTCTGGAATAGCTGTAGGACAACAAAGGGAATAAAGCCCAATGCTGAAGTGGCTGTAAATTACAGTAAGTCTCGCTGATACTGCATGATTTGTCTTTTCTTTACTTCTAGCCCTCGTGTTAATGAGATGCTCCACAGGGGTAAAAGAAGTAGGGAAGGGAAGGGAAAAGGAAGCAGAGAGCACTTTTGATGAATTAGTAGGGGCAAGGAATAAATGGATCTGGGAAATGAAAATGTCATCAGGGGGACACATGTAGTAAACTACTGAATAAAGTAACTTGCTCACCAGGGCCCAGAAGGGCTCACTTGGAGCCTTCATTACATATCTTAAGGTGCCAGGTGAAAATGTTACTTTATAACCAGGCTTTCGGCTGTTAACAATAACAATAATAATAATTTATTTATATTCTACCCCTCTAACTGGGTTCCCTATGGTAAGGTTACCAGACGTCCCCGTTTCCCAGGGACAGTCCCTGGATTTACAAATCAGTCAGTCCCCATACAAAATCCATTGAAATTGAAAAGTGTCCCTGGATTCATTGAAAAAAATATGGTAACCTTACCTATGGCCTTTTAAATGTGTTTGTGGGAAGGGTTTTATTGGTTTGCTATTTTTAAAATGTGTTCCTATTTTATATTTTTATTTTGTGAACCGCCCTGTGATCTTTGGATTAAGGGCAGTACAGTGGTACCTCGGGTTACATACGCTTCAGGTTACAGACTCCGCTAACCCAGAAATAGTACCTCGGGTAAAGAACTTTGCTTCAGGATGAGAACAGAAATCATGCTCCAGCGGCGCGGCAGCAGCGGGAGGCCCCATTAGCTAAAGTGGTGCTTCAGGTTAAGATCAGTTTCAGGTTAAGAACGGACCTCCGGAACGAATTAAGTACTTAACCCGAGATACCACTGTATACAAATTTAATAAATAATAATAATAAATTCTCCAAACACGTTCCCTCCAGATGTCTTGAACTACAACTCCTATCACCCCCATACTTCAGACTCTACAATTATATGGTTCTATGAGTTGTAGTCCAACAACGCCTGGAGGCCACACATTGTCAATATATATGAGCGTATATGAGTGTATATATATGTATATATGAGAGTGTATATGTGTGAGTGTCGTGGACCAGGAGTCAGCTTCACCTGCTGAACAGTAACCTGAAGGCGGAGTGACTCCATCTGCAGCTGATCAGCCTTCAAGGACACAAAGGAGAAGGTGCTGATGAGAACTAGGTGGCTTCAGCCTTCTTAAGCAGAGCTTCCAGCAGCAGTCAGATGCTGGTTACAACACTTGTGGTTCCTGGTTTTATCTTGCTGCTTCCTGCTCATTTTGACTCTTGACCCCAAGATCATCGGATCCCCTGACCCCTGGATCGACTGCCACATGGATTACTGTTTGCCCGACCCTAGGACTGGACCTGACTTTGGATGTCGATTCTGCCTCCAGGCAAGTTCACCTCAGAGTCTCTTCTGGTTGGCTGGCCTCCCACTCCAGTGAGCCCTGCGCATTGCTCAGCAACAAGACTATGAGTGTGTGTGTGTGTGTGTGTGTGTATGTATGTGTGTGTGTAAAAATCAGCCCCCCACCTTTTGGGGACCAGAGGCACATCTGGAAATCTTAAGAAACTGTCATGGACACCACAAAATACCCACTTCCAAAAAGATGCTCAAAAAACCCACCCCCAAAAAGGAGGGGAACCAAAATTACACAAGGCAAGACATATGTGCCAAAACAAAATACAGGCAAAAACAGCCCCCTCTACCCCAAAAACAATAGGCAACCCTCCCCAACCAAACCAAGACACAATTCTTAAAATGTGAGAGGAGCAGGGGGTCTTGGCAGCCACAAATAAAGGCAATGTGGTGCCAAATTAGAGACCACTACTGTAGAGTAAAAGTTGTAATGCAGCAGTACATTTTAGAAGCAATTGTGAGGGGTTTTTGTAGGGGCAAATGAGTACAAATGATCTTCCTGCAAAATTCTAGAGTGTAGGAAAGTATGCTTATTTTGCCATCTCTAGTGTTCCAGAAAGAGAGATTACACACTGTGGATTAAGTGTTAGAACTAAGACAGTTGCTGCACAAAACTTTGCTATTATTTGCTACAGTGAAAAACTTACCTAAACTACCAAGATAGCTGATTGCAGTGGAGGGTGGAGAGAGAGAGAGTGGCAAAAATCCACTATATCTTTATACTCCCAAATTTAAGAGACAAGCACCTGCTACATCTGAGATTGACTTACAAATGCCTGAAGCAAGACAGATGATAAACAATTGTATGTGGTTTTTTGCTTGTTTTTTATTGACAGCATAAAATTCTAAATTTAAACTGCCAGATAGGAAGATGTTGCATGGATTTTAAATGATGCTATATCTCACATTTATGAGCAGTCTTTTAATAGAAAAAGAGCCCGTCTGGTGTCTGTGGCTGATAGCAAGCAAGTTAATGCAGCACTTTGGGAGTGCAGAGAATAATGTGGACAAAATGACTCTGTACTTGAAGGCAGATGAGAAGTAATTGTCAGCGATGACTTTGGAAGATAGGAAGCTGCCTTTAAGTGAGTCAGACGGTTGGTCCATTTAGCTCAGTATTGTCTTGAGCAGTACTGGATTTAGGGTGGGGTGGGCACAGAGGACACTGAGCCAAGGGAGCACAAAAGAATAATAATTTTTTTAAAAGGAATTATTGTGAAAATGAGAAGTATTTTGGGGAAGGGTGCCAAATTTTGTCCTCTCTCAGGGCGCCATATTACCAAAGTCTGCTACTATCTTGAGACGCTGGCAATAATGTTCCTGGGCTTCCTAAAGAGTCTTTCCAATTCATACCTGGAGATGTCATTTGGGATTGAACCTTGGATTTTCTCTCTACAAAGCATTTGCTCTACTAATGAGGCATGGCTCTTCCTAGGGAAGCTGCCTTATACTGAGGCAGGCCATTCATCCATCTAAACCAGGGGTCAGCAACCTTTTTCAGCCATGGGCCGGTCCACCGTCCCTCAGACCATGTTGTGGGCGGGACTATAATTTTTTTGTGGTGGTGGTGGGGGAATGAACAAACTCCTGTGGCCCACAAATAACCCAGAGATGCATTTTAAATAAAAGGACACATTCTACTCATGTAAAAACACACTCATTCCTGGACCGTCCGTGGGCCGGACTGAGACGGCGATCCAGCCCACGGGCCTTGGGTTGCCTACCCCTGATCTAAACTGAGGAGAAACACATCATCTAGGCCAGTGTGGGGGTGCAGCCTGGAGAGAAAGGGTGTGGCCTGAGGAGTGGGCATTGCCTGATGAGATACCTGAGGGTCAGACGAAGGGACCTGGAGTTCCATATTTGGACCTAGGCTCACAACCTCTAGTGTACATATTTTAAAGGAAGGAAGGAAAAAGAAATAAAGGAACAAGTAAGTCCTATGTTGTCAGCTGTCTGGCATCATCTCCTATTTTGAGCTTGGCCACACCTGATAACAAAAATATTACTTGACAAATGGATTAATAGAGAAATTGATTGACAGAAGTTACCGTACATGGTAAGCAGGTGGAGAATCCATGACAGACCTGCTGCCGCTTCCCATGCCCTGCTGGGTCCCACTGCCTAGGGAAGGAGGTTGGGAGCAGCCTTTTCTCCTAAGCCTGATGAGTCATAACTCAATAGTAGAGCACAGACATGGCATGTATAAGGTCCCAGATTCAATCCCCACAATTTCTGGGTAGGACTGGGAACATCCTTTGCCTGGAGAGTCACTACCAGTCAGTATGGACAATGCTGAGCTGGGTGGACAAATGGTCTGACTCAGTGCAGTTTCTTGTGTCAATATTCAATTACATCCTTTATTCAGAACTGCAAGGACTAGAATAATTTTGAAGGAAGGGCCATCTGCCTTGCATGCAGAGGGTCCCAGGTTTAATCTTTGTCATCTCTGGTAAGGCTGGTAAGGAATCCTGTCTGAACCCCTAGAAAGCTGCTTCTAGTAGGTGGACCAGTGGTTTTACTCATTAGAACACAGCTTCCTTTGCTCCTAAAGCAGAGGGGGGCGGGGAGTGGAGTCTGAAAGCCTGGACATCCAATGCAAACCTGGTGCAGACCCCGTTTACTCATAGATACTAGGGCAGCAGCTACCATCCTTGAAATGTATGAAGTGGGTGTTGGATAAAGAGAGTTTGGCAGATTAGTTTGCTGGCTTGTATAACCCTTTTACTCATGCTTGGAATCCCATCCTAGAATAAAGGAAATAGCTACACTCTACTGACTTTCAGATAAGCACAATTGGGACTAATTGGCCTGCCCCAGACTCATTGAGCCCAGACTCTTGGCAGTCTCCATGAAAGGAAGATGAAGGAGGCTGTTGGAAAGCAACTCAACAGCTTTGGCTTTGAGTCCCTTGGCTGGGCCTCAGATATAATCTGTAGCCTAAATTTACTTGCTTTTTGTGAGCCTTCGTTCTTCCTTGTCCTGCTCTGAGCCTGCTAATTATCCAGAGTTCCTTCCCAATATCATAGAAACATTAGTCCATCTAGCTCAGGATCATCTGCTCTGACTGGTAGTGGCCCTCCATGAATTCAGATAGGGGACACCCCCAGCCTTACCTGGATATGTTTCTGGGGCTTGAATTTGGGACCTTCTGCATGCAAAGCAGATACTCTACCACTGAGTTATAAGCATTCCCCATCCTCTTTGTTGGGTCATACTGGAAGCAGAACATTGACAGCCCTACCCATGAACTTGCTAATCCTCTTCTAAAACCATCCAGGTTGGTGGCCATCACTGCATCTTGGGGAAGAAGATTCCATAGTTTAACTATGTCCTATGTGAAGAAGTACTATATTTTGTCTGTCCTAAACCTTCAGATTCATTGGATGGCCTCAGATTCTAGTATTATGAGAAACTTCTCTCTGTCAACTTTCTTCACACTGTGCATCTATCATGTCCCCACTTACTCACCTTTTTCTAAACTTAATAGCCCCAAATATTGTAACCATTTCTTACAGACAATTTGGTTGTATCCCATGAGTTTCAGAAGGGTACTCACTATGTGAGCATAACTTACAGTGGGTCTCCATTAATACCTGGAAACAGCAGGAGTCACAAGAACTTCAGTAGCTGTATTTACGAATCATAAAAGGTCAACATCTGCATAGATCAGCTAGCGCTTGGTACATGGGTAAGACTAAGAGCTTGTCCACACTTCTGCTTGTCCCATGCTTTCTAGGTGTGAGTTTGAGCAGTTTCTCATTTGTCCCACCATTCTCAGGAAAACCCGCTGTTTACCACAGAAATGGGGGGAAAGTAAATCTGCAGAAAAACTGATTGACATTTGTTCCGATTTAGCGATAAACAGTGGGTTTCCCCAGCGGAAAGTGGCAGGACAAATGGAAGTGTGGTCAAGCCCTATGATTCCAGCTAGTTCCCACTGAGCTACGGAGGGATGTGCAAAATTTCTCAATTTCAATTTCTTTTAGTTTCTCATTTCCTCATTCCTAAGTTCATTTTTCCTGCATTTCCATATCAGTTTGCTTTAAAAAAAAATTGTCATGAAAATTCATTAGCATTTTAGTTCAAATTTCTCAAGGCGGTTTAACAACCAATCTCTTTCCCCAAGGAACTCTTGAGAATTGCGGTTCTGCAAGAGGGACAGGTGTCTCCAAGCAATTCCCAGCACCTATAATAGACTAATACTCCCAGAATTCTTTGGCAGAAGCCACAGCTACTTAAAGTGATACCATACAGCTTTAAATGCATGGTGTGAATGTGTCCTGTATGTGGAAGGGGACATTCCCACTGAAACAAAACAAAGGGCCTTCTCTGAATTTAGAAAATAGTGTTAGGTAGTGAGTATAGCCTGACTTTCTCTCTGACACCCTCGTTTGCTCTATCAACAAAGCCAGCCTACTCCCTCAGCAAATAAATCATTATTATTCCATGTATAACCTGACTAATGCCTTAATTTTCCCATAGCAGAATCCTAAAAGGGTTTCATTTCTTCATTTTCCCTATGATGCATAGAGCATAGACAAGTGGAGACAGGGGCGTGTCTTAAATAAATCTCAGCAAAGCTACCTGATAGTAATTTTATCTCCAAAGAATAATGCAAATGGAGCAATCTCATAGTCAGGCACCTACAAGATTTTCCTGGCAAGACGCCAGCTTTGACTCACAAATGTTCCTTGGCTAAATTGGATCCAGATGTTTACATGACATAAAATATTAACAAACATCTCCCAGGGGCAGCCACTAGTTATTGAGCTAGTAAATTAATAAACGAATCAAAAAAAAGAAAGAAAAGAAAAATCATTAGGGTGGCACCCAAGTCTTTAGCCAAACATCAGCTTTAGTTTATTTATTTTAATAAAAGAAGGATGTGTTATTCTAATTTAATTAATTACAGCTATTTAAAAGTAATGTTTGCCTAGGTTATTACTGAAAGGTTATGCAGGATAACATTTAGGAAAGCAACCCTTATCCTGTTTATGTAAGTGATTAAAATTGTACTGCTTGTTCTTTTCTCAAATGTTTCCATGCCCCCGCCCCCACCTCTCATGAAGAAACAGGGTTGAATTAACAATTATATTGAGTATGCGGCAGAGATGAGCCCAACTCATGTGGAATGTCACTGTTGCAGAGATTGTCTAGAGGCTCATGGAGAAGAATAGCGATGGCTACTGGCCATGATGACTATGCTCTGCCTCAAGGCTCAGAGGCAGTAATACTTCTGAGTACTAGTTGCTAGAAACCATAGGAGGGGAGAGTGCTCTTGTGCTCAAGTCCTGCTTGTTGGTTTCCCACCGGCATCAATTGGCCATAGAATGCTGGTCTAGATGGGTCATTGACCTGACCCAGCAGAGTCTTCTTATGACCTTATGGTCGTCTTGTTCCTATCTGTCAAAGCTGCCTCAAGTCTCAGCTCACAAAAGACCAACGCCTATGTCTTCTTATATACAAAGGTGTTTATTGTAGTTCATTGTTTGCTTGACATCCTAGGCGCGCAGCCTTACGTCTCTTACGCTTAGACCGCTGAAGTCCCCTCTGAGTCAGTCCCTCCCCTGCACCAATTTAAGAGACTTGCGCTGCTCCACCTCTTTCTCTCCTTCCTTTCCGCAGGGTCCTTCTGCCCGCTGTGGTAACGCACCTCCAGGAATCCTCTGACGCGGCATCAGACTGCTCTTTCCCCCACCTGCGGGCGTTGGGAACAGGCCCCACCGCGGGGCTCCCTGTGCTTCCGCGCTCTACATTTGAACTAGGCGCGCGCGCCAAACCTCTAACTTTCCTTTGACAGTTACACTACTCCTTCACTGCTCCTCCTTCCGGGAGGCGCGGCTCTGACCCCCTCCTTTCTCTGCTGCCGGAGCTGCTTCCTCTGACACACTGGAAACTCCACCCCTTCACTGCACTCTGGTGGGAGGCTGGTCCTGACGCCCAGCTGCCACTTTGGGATCCTCCGCTGGCACCCTGCTCCTGACACGTCCCCTGGGGCTCCCTGGCCTTGACCACCGGCGCCCCTTCTGGGAATCCTCTGATTCGCTGGAAAGACTCATGGAATCTCTTGAGTCATTGTCATCCTCTTCCTCGCTGGCTTGGAATTCCTCCCCATCGCTCTCCATCTCCTGCCTACCCTGTGCCTCTCTCCCTGAACCCCTGACACTATCCTATTCTCCGAAGCAAAGCTGAGAATATAGTGGCAGCCAAGTTGGAGAGGGCTGTGGGGAAAGTTATATTCTAAGCAGTTTGGCTGGAGGCTATATACAGTTCTGTTTATAAGGAGCAAAATCACATCTTTCTTTAAGTGCTCATGAGTACAGTCGTACCTTGGAAGTTGAACGGAATCCGTTTCGGAAGTCCGTTCGACTTCCAAAACATTTGAAAACCAAAGCACGGCTTCTGATTGGCTGCAGGAAGCTCCTGCAGCCAGTCGTAAGCTGCAGAAGCCCGGTCGGATGTTCAGCTTCCAAACAACGTTCGCAAACCGAAACAGTCACTTCCGGGTTTGCGATGTTCAGGAGCCAAAACATTCGGGAACTAAGCTGTTTGACTTCCAAGGTATGACTCTTACGTCAAGCCAGGACTGTTGTTGGGCAGGGTCAGCCTTGGGCTGCTTGCACACATTTTATTCTAGAATCGATGGAGCCTGAGTCCTTGCTTTTCGTACATAGTCCACACACAATCTAGATCTATTTCATTTCTTCTTGTTGTTATTGTTGGCATCCATTTATCTCGAGAGACAATTGAGCGTGCCTCCTGGGGTGAATCTCTGCAGAGCACAAGCCTGGGCAGTGTATATGGAGGTCCTAGGCTGCCCAGTTGTCAAGGCCCCACCTTGGCCTCACTGATGAGGCCTTAGGGACTCTACTCCAGAATTTTTGCTCTATAGGACTCACTTTTTCCCTCCTAAAAAGTAAGGGGAAATGTGTGTGTGTCTTATGGAGCAAATGCAGGCTCCGCAGCTATCCCAGAAGCCAGGATAGGAAGAGGGATCGCTGCTTTCACTGCGCAGCAATCCCTCTTGCTGTTCTGGCTTCTGAGATTCAGAATATTTTTTTTCTTGTTTTCCTCCTCCAAAAACTAGGTGCGTCTTATGGTCTGGTGCGTCTTATAGGGCGAGAAATACGTATGTAGGGTTTACTCCTTATCCTTTCCTTCTCCCAAAGATGTACCACAAGGGAGAGGGTACAGATTTTCCCTCAGGGTTTACCCCCAAAGCCTTTCTCACAAACGAGTATAGCTGCATGATGGGAAATGTAGTTCAACAACATCTGGAGGGCCCAAGGTTCCCTATTCCTGGGATAGAGACACTGTAATCCTTTGCTGCCCAATGCTGCTGTGGTTGGTTCTCCTCCTGGGTAAAAACCTTGATCTTTTCCCTCTGTAATTAGCCTCAAACTGGTACATCCAGTTTAGGCAGGTGTTCCATTTGGTTGCCACTTTTGCAATAACCACAGCAGTCAGTTTGGGATTCAGCATGACTTTGCATCTTAAAAATGCAAGATACAGTTGGCACTATGAGAGTGAGATGTTATTGGGAACTGAGCTTCACTTTTTGTTTCGTTTTTGCTTTTGTTTAAGAAAGTGTGTGTCAGCATTAAGTCACACATCAGTGATGGGAGGAAGAAGGCAATAAATCTAAAGTTCATTGGATCATTTGCCGTAATTTCATAAGACAGGAATACAGGAATATGAGGGTGACTGCTTCAGTGTTGCTAATTTGCGACCTGGGTGTTATCTTTAAAAGCCAGTGCAGGCCTGATTTATATATTAATTTTTTTAAACCACCACATTTTAAGCAACACTAGGGGCTCAGCTATACAGCTGCAAATAAAAAGTTTTAAGTGTGTTGCAAAGTGCAACATACAAATGTGACACTAGATGGCAGCAGTGAACTATGGACAATTCAATGTATTTTTCAAAACTTTTTAAAAACACCATTCTCACAGCATTTTTTTATGTGTGTAGATTCCACCTAGGATAAATAAGAATATTAAACTTTTCCATATATGGTTTTCCTTGATCTTTCTTTGTTTTGGCACTTTTAATTCTTGTTCCCAGCTTTGAGAATCACTGTGCCAAAAGGTGCCGAAAACATCCCCCCACTAGACAAAAAAAACTCCAAACACCACAAACCAAGCTAACATGAAGCATGCTATAACTATATCCTCACACATTCAGAAATTTCTCCAAAATACCTATGACATAAATGCTTTTCAATTTCAAGCAGAAAGTGGGAGATTAATTTAAGCATTCCCTTATTAAAACTGAAATGTAAATAAAAACAACCATATTTGCCATTGTATTAACCAATTACAGTCATTATAGAGAAAAGTAATTAGGTTCCCCTTAATAGAGGAAATATTAAATTGGCTTTTAATGATGCCCCAATTAACGGTTGTTATTGCTGCAATCAAATCAGGATTTTGTGTACTTATTAGTGTACCAGACCTAAGTCTAACAGACCTAAGAAAAGCAATCTCAGGCGTATCCAGATACTGTCCAGGACAAATCAAGTCTTGGACAGTGTCTGGATAAGACTGTGATTGCTTTTCTTAGGTCTCCTAGAGTCACCAACAGTGTTGCCTGAAAGCCATTTCTTCATCATCATCATCATCATCACCATCATCATCATCATTATCGCCATCAGTAGTAGTATACCACCCTTCATCTGATGATCACAGGGCAGTTCACAACATAAAAATATAAAATGAGAACACAAACTACACAATAAAACAAAAACAAGCCCCCCCAAACCCCCCTCCCACAAACACATTTTTAAGGCCATTGAATGTTAATCAACCAAAAGCCTGGTTATAGAGAAACCTTTCCACCTGGTGCCTAAATATATACAGTGGTACCTTGGGTTAAGAACTTAATTCGTTCTGGAGATCCATTCTTAACCTGACACTGTTCTAAATCTGAGGTACCACTTTAGTTAATGGGGCCTCCTGCTGCCGCTGCACGATTTCTGTTCTCATCCTGAAGCAAAGTTCTTAAGCCGAGGAATTATTTCTGGGTTAGCGGAGTCTGTAACCTTAAGCGTATGTAACCTGAAGCGTATGTAACCCGAGGTACCACTGTATAATGAAGGTGCCAGGCAAGCCCCCAACCCCATGGAGAGCATTCCCCACCCTATGTAAGCTTTGCTGAGTTCTATGGCCTATTGCAGGTGGGGTGAACCTTTAGCATTCCAGATGTTGCTGAACTACAACTCCCACCATCAGCCCCAACAACACGGCCAATGGCTGGGGATGATGGGAGTTGTAGTTCATCAACATCTGGAGGGACAGGACAGATGTTCCAAACTCTTAGCTTCCAGCATTAGCAGAGATTCTCAAACTCTGGTCTGTGGACATTGGTGGTCAGCAAGCTCCATACAGGTGACTCACAGAACTGTCAAGGCACTTGCTAATTGTTTGTTGCTATCTCTGCAGCTAACCTATCAATTCATGCAATCACTTTTAAGGCATCTCTATCAGTGTCCTCTGTTAGCCTGGGAACTTAATGTGGTTGCAAAATAAATTGGCGGGGAGATTAAAAAAAATTGATTGACTGCCAATGCAAAATCACATTCTCTCTATCCAGCATTCTGCAAGTTCCTTTACAAAATACTTGGGGGGGGGGGAAGGCTCTGTCTGTTGATCTCTTTTCTTGTTTTTTTAACCCATCCTATAAAGGCAATATTCAGATCCTAACCATTTGGGGGGACGGGACAAAAAAAAACCAACATTCCTAATTAACTGGGTTGTCTATGCACTCTTTGTGATCTTGACATTTCCCATGATTGCATGGCATGCGGCAAAGCATATCCCAGAAATAGAAATTTCCATTTACTTTCTTCTGTGCTACGCAGGAATATCTTGGCATCAGTTCATAATACATTAGCTTCTCAGTAATGCAATAGCAGAGCTGGCTATCTGGCCTCAGCTAAGGCTATTTCTGAAGCTTATTTGATTTTCTTTTTATCAATATTATAAATAAAGAAACCATACAGCTTAACCACTGATAAGCAGATAATCTGCTTGGGCAAGCAACTTGGAATCTTGTTGAAATTGCCTTGTAGCTGAACCTCAGGATCTCAGACTCTTGCTTCACTCCCCACTCCCTAGATTGGGGTGGGGAACCTTTGGACCTCTGATGGGGAGGAGAAATGAGATGAGGAACTCAATCCTGGGGAGGGTTGATGCGGTTTGGGGGCAGTGATCCAGATGCTAAGGAGGGGCCGAGGGATCTGGCAGGGAAAAATCTTGCCTTGGTCATGTTGGACATTCTGAGAGTGGAGGAGGAATCGGGTGGTGCAGCTGCACCTCTGCCTCCCATCATCAGAGCATTTTGCACCGCCAGGGAGGCACCCGAGGATGGATAGGCCAGTGAGCTGATCAACGCACCTCCACTTCCAGGTATACAATGCTGGCTGCACCGACTTAAGCAGACCCAACCTATTCACAGGAGGGATTGTTTGCTTGCTTGCCAGAGGCTCCGGACACCAACCATGTAAATGACTGCACCCACCCTACTCTTCAAAAGATGAGCTCAGGGTGTGTGTCAAGTGTTGGGGACAATATGTTAGATTACGCCTAGCCACATGCCATAGTGCTCTGACTTGTGTACCTTGTAACCTGATTTATGTTTGAGCTGTGTAGTGAATTCTAGAAAGCAAAGCCTTTGACAATAATTCAGCTGAGAGTACTGCACCTACAAGCGCCTCAGCCTAGCTTGAGGAGCACAGGCCACGCTGGACATTTCACCTCTGCCCACTCCCCACCCCTCTGCATGTGCAGCCTGCGGCAGCTGCCTAACTCTTCCTAATGGTAGGGCCAGCCCTCTCACTGCCGCTGAACTCAGCAAAAGGGCTTTAATTAAACTACTTAAATGAAAACAAGAGCACCAAGTTCCAATAACCACAGTTCCAAAGGCAAGAGAGTTTTTATTTGCTTACCCTAAGGTTACCAGACATCCCCGTTTCCTGGGCACAGTCCCCATATAAAATCCATTGAAGTTGAAAAGTGTCCCCGGATTCATTGAAAAAAATCTGGTAACCTTATCTTACCCTCTTTCGAGTATCATTCTTGGGATAATCTGGGGGGCGGGGGGTTGTGTGTGTAACATCTAGAAGCCGGGGGTGGGTTTTGTCCCGGGAAAGATCCTGGTGAGCTTGCATAGGAAAGGCTCCATGCCATGTTATGTAAGGGAGATATTCCCAAAGCAGCAGCCCAGGGCCCCATCCCGTAGATTGCATAACAAGTTCAGGGAACGAGCCAAATGTTCTCTCTGATGCAGGAGTGGAATGTTGGTTGGGCGTTTTGACAGCCACCGCTGGCGTTTCTCTTTGGTCTTTTTGGAGTAAACAAGGCTTTCAAGTGCCCTCTGTTAGTTTACACGTGCCAGATGATTGCGGCTGGATGCTTTCCCTCTTCCAATTTCACAGGCTAAATAGAAAAATTAGGAAAACACACGCTTATCCAAAAAAAGTGGTGGGGATAGAGAATGTAAAGTGGTTGGGGCGTATTGGGCACAGTCTTTAGCACTTAAGACAGGGGTGGAGAACTTCTGATTTTGGGGCCAAATGTGGCCCTCCAGACCTCACTGTCTGTCCCCCTCAGGACTCCTCCTAGGCCACACCTCTCACCAGCTCTGCTTTCCATCCTCCTTAAGGGTGAACACCACCAAACAGTAAAAAACAACAACACAATTAATCATTAATATGATCTCTCTCTCTCTCTCTCTCTCTCTCCATCCATCATTACAATAAAAACATCAAAGTACCAGCCCTTTCCTTAAAAACAATCAGTCTCCTCTATCACATCTCTTCTTTATTTTCACCAACTCCATTCCCTGCATCCAGTAGTGTTTGAAAATGGGGGAGCAATTTAAGATAAAACAAAATATAGAAGGTTTTGTTTATCAATAACTTGCATGGGTGGCACCAGGGAAGGCAAGTACCTGCCAAACAATGAGCTCGCCCCTCACTGTTGGACTTCTGTCATTAAAATATACTGTTATTTTTATTTCACAGATCTTAACATGCCCATCTAGAAATAGACTTTGCCTCATCATGTGTGTTCCCCCAGAACTTTTCAGGTGTCATCACTGATAACTGATAAATTGACATTTAAGTGAGTTAGGATTGTGCAGCTGCATTTCATGTTCACTCAATGTTTTAATATAAGGACGATTTTAATACAAACAGGAGGCCAAGCACCCAGCACAAAGAGGTATTTGTTGGGGGCTATGCACCCCACTGTGGGTTAAACTACAGAGCCTAGGGCTTGCTGATCAGAAGTTCAGCAGTTTGAATCCCCACAAAAGGGTGAGCTCCCATTGTTCAGTTACTGCTCCTGCCAACCTAGCAGTTCGATAGCATGAAGTGCAATTAGATAAATAGGTACCACTCTGGTGGGAAGGTAAACGGCATTTCCGTACGCTGCTCTGGTTTGCCAGAAGCAGCTTAGTCATGCTGGCCACATGACCCGGAAGCTGTACGCTGGCTCCCTCGGCCAGTAAAGCGAGATGAGTGTCGCAACCCCAGAGTCGGCCACGACTGGACCTAACGGTCAAGGGTCCCTTTACCTTTATGCACCCCAGCAGGGCCCACCAGGGCCCTCCCAAGCACCTGCTGCTGCTTGACTCCCAGAGGCTGCACTGCTGCAGCTTCCAACCTCCTCTTAATGCTTGTGTGAGAACCTAAGAAGAGTCTGTTAGATCAGGCCAATGGCTCATCCATTCCAGCATCCTGTTTTCACAGCAGCCAATTGGGTGCCTGTGTGGAACCCACAAGCAGGATCCGAGCACAAAAGCACTCTCCCTATTTGTAATTCCCAGCAATTGGCATTCAGAGGCATGTAACCTCCAACAGTGGAAGTAGAACATAGCCGTTGTGGCTATTAGCCATTGATAGCCTTTTCTTAATGTTTGCCTGTGCCATCACCAGGGCACCAAAGTGGCAACAGGCAGGCTGGCCAGGCTACCCCCTTCTGAAATATCTGTAACCAGGCCTGACAATCTGGCGCCTAATGCTTAGTTTAAACTAAAAAGAAACCAGCATTGTCGAGGGTTTATCTCCACCTACTGGTGGAAGGTTACACCTGTTTTTCCAAACCCATTTGCGGTAGGATTTCCAAAGCACGCCTTGTTTCTTGACTGGCTGAGGCACCCTGCAAGTTCACAGCATCTATCTTGATAAAACACTTCATTTCACACAGGCATGGAGAGGGTGAGGTCTGTCAAACTGGCCCTTGGAGCTGTCCTCAGGGTGTCTACCCTCCCCAGCCTTGCTTCACACCTTCAGTTTCCCTAAAGAGAGCTAAAGAGTGTGGAGTCCAGAACCAAGATGCTATGGAATGGATTGTATGGGAAGAATTAGGTCATGGGTTGGCATTGTGCAAGGAAATGACTGTTATTTGCTTGCTTGCTGCTTTTTTATCTTTCTTTATAGACAGAATAAGTTTACATAAAAAGAGGAGAGGAGGAGACAGAGAGACCAGCCTTACAAACAGGCTTACAAACAGGAAGAGAAGTGGAGGGAAAAGGTAAAGGCAGCTGTGGCTCAGTATTTCACAGCTGGAACAAAGCGCTGAGATATAAGCATTTAAAGCTGAGCTTCCCTTAGGTAAAGGTACCCCTGACTGTTAGGTCCAGTCGTGACTGACTCTGGGGTTGCGGCGCTCATCTCGCTTTATTGGCCGAGGGAGCCGGCGTACAGCTTCCAGATCATGTGGCCAGCATGACTAAGCTGCTTCTGGCGAACCAGGGCAGCGCACAGAAATGCCTTTTACTTTCCTGCCTATTTATCTACTTGCACTTTGATGTGCTTTCAAACTGCTAGGTGGGCAGGAGCTGGGACCGAACAACGGGAGCTCACCCCGTCACGGGGATTCGAACTGCCGACCTTCTGATCGGCAAGCCCTAGGCTCTGTGGCTTAGACCACAGCGCCACCCGCGTCCCGAGCTTCTCTTAGGAACACAGAAAACAGCCTTACACCATCAGATAATTGATCACTCTAGCTCAGCCTTGTCAACACTTTGAAGATGCTCAAATTCAGAATGAAAGGGAGAAACGTGCTAAGAGGAAGGCACATTTGGCAAACGCTCACCGTGATCAACTCCTGCCTGGAAACCTATGTCCTTACTGTGGAAGGATGTGTGGATCCATAATTTGGCCTCCACTCACTTACGGACTCACTGTTAAGACTGTTTCATGCAAGACAATCTTTTCTTTTTTTAAAAATAATATTTTTATTCATTTTCCACAAAAGAAAAAAAAACAAAAAACCATTTTTATACAATCAATTCACATTTTATCACACATTCATCTCTTTTTTGGACTTCCCTCAGCTCCTCTGCCAATCATTCGTTTGCATCAATATTATTAACGCATTTCTTAACTTAGTATTGCCTTTAGATATCTCCTTCCCTCCTCTTATTTTCTTTTTAACAATATTCCTCTGTTTTTCACAGTCTCTTGAAAGCCAACAAACATTATCTGTTCATCACATATGCCTTTCAGATAATCTGTAAATCTTCCCCAGTCCTCGATGAACTTTTGGTCTCGTTGATACCGAATCTTCCCTGTTAGTTTGTCCAATTCTGCATAATCAGTCAATTTCAGTCTCCATTCTTCCACTGTCGGTAATTCTTCCTGTTTCCATTTTTGGGCCAGAAGTATTCTCGCTGCTGTAACTGCGTATTGAAAAAGTTTACAGTCTTTCTTACTTACCTACCAATCCCAATAAGAAGGCCTCCGGTTTCTTAATAAACGTATATTTCAACATCTTTTTCAATTCATTATATATCATTTCCCAGAAGCCTCTCACCTTTTTACACTCCCACCACATATAATAGAATGTCCCTTCTTTTTCTTTACATTTCCAACACTTATTACATGTTTTGTACATTTTAGCTAGTTTTACTGGCGTTATATACCATCTATATACCATTTTCATCACATTTTCCTTTAACGCAGTACATGCCGTAAATTTTAGTCTTTCATTCCATAATTTTGACCATTCATCATATTGTATATTATAACCAAAATCTCTGGCCCAATGTATCATTACCGATTTAACCTCTTCATCTTTTGTGTCTCCAGCAACATTTTATACATTTTAGACAAATTTTTATACTCATTATTCAATATCTCTAGTTGAAATTTTGATTCTTTTTTTCCATATCCATACATTTTACAGTCTTTTTTAAACATTTCACAGACCTGATAGTAATGCAACCAATCATAGACAAATTCTTTTACTTCTTCATAGGGTTTCATTTTCCATTTCCCCCCTTCTTTAACTGTCAATTCTCCATATGTTATCCACCTCCCCCTCATATTGATCTTTTTTACGCTCATCACTTCTAAGGGTGAAATCCAGTGGGGGAGTTTAAATTCCAACAAATTTTTATACCTGTCCCATACATTTATTAACGACCTTCGGAAGATGTGGTTTTCAAACCCTTTATGAATTTTCTTCTTTTCATACCATATATAGGCGTGCCAACCAAATCTATTATCAAACCCTTCCAGATCCAACAATTCTCCATTTTCTAATTTAATCCACTCCTTTAACCAGCATAAGCAAGATGCTTCATAATATAGTTTCAAATCTGGCAAGGCGAAGCCCCATCTTTCCTTCGCATCTGTTAGTAACTTAAACTGCATCCTTGGCTTCTTGCCCTGCCAGATATACCTTGATATTATCTTTTGTCATTCTTTAAATATTGATGTCCCCTTCATGCAAGACAATCTTACTCCACTACAAGTGATCGCCAAAGAAGTATCAGCAGCCGCAGTTTTCCAGGGTTTGAGGTGTGAGTCCTTCCTAACTGTCATGCATTGAACCTGGGGCCTTCTGCATGTACCTACCACTGAGTATGGCCCTTCCATCCAGTCCTACCTTTGGTACTTGCATTTTAAATAGCCACCTCTGGCTGCTCTGCCTTCCCTGTTCTGCAGTATATCCTTGTTGGGGGACACACTGCTTTGCTCCATTATTGGACAGAGGCTTCACTAAGCAGAGCTTTTAGTTACGTTTGTTTGGGGTTGTACAGATGTCTGTCTTTCTTTCATCACTCCATCCTATAACTGAATTACATGCTAAAATGACTCTGGGATAAGGGAATCAGTGGAAATTGTTGCTTCAGATTGATGGTCCACCACTGACAGAACACTCATGATGCAATATAAGCAGAATACAAGCAGTATCACTTGGAACACCATGCCAAGATTCTTCATATCTCAGAGTCCAGTGAGGAAGATGCCACATAAACACAACTAGATTCAAATGACATCATTACCAGGCTACAGTATTATTTTTGCAGGCCTGGTTTCCAGCAGCTTGATCTGCTAACCAATTAAGCCAGAGTGCTTGGAACAAAGCCAGCAGAGTCAATTAGCTTAACCAAAGACCTGGACTTAAGCTGCTCTGTAAATCATCTTGTTCAAGTTTCACAAAATAATGCAGCCCCTTTGTGGTCGCAAGATATCGGGCCAAGCTTTCAATAGATGAGGTTCATTACCAAAGCACAACAGTACAGGAATGTGAAATGCATGTATGAAGAAAGAGGAAACTCGTAGCAGAACCTGCGTTCTCCTTGAGCTGACCTGCCTGAATTCACTGCACTACTTGCTTGGGCCTTAAAGCAATTCCCTTTCCCTTGCGTATCTGTGAGATGAACTCACAGCACCTCCCAGAATTGTGCTTTCCAACTGCCACTATCTTCTTCCTCTTCTTGTTATGTTTTTGCAGCAATCTTGGTTGAAACTGTTTCATAAGATATTTCCTGTTGATTTGTTTGCTTGAGTATTTTGACCATTTTCATTCAGAGGATCTAGAGCGGATGAAGTCCTGGAATGTCAAAACCTGTATTGTTGCCCTCGACAAAAGTTGAGGCGAGGTTGGGGGAAGGCAGGCCTCTAAATTCCTTCCTAGTAGCAATGACAAGATGCCCATTGCCATGCCCCATCTCACCGGCTGCTCAGGGGTGCATGAATAGGGTTGCCAGACCTCCAGGGCTGACATGAAGTCTCTAGGCTTGCCAGGTCCCCTCAAGGCAGCAGAGGGAGGACTTGTGCCTTGCAAGCATCATCCTGGCAGGAGCTGGTTGCAAATTATTTCATTGACTCTCTCATGAGTCTTCCTACCTTCTCTCTCCCAATTAACCTGTCTCCAAGGCTCAGTGGTGGGAGTGCAGAGGAAGGATCACGAGGTACCACTCCCCATGACACCCACAAGGGACATCCCAAAATCTCAGGGTTAGGCACTGAAATCTCAGGGTCTGGGGTGCTCCTGACCTGGAAGCCCCAACAAGAAGAGGTGTGTACAGAGTTCTGTAAGCACAGCACAGTTGGAAATGAAAGCTAACAATCTCATTGGTAGGATGGATACAGTTCTTGTGTAGCAGTTTGTGTTGGGTTATGAGCCAAATAGGAAATAAAACTGGCCTTTTCTCACTTGTATTTTCAGACCAACTACAAGAAAGGGGGGAAATATGGGTTCTTTCCCCCTCTGCTATGTTGCGGCCACCAGCTCTGGGGAAGTTGTACTGAAATGTCCACTGCAGGATAGCAGCAAACCATTGTGAGAAATGGAAGTAACCTGCCTCGATCGAAGCAGCACTCCCAGGGGCCGAGAAGCATTTCCCCCACAGGAAGGCCACCACAGCACCCTTATGTTGAGAGCCAACCCCTCAAGCCTGGTGCAGGCCTTTCATGGTGTAAGGAATAAAGCCCCATTACTGAGAAATCATGCAGATTGTCATTTGTTTGATCTTTTGCTAAATTCACCATGCTTGCAGCAAACGTTTCAAAGGGCTATTTTGCTGGTGTTATTTGTGGGTTAGAGAGATGGGCATAGGGTGCACCAGAGCTCACCAGCACACTTCCAGTGAACTTGGTTACCACTAACACTTTTTAGGGTTCTGGCAAAGTATGGTGGATTTGGGGACCTTGGCCTTACGCAATAAACACAGGGTCTTAAGCAAAAGCATACAGTATCACTTAACACAGATTTGTTATTCCTTAGGCAAGGGTAGCAAATGTGGAAGGTATGTTGGACTACAACTCCCATCATGCCTAATCATGGGGTCTGAAGGCACAGCAGCCACCACCTTGCTAGGGCCCAGTCAATGTCTGGATGGGTGACTGCCTGAGAACCACATGTATACCCTGTTGGGTCCCATGATGGAAATAAGGTAGGATATGAATGTAATAAAGAAAAACCTGAAGGGTATCAGGCTGCCCATCCCTGCCTTAAGGTATGCTGAATATACAGTCTATTTGTAAATTTAAAGCATCAGTGGCAGTTCTAGTAAACAGTCAGCCCATTCCTGCTGTGAATAGCCTCTGTTGACAGCTCACCCCTTAATGACTTTATTTCACGGACCATTAAAGATCAGCTCTTGTATTTCACCATTAGCTGGAACTTCTTAATTAAATGACTCAATAGCTGTCACGCACTCCACAGAATCTCCATGCAGAAGCTTTTGCATTCAGCCCTCAGAAAATTCCAACAAACATTTGTGCTATCTTAACATATTCAGCATGGTTGTTTCTGCAAATTCTTCTTGCTCAGTGGAGGGAAGGTGGGTAAATAAACAGAAGCAGCTGGTAGACATGACTGTGGTTAAACAGACCGGTTTATCATTCTTTCAAGCGGAGGGGAATTCCTACAAAGCCAAGAACACTTGTCAAGAGGCTTGTTTGACAACTGTTGGTGTGCTAAAATGGGGTGGGGGAGCAAGGGAACTGTTCCCTTGACAATTACTCGTGCCATCTTCCTTCCTCTCCCTTAAGTTGAATTGTTAAGAGGTGGTGCTCTTTAACAGTGCAAGGCAAAGTTGGCGCCACTCCAAGTTTACTTTGCTCCTTGCATTCCTAAACATGCTTCTACTACTGGAAGCATGTGTGCACAACTACCCATTCTATGAAAGATGCTGAGATATATTTTAAAGGCAGGTTCCCCAACCCTGCTGTAGATGCCCTGCTTTTTCAGTGAGGGCCCATTCTAAGGTGGTTGTACACATGACTTTCTTTCCCCGCTTTTCCAGCCGTGAGGTCACAGATATATTCTCTCAGATCAAGCCAAAGATGTGGTTGCATATTGTACCCCAAACACACTAAATCAGTGTTCAAATGGTACTATGTGAACCCAAGCGTTGAAGCACCTTGTAGCTTCTCACAAAGGGAGGAGGAGCACTCGGCTTGAGCAGAGCCACCTTCAAAAGCTTCCTACCGGTACAAATGCTCTACAACAACTTCATTGATATCAAGTGGTAATGCCATAAAACAATTTGTTTTTATTGCCCACTATAAGAAGTTGGGAAGAAATGTTTTCTTCCAATGTTTTTTTTCCAAACTGAGAAACAACACATATTGTAATAAAAGCTAGCAAACTAAATTGGACTACAATGGTTTTCAGGAAGTGACAAAATTCTAACATGTTCTTCCTGAGCATTCTCCAAAAGCTTCATTGGCACAGCTACCCCCATTAGCCTGTATTTGGACTGTGTGATATTGTAAAAATTCAGCCAATAGCAAGCCAAGGGCTTGCATGCAGTAGTCAAGAAAGTATTTTGCCTTAAGATGGAGACCTCCAGCACTTGCATGACCAGGATATATGAAATGGCCATAATTTGCTCACTGAAAATTCACCTCTGTCTATTAAATCAGGCAATGAGAGAAGAAATAATGCCCATTAAGAAACCTGCAAATATGAATTCAATTTTAAGCAGAACTTAGATCTGCTGTCAGATCTACTTATTTCCCAAATAACTTGAAGTTTTGTAAACAATTTTCAAGCCAGTCAGAAATAAAGACTTGTTTTCTTTTTTTTAAAAAAATGCATCAATACAATTTTGTAAAAGCAACATAACTTAGATGAATAAAAAAGGGGGATCAGTGAATCATCCAAATATTAACAATTTTTTTATACAAAAGGATTAAGTTTTGACTATTCACAGATGGCCTAACACCAGCTCGTATGCATCTTTACATTAACAATCCAAACTGCAGAATCCAAAGCTTTGCGGTTGTGTGCATCAGCCCAAATCAAGCACCATTGCAGACAGGGCATTCATGTCCCTCATGTGGGGATGCTGGGCAAGTATCTCTTCTATCTTCTCCCTCTGCTCGGACGTAGGGAAGATTTTTCTCAAGGCTTCTCTTAAGTGGATTGTTTCTGCAGTAGATCTTGGATGCGGGGGGAGGGCTGGGTTAGCATGAGGTGCTGGTGGAAACATAGTCAAAGCAGGTACGGCACCAGGTAACGGGCTCTTTGGCAACTGTCCACTACCATCAGTTGGCATCAGGAAATGCGATGTCCCAAAAGGAGGTGGGCCGCCACTTCCATGGCCATGTTGGGGTGGAACACCTCTGGAGAACAAAAACAACATTTAAAACTAGGAAGGCAAGAGAACAACCATCTCCCATGTTTCCATGGGGTCTAAAAAGAAAGATGTTCTAAAACAGGCATAGGCAAACTCGGCCCTCCAGATGTTTTGGGACTACAACTCCCATCATCCCTAGCTAACAGGACCAGTGATCAGGGATGATGAGAATTGTAGTCTCAAAACATCTGGAGGGCCGAGGTTGAGGAAGCCTGATTTAAGGTTTAAATTTGTTAAAGAACTCTGGATGACAGAGTAATTTATTTTGCTTTCAGTAGAAAGTAACACTGATTTGACATTTCAAGTTGTCTCTTTCCACATTTGTCATTTAAAATAATAATAATAATAATAATCTTGATATGGCTGGTGATAAGGGAAGATGCACACATTTAATCATAATAAAATATTCCTCTGCATTTGATGGGACTTTTACAAGTCACCAATACAATTACAGAACTTTCTAACCTTGAAGTGCCATAGCATAGAAACAGCAGTTCAGATTAGACCTTGCTTTGCTTATGTATTCAACATTTTATGCAAGTCATTTTTACCTGACCTTTAAACACAATAAAGCACAATAAAGCTTTACATGATAAAGGACAAAGAACTGAGCCCCTCCCAGATGCAGACCGGACACAGGTAACAAAGCATGTGCCCATCGCAAGCAAGCAGCAGATCTTCTAACAGCTGATGCAGCAGACCAGCTATTCATGAAAGTGCATCACAGCTCCATCTGCAGTGTGTCCAATGTCGTCATGTGACACACCACAATCTAACATCAAAGGATGTTACCAGAACACTTGCCTTCCTTTTCTTGATGTTACAATCCAATGTTATACAAATGTACTTGGCATCACCACACAGAGATAGCTGTGGTAACTGACGACAAGCAATTCCTCCTGCAAAACCACTGCTTCTTCCTATCTAAGGTCTTATGTGGTGTGATTTACATCTCATGACCTTCTCAGTCACACGAAGGGCTTTGATTCAATGGTGGCATCTGTTTTCCCTTAAGCCCCACAGGGTACTCTACCTGAAACGGGTTTCCTCCTGAAGGAAACGTTCTATTCCTGGTCCATTTCGTCCCAGAGGATCATCAGGAACCATGAAGAAGTCTCCAACAAAAGTGTACGGCAGCAGCCTGCAACACCAAAACAGGCAGTGAGGAAAAGTAGCAGGAAGGAAAGCAACATTCAGATTTATAGACAGAAGTAATCTCAACATTCACACACTATACAAACATACAGCTGGTGTTCTCTGCGGGGAGGGCTCTCTGGCAGGACACTATCAAATCATGAAACAGTCCTAAACCTGATGAGACCATAGGTTTAACTAGTCCTCCATTCTTTACCCTTCCCTAATCTGATGCTCTCCAGACAACCGGAATCCAAGCACATAAGCCCTAGCCACTATGGCTAATAAGGATGATGGGAGTTGTAGCCTAACAACATCTGGAGGGCACCAAGTTGGGGAAGGCTGCTATACTCTAACTGGCAGCAATTCTCCAGGATCCTGAGCAGAGGTCTTCCCCAGCTATAGTATCAAAGATCCTTTTAACTGTAGAGACACACAGGGGATTGAGCCTGGGACGTTCTTCATACAACATGTGCACTTTACTACTGAACTTCTATGCTTGTGGGCAGCACAAATTCAGCGGGCGGAATCCAGCCTCACAGAAATCCACTGCAGTTCTAATCCTAGGAGAGCTTTAGTTCAAACACTGCTTTGTTGAATTGGGTCCTTTCCCAATCACCTGTTCCACATTGTATTGCAAAGATATATGGTAATGATGCCATTCACAGTCTCAGAATCTAAAAATCCACGAGAAGTTTCAACAGAGTGATTTCAGGAGTTTGCCTGTGAGACGCTGGGGACACATGATGGCCAAGCTTCCCTCTGCTCTATCTGGAGGTGGCTCACTAAGTATGAGCTCTCTCAGGTTATAAAGCTGGTGAATGTGTGCTGATGGGGTTTTGCCACCAGGGAATTCATGTTCCAGCCATGGCAGAGAGCTGATTGGCAATTCAATTGCCCTGTGCCCCAAATCCAAAAACAAACCTGAGAAAGAAAGATGCAGAATCGGATAGGGAACACCAATCACCTCAACATAAAACGGGAGCAGGGAACCTGTAGTTCTCAGGGTGTGGTCACACTACAACTCCCATCACCCCTGACCACTGACCGTGCTTGCTGAGGATAATGGGTGTTAGAAGTCTGGAGCCCAAGAACAACTATAGGGCTACAAGGTTCCCCATCTCTGGCAAAATCAATAAGACTATCTAAATTAAGTGATTAAGCCAAAACAACTTTTATCTAAATTAAGTGATTAAGCCAAAACAACTTTTATCAGCCCCCCCCCAACTAAATATTGTAACCGACCACTTGTCTACCTGCCCACTGCACATGTTTGTAACTGAACAAAATTAACACATTACCTCTTTTGAATAATCTCCCTCCAGGATGTGGACTCATCCACAAATTCTCTGAGATTATCATTGGTGACAATAACTCCTCCAGTCTTTTCAGCGAGATGTAGCAAAAACCTACAACAACATTTGTTGGGAGAATCAGCATCCTTGAACTGAATAAGTTTCTGGGCAACAAAGCAGCCATGTGTTACTGTGGATTGAGTAATCCTGGTTTTGTGACCCGCTGGAAGTTGCACAGGAAAGCAGCTGCTGTGCTTCCTAGGTGGCTGATGATTTGGCCACCTTACTAAAGCAAAACAGGTCTGGGTTTAGTCAGGGCCTGGATGGGAAATGAGGATGATGATATTATTACTACTGCTATTATTATTATAGTGCTGCAGACCATATATTGTTCTGGGGATGCCTAAATCTGAGCTGGCCAGCATACAAAAAAACCACACATCTGTTGTTTCACAGAAGGCTTGGGACTAAACGATATGCAAAGTAGGTCTTTGGATCCTGTTCCAGGCATTACATCCATTAGGAAACTTGGGCTATAGGTTTATAATTAAATTGGTTATTAATTCTTAAATTAAGGCAAGATAACAATGAATGTGTTCCAGAAAAGGTTTCTAAATAATGCAAATGCATCATTAAAAAAATAAAATAAAGAGGGTGATCAGCAACATTTTGTACCAACTTAGAACTGGACACACACAGGGACAGTGCTTAGTCTGTAGAACAACAACAAGAAGAAGAAGAGTTTGGATTTGATATCCCGCCTTTCACTCCCTTTAAGGAGTCTCAAAGCGGCTAACATTCTCCTTTCCCTTCCTCCCCCACAACAAACACTCTATGAGGTGAGTGGGGCTGAGAGACTTCAAGGAAGTGTGACTGGCCCAAGGTCACCCAGCAGCTGCATGTGGAGGAGCGGAGACGCGAACCCGGTTCCCCAGATTAGGAGACTACCGCTCTTAACCACTACACCACACTGGGCAAGTCTACACTTTTCCCTTGACGATGAGCTGAATCATATGTGCATGAATGACGTGTGGCTGTTCAACACTTCAGCTTGGTCTGCATATGCAGGAAAAAGAGGTAAAAAAACTGTGAGATGGTCAAGTGGATTGAAGAAGGGACCACAGCTCAGTGGCAGAGCCCACTCTTAGTATGAAGAAGTCCCTAGAATAGCTTCTTCATACATTCACATTCAGAACCTGGAGACTTATATTAAGTGGAACACATCTCACAAAGGTATGCTATCTTAAAAGCAACACAGAATAATATGTTAACAGGACAAAACAGATGCGTATCCCATTTCCCAACTCAATAAATGGCTCCTCTTGAGAAGAACTAGGAGTCGCATAACTGTCCATCAGGTACACAAACTCTTTTTACCTGTCATCATGAGATGCAATCCTGGCTCCAAATACAACCCTTGCAGGGGTGAGTGCCAAAATACCAACATCCTGGAGCTGGGTTAAGAAATGCTGTTCTATTAAAACGAAAATAAAAAAGAACACATTGAAAAGAACTGAGTTTAGAAAGAACAGATGTTTTGTGCAGGATTTTATTTTGGCAGAAAAGTAACTATTGCAATGTACTATTATATCAAGTGAATCAGAGCATTCAAAGAGTGCCCATTGTACTAACTTTTACAAAGGTCTGTTTTGTTATCCCTGAGTTGGGGATGGGGAGGGAGGGGAGGGGAGGGGAGGGGAGGGAGAGAGAGAGAGAGAGGAAGGAAGGAAGGAAGGAAGGAAGGAAGGAAGGAAGGAAGGAAGGAAAAGAGGCTGAAAGAACAGCAAGCCCTTGGAGCTCCTCACTAAAATGGTATAGCCCCATTCATTCATTTGTACAACCTCCCCAGAATCCAGTTTTTTGGTCATGCTCATATAGGACAGAATGTTAGGAAAATGTGCCATTTTATATATAAAAGGTAAAGGGACCCCTGACCATTAGGTCCAGTCGTGACCGACTCTGGGGTTGCGCACTCATCTCGCTCTATAGGCTGAGGGAGCCGGCGTTTGTCCGCAGACAGCTTCGGGGTCATGTGGCCAGCATGACTAAGCCACTTTTGGCGAACCAGAGCAGCACATGGAAACGCCGTTTACCTTCCCGCCGGAGCAGTACATATTTATCTACTTGCACTGTGCTTTCAAACTGCTAGGTTGGCAGCAGCAGGGACCGAACAATGGGAGCTCACCCCACCGCGGGGATTCGAACCGCCGACCTTCTGATCGGCAAGCCCTGGGCTCTGTGGTTTAACCCACAGCGCCACCTGTGCCCCTTTTTATTTTATATATAAAATTAAACAAATCCAAATTGTTTACTAGGTACCAGCTTACTTCCAGTAGTGTCATTTTGTAAATAAAAATTGAATACAGGAGATGGGAATTGTGAAACTCCAAAGCAAGCACAACCCCATTAGATCTTTTACCTGTAATGTTAGAATCTCTCCTTGTTCGCCACTGTGGGACAAACACAGTGATCTTTCTGTGGCCACGTTTCCAAAAGTGATCAACAGCAATTGCAATTCCCCGACATGAGAAGATCTTCTGTAGACCATGGCTGCAGAAAGGAAAGAAAGGAGCAGAGTAATGTTTGCTAATCATCAGTGTCTGCTTTACAAGAAATCAACTGCTAAACATACAAGATGAAAAAGCATGTAAAGGTAAGAAGTGAACTGTTTGTACAAATGAAATGATGCAGTCCACCAATGGTACTCCTCGCTGATTTATTTATTGGGGGGGGGGTTAGCCAATCTGAAGGTCTATGGAATTTGGATGCTGGAAGGACGTTATATCAAAGTCATTTATATCGAAGTCAGTTGGGAAACATAAGTAGAAAAATTCTGTAGGACCGCCCCTCCCTCGGGCACCACGTCTTGCTTCTCCATGTTCAGTCATGAAGGCTTCCCATGCAATTAAGGACAACCATCTTCCAAGGTCCTTGATCACGCAAGAAACCCCCATGAGTAGAAAAGGCTCCCTGCTGCAGCAGCTACATGGGAAAGCTCAAAAGAGCCATGGAAAACTGCCCCCTTTTCTACTTGTCTTCCCCCTTAATAATTTTTCTCCTCCCCTTGTTTGTCCTGCTGCCGCTAACCTGTGACAGAGAAACATTTAGGCTTATGTAACCAGTCATGTTTGTGCAGGAACTCCCTTGGCAAAGCTAATACTATGTTATGCCGCTCAGTGCTACATAAAAACAGAGTTGTTTTCTCTTGTATTGTCTTACTTCAAGGTTTTTAAAGCAGGGTTCCCACAGGCCCATTGGTGTCTCATTCCCACCATCTTATTTACTTTCCTTGTGGCACACCAAAACTGAACAACTTACTTGCAACAGCAACCCCTTCTGACCCCATAGAGAAAACATTCTCCCTCCCATGGGGCCAAACAGCAGTCAGAGAAGTTGCTCTGGAGGTGGAAAACTGTCCAAAACCACCCCCTACACACACCAACCTTGCATTAGAGATTGCAGCCTGGGCAGCCGTTTTTTTTTAAAGGGAGTTTTACAAGAAAAAAAAAACCCCACGTGACTATTATCTTGTAGTTTTAGCCTTATAGTCAATCACAACATTTCAAGATCTCTAAGAGGGTTGTAATAACTCTTTGTTAAAATGTTTATTGCACACTTGTGTCCTTGCAACAGAAGAGGGACTGCAAGCTTAGTAACTGGGAGGAACAAAATAAACCAGCTGTACGTGCTTCACTCTTGGTAGTTCTGTTTATTTAGACTTCCTTCCTGGTATGCTTCAAAGCTAGTTACAATCTCGAGGCTCAGCACGCAACAAGGGGCAGATTAGGTGACAGAAAGAGAAGCTTGCCCAAGGCCAGGTCAAGATATAGAGAAAGAAACAGCAAAACAGGCCCCATGTTGTACTAAATGTGGGCTTTGGAACTGGGAAGGCTGAAGGCCATTATACCAAACTAAGGTTGCATACACTCCATCCATTAAAAGCACATGGCCACTTCCTTGGTCTCATTGGGGGAAGTCATGTGCTGGAAATGTCCAGTGTGGATGCAGTCTAAGAAAACAGGGCACTGAAGCTTCAGAGTTGCTGTCGTGTACTTTGCAGCAATTTATGAAGTGTCTTGCTAGACAATCCAAAGAAGAACACCTGCCACCACCTATTTCTTTTATTTCCTCTTTCCTCCTTGGGAAAAAACCCTGGAATATTCACTCAGGTATAATTTCCAAACCCTGCACCAGGACACACTTGTGCAATGGGAGAAATTATGTGAGCCCAAATGATCAATCCACAGAGGAGGCTGCCTTCAGAAACTCTGGAAGAGACAGTACTTCAGGCCTGACCCCTTACAAATCAACATTCCACTGCAAAGGTGCATTTAACCACATCTCTGTCCTGGATGTAGCAAAATGAGCCAATCAATGCAGAGTTGCAATAGAAATATCTGTCCTCAGACAAAGCTGCCTGTTGCTTCTCAGCAGGAGTTGCAACTCAGGTGGGTTGGAGAATTGGCAAAGTATGATGGGCAAGGATGACTGGAAGAAGCGTCATGACTGACATACCAACACACAATATTTTAATCATGACTTTTTGGAACAGAATTTTCTACACTTTACCAGCCTGGAGCCTACCCCTCTACATTCAAAGACCATAAGGGCAAGCAATGCTTGAGCAGTTCAAGTCCTATCTAGTTCAGCTTTCTGGGACCTACAGTGGCCAATCAGATACCCCATGAAGTCCACAGGAGAATGAGGCAATGTTGCTCCCCAGCAAGTGATAATCAGTGGCCCTTTTAACCTGGAAATAACTTCTAGCTATAATTATCTCAAGGATTAATACCAAGTGCATTCAACAAGTGTGGGCCCATATGTAGCCAAAATACCATGACTCCCTGCAAAGAGATTCAGCAGACTTGGGGGAGCACCAAAGTCTGCGGAAGTACACCCAAATAAAGTTTTTATTATTATATTTTTAAAGCAGGAATCTGAAGAACAGTCCACCAAGAACCAAGCATGATCGGGGACATGGAAGGTGGACTCTGCGTTGAGAGGTGAAAAGGAGAAAATAAGGGAGATGGCATGGCATGCTGACACCCTGACACTACACTGCAACATTTTGTTGCAGATCCTATTTGTCTGGCTACCAGTCACTGACTTCTCTATACAATATCCTGAGTTACAGGAGGGGTCCACCAGATGGGTGTTTATTCTATTTATGTGCATATGGGAGAAGGATAAATAAACAGAAATTGAGGGTGCAAATAATCACCTCACTATACATAGATATAGGTAGGTAGCCGTGTTGGTCTGCCGTAGTCAAAACAAAATAATAATAATAAAAATTCCTTTCAGTAGCACCTTAGAGACCAACTAAGTTTGCTATTGGTATGAGCTTTCGTGTGCATTATTATTATATTATATATAGATGTATAATTTTGGACAAAATAAATCATGAGCTAATGGCAGAAGCAAAACCACACCATAACTTTGCTTGGTTTACACATTGCATGATATCCACCCTTCAGTGATCATTGCAAAAGTCTCAAAATACCCAATGAAGGCCACACGCTTCCTTTAATAAGTTCACAGTTAAAACATGATGCATAGAATTATTACACAGTGTCAACTATTTGCATACCCTTCCCCATTAGTCCCAGTCTGGGCAAAAACTGGAATTTAAGATGAATCATAGTTGTGACTTTCATTTTACATCACTATTTTCTGAGCTTTTTGAAGAACTAAGAAATTGTTCACATCAGCGGATTTTTAATGCACCCCTCCCCCTTTGTAATAGCAGTTTATTCTGGAGTCCAGTGATTTCACAATGGTGCATTTTCCACACCCCCATATTACAGGCTGCCCCCTCCCTGCAATATCACAACTGAAAATTGCTCCCCCTGTTCAGCTTAAAAAGCAGTATGGTGAGGCACTACAGCCTTGGCAACATGTGCTGAGAGCACACAGGCTACCTTATTTAGTCCAAGAGTGGCCAGCAAACTCCAACTCCCCTCAGCCCCAGCCAGCATGGCCAAGGATTGTGGGAGCTGGAATCCAACAACATTGGGAGAGCCCCATATTGACTACCCTAACTTGGCTCTTTAGCTTTTTGGATAGTGAACTTGGTGGTGTTAATATCCCATCAACTATTCCACACCACACTGACAAATTTACACTTATCGGTATGCTCCTGTGCACAATTCAGGGAGATGGCATTATCTTTGTAGGGAATGAAGAAGAGCACCATGGATGTAATCCCTGAGAAACCTGGCCTTTCAGGGATAACAACTATGGGTATACTCTCTCCATTGATCTCAATGAATCTACTGATCATTGATGAGTCTCATCCCTGCAATACAACCATGGCCACTACCCAGCAGTTTTGTGGAGGGGCAGGGCCATGGCCCCATTTGCAGCCCTGCACAGCAGCAAGCCGGGGGGGGGGGGGCGAGGTAGAGGGGGAGAAGAAAAGGATGATTGCTGCTACAAGCAGGAGCTGGCATAGCAGTCAGGCCTGATGCCCCAATGCACTGGTAGCGTGACTGGCATCATATTCAACAGACCCTGGGCCAGACCAGCCTTTTCTTCATCCAAACACTTTCACTGGCTACCACCAGCACTTTTGCCTGCCTCTTTGGTGGGCTGAAAGGGAAGCTCCACATCACTGGCAGTGGACAGTTTGATTGGCTGGGCAGAAGGACATGTCCACCCAAGCCACTGGCCCTGCTCTCAGATACAGCCCTATGGCTCCAAACCTCTTTTCTGGTCCTGAAAACATGGAGGCAAAAGTCTACCCAATTACACACTAACAAGTAAATTTGTTCTAGCCGATTACTACAAGGGCCTTGGAATAACAGGGAAGTATTGATTCCTTCCTTTTCCTTTTACAAACTCTAGTCTATATTGGTATTTAATACAGATTTAAACATATTGGGCTACCTGTATTTAGGTTTCATCTGTTCTACAATACCTCCCCTCTCTGGCTTCCTCAGCATGTTTCTAACTACAGACCTGAGGCATACTATGGGCATCTTCCTAATGTGGAGATCATCCAGAGAGGCCCTGATCCAAAGGCCTAACATAGATGATACGTGTAACGAAACCCAAACCACTGCTTCCCCTACAGTAGGATAAATCTACAGCATCATCTTCATCACAAAAGCAGAGCAGCAGAGACAAGTGTGCTAGCTTTGCTCCCCTGCATTGCTGTTCCAGGTGCTTTCCATGAGATGGAGGGTGATCTTCTGAAATGCAAAGCCTACTCTTCTCAATGAGAGGCCAGAGAAATCCCCACTTCAGAACTTCATCCTCCACCTGGTGAAGGGCAATTAGAGTAGCCAATGGGGAGGCAGAGCCAACACATTAGTCTCCAATGTGTATTTATTGTACTTGGATGTAGAATGCCTGAAATGGGCTCTTGCCACTTGAAAATTCATTTAGAAGAATATGATTTGTATTTCTTCTCAGAGAGGAAGAAAACTCCCAGAAAATGTTTTTCTTTCAATGGGAGAGGGATTTGCAAAAGAAAAAAAAAATAACTGGGGAATAGCGTACTTAATTTCTCCTCTCTCTCGTGTTCCAAGCATTTGCTTGGTTCTCTCCAAATGAATCCCTGGACTTCAAAACGACCTTGACAGATTAGAGAACTGGGCCAAAACAAACAAGATGAATTTTAACAGGGAGAAATGTAAAGTATTGCACTTGGGCAAAAAAAAATGAGAGGCACAAACACAAGATGGGTGACACCTGGCTTGAGAGCAGTACATGTGAAAAGGATCTAGGAGTCTGGGTTGACCACAAACCTGACATGAGCCAACAGTGTGACGTGGCAGCTAAAAAAGCCAATGCAATTCTGGGCTGCATCAATAGGAGTATAGCATCTAGATCAAGGGAAGTAATAGTGCCACTGTATTCTGCTCTGGTCAGACCTCACCTGGAGTACTGTGTCCAGTTCTGGGCACCACAGTTCAAGAAGGACACTGACAAACTGGAACGTGTCCAGAGGAGGGCAACCAAAATGGTCAAAGGCCTGGAAACGATGCCTTATGAGGAACGGCTAAGGGAGCTGGGCATGTTTAGCCTGGAGAAGAGGAGGTTAAGGGGTGATATGATAGCCATGTTCAAATATATAAAAGGATGTCACATAGAGGAGGGAGAAAGGTTGTTTTCTGCTGCTCCAGAGAAGCGGACACGGAGCAATGGATCCAAACTACAAGAAAGAAGATTCCACCTAAACATTAGGAAGAACTTCCTGACAGTAAGAGCTGTTCGACAGTGGAATTTGCTGCCAAGGAGTGTGGTGGAGTCTCCTTCTTTGGAGGTCTTTAAGCAGAGGCTTGACAACCATATGTCAGGAGTGCTCTGATGGTGTTTCCTGCTTGGCAGAGGGTTGGACTCGATGGCCCTTGTGGTCTCTTCCAACTCTATGATTCTATGAATGAAAAAACAAGTCTCTGGAAGTTCTCTGGAATGAGGAAAGGCAGCTTGAGTTGGGAAAACAATTTGGAGTCGAAGGTATGGACAGGATTCAGGATGTACACCCAGAATTTCTCTACTCAAAATTTCCCTTCCCTAGGAAAGTCAGCAATCAGGGCGGGGTTTTTTGGTTACTGTACACATATATTCATGCAATGGGTAGTTCCACCCTGAAGGCCACTGCCTTCAGGGGTGAGGTTGACATCTAGTGAGGTCACAGTGAACTCATGTAACACCTTCCTTCTGAAATTACCTGCCTGTTAGTCTGGATGTAAAAGGTCTGTTGTGGTTTTCTGGAGTAGTCAATACCTCTCTCTTTCTCTCAGGAAGCTTTTGGGCTGCAAGTTAGCGGCTAGATCTGATCTCTGTTAAGATGCTCACAGGTTCTTAATTTTGGAATTACTGCATGGCTTAGTTTTAATTTTAACTCTGTAATTTCACTGAAAGATGATGCAGGGATCCTACAGTTAAAAAGGAGCTCCTTGGGGAGGAAGGGCGGGATATAAATACAATAAATGATAATAATTCTGCTGCATCATTTCCTTGTGCCAAAGAAATAGGTTTGCCCAACAGTAAGTGTGGTGTTGTGTAACATCTATTTGTTTCAATAGCAAATGGCTTGGGTCAAAATTTGGAGCAACTGTTATAGTGAACCTAAAAGAGGCTCTCCAGTGTTAACCAAAGATTATTTACATTCTGTGTTTTGGTAGGTAAGCAAATCCCCACTGCTAAGATTTACAAACAAAACAAAACTATCCTGCAATAACCTGTTCTAAAGTCAGTTACAGAAAAGTGGCATACAGTAGAAGAGAAAATTAGGTCTTACAAGTGCTGCAATATTCTGATTAAATTAGACCAGGAATGTGTCCCGATTAGTTAAGTAGCAGCTTCTGCATGTATTCATATAACTAGGATAATATGGAAGCTTATACCATCATCAATTTGCTAGTCTTTAGGGTGCTACAAGACTCTTTAAAAACAACAACAACGTATATTATTTAACACAAGTACTGTACTTATAAAAAACTGCCAACCATAAACAAAAGAAGTAATCCCACATTTCCACTGAACAAAATGGAATGGCTCTAAGGTGGTGTCCTTGACACATGCATGCATCATCTATACATGCACTGTGTTTTAGAATTATTATTTTTTACTAGCTGAACAGAAATTGAATCCACCAATCAACTAAAACCCATCTAATTAATATGTCTTTAACTGGGTAACAACCCTAGTTTTAAGAGGGAGGGACAAGTGTGTACATGATCTTGATTTATTATTCTAGACTATTGTTGGCATTGCTTGGTGGAGTGCTTAGTTTTACTTCATGCCTTTAGTTCAATACTACAGGCAAGAGGAAAGAAGGCTCCATACTACAAAAGAAGCTGCTACAGGATGGCATGTGTTGAGGTGGAGACAGTATTTTCTTTCTCTCCTGTAAAACTAGAACTCAAGGTCATGAAATGCAAGCGAATGACAGTAGACTCAGCAATTCAAGGTCGAAGAGCCCTAAGAGCAGCAGAGGATATCTGCCAAGCCCCAAGACCAATAGTGCCCACTCTTTCATTCACACAGCAATCCTCACTTTGTACAGGACAGGTAGAAAGGTGGGAACACTGAGGGGGAATTTTCTGCCTCGTCTTGTTTAACAGTTGGCAATTGAAGGTGTCTTGCTCAAAGTCCCCCCAAAATCTTGAAGCCAGCAATGTGGAGAAGAGCTCTCAATTGTAAGACAGCCCTTATCATATGGGGCCTTAAATAAATGTAACATGTAAAAAAACCAAAAGAAATCCAGCTCCAAAACATTTCAGGTTTTCCCAGCCATGTCTAGAATGCTACCAATAACCCTTCCTCTTCACACTTTTCACAAAAGACAAATAGTCTGACAATTTTTATTTACCCTGCTACTGGATTCCACCCTTCCTACAAGGAACTTTTCATGCAGGTAAGGCTAAGAGATGGTGACTTTTCAGAGGTTAATCAGAAAGCTTCAGAAACATGAACATGTATCACAAATATGACAGAGCCCATGAAGCATAGCAACAATGAATGTAAGCTGTTTGCTTGGAAGTCCCCAGCGCAAATCTTGTTTCAAAGGTGAACTTACTGGGTGGCTTCAGCAACCTACTCACACCCTCACCTGAGCTGTGACTAATAAAATTATGACCTTCCTTCTAGTGCTGTTGTAAGGATGATTAAGCTAACATATATGAAGCACAAGGAACAATCTCAATTGTTATGTAGCTTTCATTCACACAAGTGGGATGATTTGAACCTGCAGTATATTCCTCAGTGAAGCTTAAGCACGCATGATGGTTGTGAAAAGAGGCAAGTCCAAAACAGGGTAAAGAACTGGCCGAGGACACATAACTCAAGCACCATAAAGAAAGCACGAGTGACAACTGAAGTGCATGTCTTAAGAGTGTGCTACAGCTGGCTTGCTCAGAAATCAAACAGGATACTCCAGACTGGCACATGCTGCGGGAACTTTTGGTTATATTGCCAATGTTTTTCTGGTTAAAAAATTCATGTCTGGCCATCTCACTGGCCAAGCTTCATGTAACTATTGGTGTACAAAACAATAGGTTTTCTTTACTTTAGATATCTGGATATTATTCATTGCTACAGAACATTTAAATGGTCCAACATGTCAAAAGGAGAGAGAAAAGAGTCTGCTCTAAATTTCCCACACCTCTCACCAGGAAAAGCTATGCGTTCGTTTTTTCCACAATTTGTATACAGTGTCTGTTTGATAATGTGTGGTTTGCTATGGCTAATAAAGGATCTTGATTGAAAAGCTATGCTAGTCCTGGTAAAATCTGCTTCCCCACCCCACCCTGGCTCTAAATACATGCACTTTTTTGTAATTCGGCCCCCCTCCCACATCTGGTTTCACTCTGAAATGCTACTGAAACCCAACAGTCATCAATACTCACGCAATTGCAACATTGCTGCCATCTATTACTATGTACTTTAAGTGGTCTTTCCCTGGCTCATTTTTCAATTCCAACTTGTATGGTGTTTTCAAAGATTCTTTAAACCTCTGAATCCCAGTGACTGAAGGGTCAGCATGATGACTGTATGACCCTCCTTTTCTCCTTTCTGAGGAAGGGGCAGTCATTTGCAGATGCTCTACGAGATGATTTGTTTTTGGGGGTGGGAACTGCCTGGCTCCAAGCTGCAAAGGATTACATCGTCCATGCTGATCATGCTTCGCAGATGAGGGGTCTGGACATGCCTGAAGAACCATAGTTTCTTTCTCAACTGGTGGGTGTGGAGTCTCCGAGCCACCCCTTGCTACCAAGCCGGGCTCTTTTGGTTTCCTGCCTTTCACTACCCTTTGCATACTATCACAAGCATTCACATGACCGTCACTTTCTATATCATTTGTTTGGGAAATACGAGACTGTTCATAATAATAGTTTGAGACTGCTTTACTGCAGCCTTTGTATTGTGGATTTTGGCTTCCAGAAAGAGGAGTCTGGTTTTCACTGTTTGATATATGCGGTTTGCCTTCAACTTTGCACTGTGCTCGTGGAGCAGAGGTCATGTTTTGTTCTGCATTCTTTGGCTGCTTTAATTTCAGACCACGGTCCTGCTGGCCTTTACTGCTGGAGCTACCTTTATCTTTCTCTGCCCAAGTCCCAGCAGTCCAATGTAGGTCATCAACCTGGTCTTTCTCTTCAGGGACCTTTTTGCTCTCTCTTTCAATTTCTTCCAAAAGCAGTAGAGGCTCAGCCAACTGTCCGAGGTCTCCAATCACCTTCTCCACAATCTGTTGTGAGTAGCCCATGCTTTTGAAGAAGTTCACCAAAATGTTGTATTCCATTTCCTCACTTATCTCATCGCCTTCTTTAGTGTTCAAACCCGGACCATCCATCTCGCTGCTTTCATCAGTGACCAGATCAACCACTACTACATTGTTTTCTAAAGAAAACTGTTTCTTTGGTAGCCTTTCCTCAGCATCTGATGACCTCCTTTTACATGACTGCCTCTCTTTGCACGCAGATGTCTCTAAGGAATTCAGTCCATTTATAGGTAAGAAATGTCTTTCTGGAGCATCAGGGAAGAGAGTGTCCATTTGCTTTGCTAACTCAGTGACTGGGGTACCTGCATTGTTTCTTGCTTCCTCATGACCTGTTCTGCAGTCATTGTTCATTGCAGACCGTTTCTGTATTTCATTGGGAAGAAGTTCTGGAGTCCCATCAAAATTGGCAGGGTCCACATTTTTACCTTCTGTTTTCTGGCTTTCGCTCTGTGCAAGGCTAAGTAGTTCTCTCTTCAGTGAGCTTGGTAAGATCAACAAGTCCATTGTATATTTATCCGCATGGGCTTCAACAAGTTGTTTAAACTGTTTTTTCACTTCTGACTCTCTGCTGTTCAGCAGACTTGTGTTGTTTCTGAAGAGACTCACAAACTGTTGAACGTGGCTTCTGGCCATGACAACAGGTTCAGCACCACCCTTAATGTTCAGGGTCCCTATCTCCACAACAGTAATATCAGCACAGGTCCCCTGAATAAGGCAGTTCAAGAAGAGGCTCTGGGCTCCTACAAAAATACAGTGCATGTCTTTGGGATAATGCTCCCTCTCTTCTAATTCAGGTTCACAAATTCCTTTAATATATTCCTACAACAAAAAGGAAAGAAAAATTAGAGAAACTGGCATCTTTTAATTCAGATATCTACTTGCAACACAATTCACTTCCCTCACTCCTTGACATGAACATCACTCAAAGCAAATCTGTCAATCAAGGATCTGAAGGGTCACCTAATATACTGGAATCACTGGCAGTCACCTCCTGGTTATATACACGTATGCACCACCACCATTTTATTTTATTTGTTATTTAAAGATAAGAAAGGGAGAAAAAATGAAGTAGGCAAGCAGAAATTCAGAAACTGGAAGTGTGTCCTGGATCTAAAAGGTTGACAGCTCCTGTTCTAAGGTTAACTTCACCACATTGGTTAGAACAAGCCTGTCAGAGATGAGGATTGAACTCAAAGGATGCACTTCCTCCAAACCTAATTATAATCACCCACCAACAGGTGAATTTCAGGGTCCCAATGTGTACACATGTACCATATTTTTCGCTCTATAGGATGCACTTTTTCCCCTCCAAAAATTGAGGGGAAATTTGTGTGCATCCTATGGAGTGAATGCAGGCTCCTTGGCTTCAGCGACAGCAATGGTAAGCCTCCGAAGGGCAGAGGGAGCACTCCCTCCGTGCTCCAAAGCCTTCGCGTTGCTTTCGCTGAAGCCTGGAGAGCGAGAGGCGTCGGTGTGCACCGACCCCTCTCGCTCTCCAGGCTTCAGGGATAGCCGTGCGCAGCCCCTCCGGCAGGGAGAGGCTGCACAGGGCTATGGCTTCTTTAGCCTCGCGCAACCTCTCCCGGCAAGGCGAGGTTGTGCGGGGCTAAAGAGGAAGCCAAAACAGCAAGCGGTATCCATCCCGCTGGCTGCCTTGGCTTGTGACATAGCCGTGCACAACCCCTCCGGCAGGGAGAGGTTGCGCGCAGCCTGTACACTGCTCTTTGAGGCTGGGGGGGAAATAAGATTTTTTTTCTTGATTTCCCCCCCCTAAAAACTAGGTGCGCCCTATGGTCCGGTGCGCCCTATGGAGTGAAAAATACGGTAATTCCTGACCGTGACATGCAACAGCAGCCTTGCAAGGGCCTTCCCTCTTGCTTATTATTATGCACCAGCTTCCTGACCCTGAAGATGGATGGGTTTACACATTTTTACGAAATGATGCAGGGGTGCCTTAGGCCACACTGGAACCCTTAAAAGGGCCTTTATTTTGGGTCAACCCTGTTTCGCCACCAGCAAATAGAAAAGGGCCAGAAAAGCAGAAACTGCTCAACAACAGCAATGACGCTGCCAAGTTCTGCCACCAATTTAAGAACAGCAACATTACACAATGAGCCAGCTGGGGTCTTGTGAATAAGAATTTGTTACTGGCACAATGAACGTTCAGTTATTTCCCCATCTTTTTGCTCTGCACAGGAGCTACTGCTGGGCCTGAAGAACATGAACTATTTTCCAAGACTCTCTGAAACCTGTGCTCCAGCTCCCTGGAGGGTACAGTGAACTACAGCACCACAGCAACTTGGTGCCTTGATGCTGTAGAAGTCTTCTCACACTAAAGCACCTGCAGAGACACCAAAACACACTGCAGAGGAATCTGGGTCACATTGTTCACATTGGGAACTTGCAAGGCCTTGAACACTCTGAGAACTGTACAAGGCTGCACACTGCATGGAAAGACTGATAATGCGAGACAAGTTGTATTTACGGAAGCTTGTATATCATTACAGATCTCTGTTAATAACATTTTCTCATGGTCCACTCCTACACTTTGGTCTAACCCCCAGCCCCCCCAAAACGCATGACAAATGGTAAACAAGTTAATTTTATGGCAAACCAAGTTATGCATTTAAGTTCCTGAAAGTAACAAAGTGACTTTCCATTTGTAAAGTGTGCTGAAAAAGAAAAGTTTTGCATATTTTCCCATTTCCTCCAAAAGTTTCATGCCCCCTCCCCTGAAAAAAACAAAACAATTCCCATCAAGCCTTCAAAATTCTTGGAAATTTTACATTGCTACTGATAGCCTTATCCTCCAAGAATATATCTCATCCCCGCCAATTTACAGCTGTTCAGCTCTGAAATCACTTACTCTTTTAGAACATTACACAACCTGCAAGATATGAACTACTCATTGAGAAACCCCCATGACCTTTTTGGCCTTCCTGAAACAGGTGGAAAACAGGTATTCCATGGAAGATCTCATTCTATGTCCACTTTTCAAGAGAGCTTTTCCTCTTTCTTAAAAAAGCAGCCCTGCCGTGACCACTTTATTGAGGAAGGTGCAAGAGACTTATTAAAACAAACCAACCAAAAAACCCAAGGGCATTTCCATTCAGGAACCGAACTTTCTTTGCACATGCAATCTCCAAGAGCACATACCCTACCCAACAGAAACATAGGAAGCTGCCTTACATCAAGTCAAACCATAGGCCTGTCTGTTAGTAGTTAATACTCACTAGTACTGTGGCTTTCCATAGTTTCCAATAGGAGTCTTTTTCAGTCCTATCAGTAGATGCCAGGGACTGAACTTGGCAAAACATGTGCTCTGCCACTGAGCTAAGGCCCTCAGCCTCTACAGAATTCCTAAATCTAAAATATGAACATGTTTAGAAGAAGCCTAAGTAAGAATCATTCTCCCTCCCTCTCCCAAAGAAGTCCAATGACATGTTACCAAATATGCCATTTTCTCCTTGTCACACCTATCCCTAGTTTGCAACTATGGGTCCTAGGAGAGCGAGAGAGAAGAAGAAGACAAGCATGCCCTAGTACCATTTCAACATAACAGTATATTTCAGATTATGAGAACAAAAAGTTTAATATAAACTCCAGAAATAAAGTCCAGCAGCATATATTCAAATCATGAGCACATACTACTGTATTGTATTGTATTGTATTGTATTGTATTGTATTGTATTGTACTGCATTCAGACAGAGTTGTACAGGGTGAGTCTTTTAAAAGAGGCTTCATGGAACATGTGTACAGTCATACCTCGGGTTACACATGCTTCAGGTTGTGGTTTTTTTGGGTTATGGACTGCTGAAACCCGGAAGTACTGGAACGCGTTACTTCCGGGTTTCGGCAGTTGCGCACACTGAAGGTTGCGAACGTGCATGCCGCACGGATCACGTTCGCAACCCGAGCGTCCACTGTACTCTGTATCCACAGGGCATCTTTTAAAGGACCTAACCTGTACTTCTCATACTAATATCCCCAACACAAATTTTAACACCTTTGAAGAGGTTACTTATAAACAACGGAAACAATACAAATTGCAACATTATGGTTTTACCCCTTAAAAAAAATAGCATGGTATATTTCTTAGTAATAAACCCACAATTGGGCAACTGCTTGAGGCAAAAAGAAAAGATCCCGTGCTCTTTTGCATTGCTGTTCTTGTGCCTAGAGAGTACTGAGAAGGAAAACCAGAAATGCGTGTTTTACTGTAAGGTAACTTGCACACAGAAATGTGCGTGTCACTGCAATGCATCATACAAACAACTGTATTTGATGACTGTCTAGTCAGAAACTTTGTTTGGTTCAGAATGCTGTGGTGAGGTCATAAATGAGTTTTTGCCAGATGATCATGATATGCTGGCATTTCAGGATCTTTCACAAGCCCCCAATTCATTTCTGGATGCAATTCAGAAAGCTGCTTTTTAAACATACAGTCATACCTTGGAAGTTGAACAGCCTAGTTCTTGAACGTTCTGGCTCCTGAACGATCAAAACCCGGAAGTGACTGTTCTGGTTTTCGAATGTTCTTTTGGAAGCAGAACGTCTGATGGGGCTTCTGCAACTGCGCTTTGGTTTTCAAACATTTTGGAAATTTAACGGACTCCCGGAACGGCTTCCGTTTGACTTCCAAGGTACGGCTGTATAAAGTTTTAAGTGGCTGAGGTATCTGAAGGACAGTATCCTTGCATGAATCTGTTGGGCTTAAAACTTAATTCGTCTGAGTGCTCTAGTGCCTCTGCCTTTGGGTACTAGGTTGGTGCATATGGATAGAAAGAGGACCCTTTTTTTGCAACAATATCTCATTTTCAGAATACCCTGTAAATAACCTTCCTAACTATATTCAACTGTGCCAACTAAACCTAACCACCCTGTGAGCAAAATATGTCAGGGAGACTGTCATGGCCATCTTCACAGCTGCTGCTCCACCATCTCCCTTCTGTCACAGACACCATTACAACCAACTTCCCTGTGAACATAAGGAGGAGCCGCCAGCAAGGCAACTGTCAGCACCTCCACCTCTTCAGATGGGCTATTTAAATACCACACACAAGTTTTACTGCTCTTAAATGTATGCCACTGCTCTTAGTTTACCTTAGGTTGGGATTGCCAAATGGTGCCTGCGGGCACCATGCATCCTCGAGTACTTTCCTGGTGCCCACAAAACCTCAGTGCCTGCTGCATTCACCAGCCTCTTTATGATGAGGTGGCAAGGCGCCTTTCCTTCAAAGCACAAAAAGGTGCCAGAGGAAGTAGGGTAAGCAATACTATTTGCCACTTCCTCTTTTAGCTCTGTGTGCTTCTCAAGGCTCAGATAGGCACCTGAGAAATTGAGCAGAAAGGGGATTGATTGAAAGGATAAGAGGGAAATAGGAGCTGAAGGAAAAAGGGAATAATCAGGGAGGAGTGGAATGCTTGCTGGATTCAAAAGGGAGAGTGCAAGAATAATAACATAGTGCCGGAGAGAAAGAAATGTGACTCGGAGAGAAAGGAGGGGGTGAATCCAGATCTAGTAAAACAGATTATATTGAAATTACATCATTTTTTCACAGTCCCCTCACTCCACTCCAAATCACAGATCTCATTAACTGAACCATAAAAGTGACAGATCCAGTTCTTTTCAGTTCTGTCATGGTGCTTCCTCATAATTTTACAAGGAATTCTCTCAAACCACAGGTCACCTCTGTGTTTATATATGCATTTTTTAGTTTGCCATTGGTTTGTTGTCATCTTCTCTAAAAACCATGATGATCCATGTTGTAGTGGTGCTAGCAAGCAGTGAATCTGTGGGTTTTTTTTTACAGTGTAGTCTACTAATGTGAGTTTTAATTTGATGGTGGTGAGGGCCCTGTGTAAAATCATGCATATTCAAGTGAAAATGTTTTAATTCTACTGGATCCAGCTTTTACCCAACCTCCATGGAAACACAAATAATTTATATATTCATTCGAGTGGGGATGGGAGAAGCTATCACAGCAGTCGCTCAAAATGCCAAATGTACCCATGGGTCTCAAAAGGTTAGTGATCCAAAACATTATGTATGCTGTTCTGCGTGCCTTATTAGCTTGAGTGTGGGGTTAACATAATTAAAACCAACTTATTTTCCATTGCATTTGATTTTATTGTTACCTCTTCTAATGGTGCTATTTAGTTATCAGTTTTATGTTTTAATATTGCTAATGAGGATTTTATTGTCTAAGTGTTTTGTCTTGTAAGCTACCGTGGGGGCTGAATTCAGAAAGGCAGGGTAGAGATATTTTGAAACAAACCATCCAATAACCTAACTCTTTAGAATTTTTCATATTACCACAGAACAACCTACACATGAGCAAAAATTCCTTTGAACATGCAGTGAATCTCTCCCCAATCCAGTCTTAAGGCCATTTCCTGTAACACATTTATGTTGATTTACAAACTAACCGTGTAAAGTGTAAGCATGAAAAACTGCTTGTAAATTTGTACTACACAGCTATGCTTATCAACACATTAAGGTATATTTCTGTGGCATTCCTGTGTTTGCCTCTCCTTAATGTGTGAAAGGGCCCCTTCCTGAAGATCTGAGCAGCTCTTCTGCTGATCTAGAATGAGCCTGGGTTTGAACTCAAACTTACATACAGTCGTATCTTGGTTTTTGAACAGCTTAGTTCTTGAATGTTTTGGCTCCTGAACACCGCAAACCCAGAAGTAACTGTTCTGGTTTGCAAACTATTTTTGGAAGCCGAATGTTCAATGGGGCTTGCACGGCTTCCGATTGACTGCAGAAGTTTCCTGCAGCCAATCAGAAGCCGCTCTTTGGTTTTCAAACGTTTTGGAAGTCGAACGGACTTCCGGAACGGATTCCGTTCGACTTCCAAGGTACAGCTGTAATTGGCAAAAACAGCACAAGCCTCAGACACATTGAATATTTTTAAGGAGTAAAGCAAGTGTCATTCTGTGGGTTTTGAAAGAAGTTGCATGTGACTATAAATATATCCTGTGTAAAACTTATTTGTGGTTTAGCCATGTCATAACTTTGTGGGCTGATCACCTTTCCTATTTCCCACAATCTAGAGACATTACAATAGCCCACACTGAAAGAGAATTGCTTAACTCTGTGGTAGCAAAGCAATTCTCACACTTTGGTCCAGGGCTGGAAAAGTATTTCCAAACTAAGAATGGACAGTTATGTAGCCAGGCCTGAGGATTATAAATTCAAACTTATGGGGTCTACCTGCCTCCCTGTCCCTCCATCTGAACAATAAAACACACAATTCTATGTCAAAAAGTATTTTTTAATCCTCACTTGACACAAGGAAGGGGAGAAATATTCATGTCACCTTATTTTTGGTAGGTAGAAGGATTGTAGTTCAGTGATTTTGCATGCAGAAAGCCCAGGTTCAATTACCTGCCTGAAACCCCAGGAAGCCACTGGAGTCAGTGCAGAACAACCTTTAGCAACCTAGAGCCCTCCAGATGACTTAGACACCTGCTGTTCTTGACTACTGACTATGCTTGTCTATGCTTTGTGCCTATGCTGAGTGGTAGAGGGGTGTGTGTGTGTGGAGAAAACTGCTGTTTAGGGAAACAGATTCCCATTTCAGGGTACATGCAACTATTTTTATAATGCTTTGTATGCCAAATGCTTAGGCTCTTAGGCAAACCAGGGGTCTAACAACTGTCAAAACCTGATCCCAAAGGCAAACACGAATGGGTTTTTTTGGCGGGGGCTTCCCCCGACCCCAGCCCCCAGAACAGGCAACTCTCCGCAAGCCGCAGGAGCCCAGCGCCAGGCTCCCGCGCTTTGCGGAGAGCTGCGTGAAGTCTCCGGAAGCCCGGCGCGGGCTCCCACAGCTTGTGGAGAGCTGCGCGAAGCCTGGAGAGCGAGAGGGGTCGGTGCACACCAACCCCTCTCGCTCTCCAGGCTTCAGCGAAAGCCTGCATTCGCCCCATAGGACGCACACACATTTCCCCTTCATTTTTGGAGGGGAAAAAGTGCATCCTATAGGGCGAAAAATACGGTACTTGCCTGATAGGAAAGCAAGACACACTCATAAGGATGTATGGCCAAGTATGTCCCCTATATAAAGCACTAAGCGGCTTCTCTATAATTCTTTTGTTTTTTTAAGGGATATATAAGTATATCTCTTCCATACATTCAAGAACAGTACCATTTAAGGAAAATCTTTTATTTGGCTGAAGCAAAAAAAAAATCTTATTCCATGCATAAAAACATATAACAATTTTGCAAACCGATGGGTGGCCCAAATTTCAAGCCCCTCCAACCTAACAACTGGCAATCACTCCAAAGCTTTTCCTGTCTCCCTCGCCTCCTTCATTTTGGGCACTGTGTGTTGGCAGTTCTCTCTTTTCTTATTGGGCTGGCACCATTTCCACAACCCACAAATTGCTATTAACAAGGTTCTACAACTAATTGGCAAGTGCTGGCCCCATGTCTTTGGAAATTCGTAATGGGCCAGGATTTGCCAGTTAATTGTGGAACTAGAAATGAGTATGCAATACTGCTGAAGGGCAGCACCATCAAGGCCACATGTTTCTCTCCTTCCATCTGTCACCCACATGCTTATTTTTTTTGTGATAGTGGCACCCTAAGTACTTGCTGGCCAGCCACCAGCTCAGGCTCCTGTTCCACTGCATTTTTTTTTAGAAATCTCTTCCTCCTCCCTCTACACAGTATACTCAAATATTTGTGTAACTGAGAAGTACAAACAGGTATCAAGAAACGTACACTGAGTCCCCAGATTGATGGTCAGCGTCTTGCTAGTATCAGCACATCATATGCCCAGAGGGATACAGTCCTGGTTGAGGGCAACCTTATAAATCTCAAAAAGTCCAGCAGAAGAAAAGAGTCTTTTGCTGATTTTGAAGATTACAATAGAGAAGGCTTTGCAGTTCCCCTGAAAGCAACTCCCACTACAGCAAGCTTTAGTTCAGGTGGCAGGAGCTGCATTTGTAGATCATGCTGTTGAGGACCCCAGAAAAGGAGATAGAAGAGTTTGGATTTGATATACCACTTTATCACTACCCGAAGGAGTCTCAAAGCGGCTAACATTCTCCTTTCCCTTCCTCCCCCACAACAAACACTCTGTGAGGTGAGTGGGGCCGAGAGACTTCAGAGAAGTGTGACTGGCCCAAGGTCACCCAGCAGCTGCATGTGGAGGAGCGGAGACTGAACCCGGTTCACCAGATTACAAGACTACCGCTCTTAACCACAACACCACACTGGCTCTCCATAAGATAAGTTAACATGGTGCCAACTGAGTGTTAACATTTAAAAATTGTTAAAATTGATGGGATGCTGCCAAGGCAGATTCATGACCTTTGTCCATTACAAAATTTTACATAGCAACAGCTAATCCTGAAACAGCAGGCTTCTCACACTTGTTGAGTGGCTCTAACTCACCCTGAGCCCTCAGAATAAGGCATGCTATAAAGCAAATATATCCCTCTTGTGCTTATTTTCTACACACTCAAATACATATAGTTTGCCTTAACTAAAGAGCCTCGTTTTGTGTGGGGATCATGCTCCTGACCCCCTTGCGTGTCAGCGGAGCATGCATCAGTTGGCCCCGTCGCCACGCAGATTGGATAAACATAAAACAATTGTTGCCTGTATTTTTAGATACACACAATAAGATGCATGTGCATTTTGTTGACATACATTGTACACAAGAGAAATACTCTATCTCAAGGCCTTAAGGCCACTGAGTTATAATCAGGTTCTATTGTACCTGAAGCTATTAACCTCCTTGAGCCCTTATGGTAAGGGTGGGCAAAAACCATTCTCTTGTCAGGTGTAAAATATATACAGCTCACCCTTAGGATAGGGTGTTCTATAAATCCCTTTTCCGCATGTCTATATGTGCAAGCACGTATGCACACACATACTTGAATGAGGAAGAAGGAAACTCATTTACACCCCACCCTATCTCATGGACTCAAAATGAGTAATATACACACTAAATTCTATTATTTGTGTGTGCACAGACAGAACAGATCTGAACGTGTATGTGGGTGCTACATGAAAGGAAATGAATGACCCAATGAAAATTGGCTTGTTAAACCTTACTTTCATATATTGTAAACCAGTGTAAGATAGTATCCCACTAGGACAGGCATAGGCAAACTTGGCCCTCCAGATGTTTTGGGACTACAAATCCCATCATCCCTAGCTAACAGGTCCAGTGGTCAGGGATGATAGGAGTTGTAGTCCCAAAACATCTGGAAGGCTGAGTTTGCCTATGCCTGCACTGGGATCATAACCTACTTGTTAGCAGAGCTGTTTGGTTGCTTTAATGCTATGATATAATAACAGGTGTTACATCATACACACACACACACACACACACACACACACAGTAAGGCTATCAACAACTACTAGTCAAAATGGCTATGTGTAGCCTCCAGGTTCAGATATCATAATGTCTCTATTTTTTTCCAGGAAACTTTTGGATCATCCCCCTATACTATACCTTAATGTAACCAAGCCAACGCACATGCTGTTGAAATATCACAATCTTCCCCAGCCTTCATTCCTCCCTATCCTCCATTCCCTGTGTATAGTTTAGATTTTAAGCCCTCAGAGAGGAAGCTGTCATATCCGGGTTTTTTTTAAAAAGAACCATTTGCACACATGGTGCCATAACAATATCAATTGCTGGGGAGCAACAACAGGAAAGGGTTCCTGCCTTCATCTATAAGGAGAAGGGATGTAGCTCAGTGGTACACCATCTGCTTTGCCCGCAGAAGGTCATAAGTCCTGCTTGTAGGCTTCTCAGAGACAAGGCGGGGAATACTGGACTAGAGAGACATTTGATCTTACCCAGCATGACTTGGGCTTTCTCTCTCTATTTTACACACAATATACCAAGGACGGGGGAGCCTGTGACTGTCCTTATGTTGTTGGACCCCAACTCCCATCAGCCTAGTCAACACGGACAACAGCCAGGGATTGTGGGAGCTGTAGTGCAACAAGGCTACAGCCTCCCCACCTCAGCTATATACAAATACACAAATACAGGAAGCTGCCTTATACTGAGGCAGATCATTCATCCATCTGGTTCTGTATTGTCAACCCTGACTGTTAGTACCACGGTTTCAATTGGAGGTCTTTCCCACCCCTGCTTTGTGATGGAAGGGTTTGAAGATGGGAGCTTTTACATGAAGGCAAATGTTCTGCCACTGAATCAAAATCATTTCCCTATATACACAAATATATCACAGCCTTATTAAAACAGAAGCCGTCCAGAGGAGTTGTGGTGCAGTGCTGGACTAAGAGCTGGGAGGCCAATTTTCCCACTCAGTTATGAAGCTCTCACTAAGTGACCTCCTGCGAGTCACTCACTCTCAGCCCAACCTAACTCACAGGATTATTGGGGAGGAAGTAAAGTGTATTTGCCACCTTTAGCTCCTTGGAGGAAAGGTGGGATATTCATGTAAAATTTAAATACACATACACCCTCCCTTGCCTGCCTACTACTATGCGCTGCGTGAAGAAGCCCTTTATTTCATCTGCCCTGAACCCTCCGACATTCATCTGCACTGGATGTCCTCTGCTTCTACAACCTCACAGGGTTGTGGTGAGGACAAAGAGCAGGAGGTGCAGTGGTGTGTCAGGCAGAAGCCTGGAAGAGACCAGGATTCAAACCCCACGACTGGGCCATGAAGCTCACTGGGTGACTTGGGGACACGGTCACTTCCTCTCAGCCTAACCTACCTCCCGGGGTTGTTGCTATGGGGATTAGAGGGGGGGGAGAAAAACAACTGAGCTCCTTGGGAGTAGAAAAAGGTGGTCTGTAAAGGCAATAAAGGAAATAAACAAACTAACGAACAATGGATAAGCTATCTTGAACTGCTTTGGAGAGATGATAAGGTATGAATGCATTAAAACAAATAAGAGATTAACATCCCCCCCAACATACCTTGGCGGCCCGAACGTCCTCCCGCTGGCCTCGGAGGCTCAGCCAGATCCTGCGCCCGGCGGCGGCGCTTTGCTGCTGCCCGAGATCTAGAGCGGCCCAACCGCCGCTGCTCAGCGACCCCAGGATGGCCAGGCGGACCCGGAACAGGCGCTCGATGCTGGCGCGGCTCCGCTCCAGGGAGCCGCTCTTCTCCGCCGGGGCCGTGAACTCGTCCAGCACCGGCTCGGCTCCGAGACCTTCCGGCGGCAGCGCGCCTGCGGCAGCAGCGGCTTCGTTGCTGGTCGTAGTGAAGGTCGCCATTACAGCGGCGAGGAGCGGTCGGAGGAGCGGAGGCGGCGGCGTGAGCGTTGCTGGCGGCGGCCGCCCCTGCCGCTTCCCATCGCTTCGGGCCTTGCGAGGGAGTCAGGACAACAACCCCATCGGGGAAACTCCCCCCGCCGCCCTGCCCCACACCCCGGAAGCGCTAATGCCTCATCGCTATGCAACGGCGACGTCACCATGAGGCGCCGGCGCGACACACAGAGCTGTGGCGCGCGGGGGGGAGGGGGGAAGGAGGCGGCGGTGCGTGTTTCTCAGTTACTCCTCTGTGATAGCTAAGGGCTGGCTGGGTGCAGCGGGGCTCCGTCGCTCTGCCCATACGCGATGCCTCCGGCCGCCATTTTGGGTGTGGGCGAAGTGACACTTGGGAGAGCCGCAATCTGGCGCCCTGTTTGAAGCAGGCGGTATTATTTGGGTGGATGAGAATGGTGGCGGTGATTAAGTTTAAAGTAATCTAATATGCTACAGCTGTTTCTTCCCCAGCCCTGTCCGCCATTTTCCATATATTTACTTTGTTATTTTTATTTATTTATTTATCTATCTATTTATTTATTTCTATCCCTACTTTGTTGTTTCGTCGTGTCGGACTCTTCGTGACCCCATGGACCAGAGCACGCCAGGCACTCCTGTCTTCCTACTACTATTTATTAAATTTGAATACCACCTGCTGGTTTGGGGCGGTTACAACATAAAACCACAACATAAAACCACAAAATACATAATAAAAACAAGAACAACCCAAGAACTCCTCCCTAACACATTTTAAACTGGATATCAATCAGCCAAAGGCATGCTTAAAGAGTAACGTTTTTGCCTGGCACGTAAAGGTGTGTAATGAAGGCGCCCGCCGAACCTACCCGGGAAGAGCATTCCACAAATGGAGCCACTGCAGAAAAGGCCCATTTATTATTATTATTATTATTATTATTATTATTATTATTATTACAATTCATTATCCACCCTTCCCCCAAGGTATTCTTTTGATTTATTATTATTATCATTGATATGGAGCCATTGTTGTAAACGTCAGCTTTGTACAGTAGGCAAGTTGACGCACCCCTCTGTATCTTCCATCCAGGCAAGCAAGAAACATTATCAGAATTTCAAGGCACCTTGCATCCAGGTAAAAACATTCAAGATGGGGGCAAACCACAGTTGGTGAGGGCGCAGCCTGCGAAGAAAAAGTGGCATCTTGGGGAGAAAGAGTGAGGACTAAGTAGAGAGACCTGAAGGGCTGTGTTTCAGCCCAATGCTGCAGTTCCCCAAGCACTAATTTCCTGTTGTAAAAGTAAGCACCAGCACTTTGGACTGAGCCAGGAAATGAATAGACAGGCAATCATGCTTTGTGCATGCGCAGAAGCGCTGAATCGCATCACGCGCATGCGCAGATGCAGCACTGCGGGTTGCGAATGTGCCTCCTGCACGGATCAGGTTCGCAACCCGAGGTTCTACCGTATTGGCATACACCAATGGTTCCCAATGGCATACACCAATGGTACTGCTGCCCCTGGCAGGGGGATGATCTGGGGGGGCCCCTAAGAGGCAAGGGGGTGGCGGGAGGGGGGAATGGAGGTGCATATAACTACCAGACTTTGAAAAGCTGGTTTCACTGGATCAAGTTCATCAGCTTTGTTGACTTAATTAAACTGACTAGTTTTAATTGGATTTTGAATCCGATAATTAATGAATTGTTACTGTTTTTCAATTTTATTGCGTTATTATCTTCCTTAGTGAGTTGTGCAAACTGCTATTCCGAGTAGTGCTTTTTATAGGGTGGGGTAAGGTGCACTGGGGATGAGCTTATGCAACCATGGTGGTCCAAACGTTTTTTTTGGGGGGGGAGAACCACTAGTATACACAATCTCTTGCTTCCTCAGCAATGCACAATTGTTTGTAAATAAGCAGGTAAATGGCACGACTCTTATTTCTTGATTGTTTTACAGTCCACGTGCATCTCCCTTTAAAAACAAAACCCTACACACTTTTCCTTGTTGGATATCTTGAGGTTATTGGTGCCATCAGCTGGTTGAATGAAGCCAGTGCAACTTTTAGAAGTAAAACAGAGCCACGCTATACAATACATTAAAAACATACTCAATTCATGTTTAAAGCACATGGTTCCCCTCCCTTGCCCAAAAAGAATCATGGGGACGGTAGTTTGTTAAGGGTGTTGGAAATGGTAGCTCTGTGAGTGGGAAACCACGGGCCCCAGGATTTCGGGGGGGGGGGGGAGTCATATGCTGTAAATGTGCTTTGAGCATGCTTTAAATGTATAGTGTGGGAAATAACATGCTTTTTAGTGTGAGGGTGATTCCTGACGGGAGCTTAAGATAGTGAATGGGCCGTTCAGATATCACCAATGAGTCGTTCGCAACAGGTTTTTGTTAAATTATTGTATTTTTCCTAGAAAGGAGAAATTCAGATTAAGCGGGCGGGAAATGAGCTGGCATTTTGATGCCATTGACCATGTGTGGATGCTGTGGACCCAAAATACACACCCATGTGGAAGCAATCAGAGACTGTAGCACTGTAAGAATCAGAAACCACACATTTAGGGATTTAGACACACAGTTTGTGTTCTGGAGAATAACTACTTGCTCAAATTAGGGACATTATAAGTGCATGTATTCTTCTGCGGTGTATTAATTCCAAGCATCACATTGTTATAAACTTTTCTGTTATAAATCCTTCACCCTTCAAAATTTAGGAAATACTTCCTTAGAAAATTGCACTTTATTTTAGCACATGGAACAATCCCAAAAGCCACATTAGCTCTCCTAATGATTAAATATTTCTTCTGCAGAAGGAAATATCTTGGAGAAACTTTTCCCAGTAGTTCTTTTCACTTACAAATCCTACAAATCCTGTCTTAAGGATATATTTTGTGTATGAATAGGGTAGGCCTGTGACCTGGGTTCAAGAATTAAGATATTTACCATCTCAAAAGACTGGCCCAGATTGACCAGGTAATGCGATCAGTGACCATTAACAGGTATCTTGTCAGACAGGAAACAACCCAAGCCCTCAAATTTCTGCTTTAGACTGCCTCATTCTGTGCCGGGTATGATGTTTTTTGGGTGGTCTTTGGCTAAGGGGCTGGGCAGTTTCTAAAGTTTCTTTAAAGTTCTTGCACACCTTTGTTCTGGGTCCTCACCTCCTTGCAGAGGTGGGAGGTGAACTCTGTTGCAACAGGAAATTAAATATATTCCTTGCTTTTCTTCTACTGGTCCCTGGCTCTATCCATTCTCCTCTGACATGGACATAGGGGACTCAGAGTCCCTTAGCGAGTTGGGCTGCAAAAGCAAACTCCATTTTTTTCTACAACAACATCTACTGACATCTAAAAACATACAAAATTGGGATGCCAGCCCTTCCTGCTGCCTCTGGACTCCCCCCACTCTATATTGGGTTGCCAACTGTTTTTTCTGACTGGCACCCTGTGCCTTTAACAGCTGCCAATCAAACTAAAATTCAGCAGGGGAAGTTTTTTTCTGGCAGGAGAATACGCTCATGGGAAATGCTTCACTGCCAATTTTTTTGCCCATTGAGAATTGGTTAAAGGCGGAGGAGCCCCACCAGCAAAAGGATTAGTTGGCAACCCTCACATAAAAAGTCCCTAAACTTTTAGTCTCACTGCTTGACTCATGCTTTACAGTAAAGCCGATACTTAGATATTTCAGAAAACTGAACTGTTTTGGAGCGTCACATATGTGCCACATTTGTGTGTACAATTCAAAAGCGATATAGAACTAAAAACCCTTGCAGGGTTGTAGTTTCTCATCCTGCGGTTTGAATCTTTGCTCAGCTTGTGCTCTGATTCATTTAGTATATGTGAGCCCTCTTCAGGCTATATCACGAGCAGAAAGTATAAAAAGGATGGTGGCTGAGTCACACTGCCTCATAGTAGGGTTGATGCTGATCTAAGTAAAAAAAATGGGTTGGGGGGTGGTGAGATACTTTTATGCTCTGATTTTCCAATATTATACTTCCAATTTATCACACTGCATTCATCCGATTTTATTGTGCTTTATTGCCCTGAGGCCATTTTATAGCAAAAAGGTGGTGTAGAATTTTTATAAAAATAACTTTTTATTGGGGGTGGGTTTAATTTTGGATTGGAGAAGCAGGGAAGGACAATGTGCTTTAACCTTTTGATCCCTGCCATTCCTCTGCCCCCACCTATCCACAAGATCTCAAAAGCATGCTTGCCTTGTGGCTGAGAGATGCACCTAACTTGGCTGAACTAAAATAGGCGAGATGGAGTGCAGCCTAACAGTAGAACCCACACCCCGATAAATTCAGTGGCAGTACTTCATTTATTATTACATTTGTAGACCATATTTTCCTCATAAGGAGGAGCTCAAGGAGGATTAAGACCACCGAACCCAGTGGGACACACACCTTTTTCATGTGCTCAGAAGAGCAGCCCTGAGCATAAAGTATTAAAATTGTTGGTTGGTAAAATCAAAAACGTATTGGGAGAGATTTTGACTACCAAGGGGCCTCCACAGGGTTTAATCTGGCACTGGGGCTAGTTTCTGCACACACAGAGACTCTCTTCTCTATGCTCCATCCAAACCACCGAGAGTAGAGAACGGTATTCTCCAGCTACCAAATGCTTAGGTAACCATGAATGTTTTCAAATTCCTCCTGTGCTGGTGCACCTCACCAGGGTGGGCCTTCCACAACCGGGAAACCCACCACTGAAAAGCCATGTGCCAACTGGTGGCGACACCACCAAGCCCTCATCTTCTTTTCTTTTTAATATAATTTTTATTAACAGGCCAATCAAATCACATTAATTCCAAATCACATTAGTTCCAAATTAGACAGCCAGATTTTTAAATTTTTTGTTGGGGATACCCATACTTCAAGCTCTGAAAGGGATCCAAACTTCACTCTTGCTGCTGCTGCTTTAATTAAACAGTTCTATCCAGTTCTGTCCAGATAGTCTCTTTGTTATTTTCCTCATCTTCTTGTTGTTATCATATATTCCTTTCTTTGTGATCTCTGACAATCTTCACAAGCGGGTTGCAAACAAACATATTCTGTGTGGGTTTTACACTCTCCAAGAGCCATATCACATAAAGGACAGACGCCATTTCCACACCTCCGTAAAAACATTCCCACAGTCTGTCCGTTGATTTCCACAGGCTTGCCAATCTATATCTCAGGGGGAGCTGCCAGGTCAAGATCACATTCCGATAACCATACATTCACATTCCAATGACCTTGGTCCTCCTCCCCCTCGTCCTCCTATGGGCAAGCCTGTCTTAATGAAAGTCCATTTGTAACTGCGTCATAAAACTTTCTTTCCACCAGTCCTCTCTTTGATCAGTAATTCATTTCCACACAGTTCTTAGCTCCTGCTTGTGATTAGTAATTAGCAACGATTCTTCTCTCTGGAGGGGAGGGTTATTGGTACTCACATAAGACAAAATAAGAAAAGTTTTTTCCTCCCCCCTTTCCGTTTCACTCCAACATACCAGTCTTTTAATGATGATTCTTCACTTGATTTATTTGTCCTGCCCGTCGCTCCGCTCGCAGAGATCCCATTAATCAGCAGTCTTTACTCTCGATCTTCACTTGATGTATGTGCATTAGCTTCTTTCCAATTATATATTTCCAATTATATATTTCGAGTTAATGTGAACCAGTGCACGATTAGAGACAGCATCAGGGAGAGCCGACCTCACCCGAGGGCTTCGTGCCAAGTGTCCTCACCCCTTTTTTTGAATCCGGGGGTGAATTATGGACACAGCTGGCAAGGCAGTCCCCCCATTCCCTTGGGGGGGCAAGGGAGGCTGCATACTCCCATCACAGCCTCTTAATTACCTCGTGTGGGTTTGAGAGATGTTATTGTCGGCCATCTTCCAATGCGCCCCCTGGTGGCCCCCGACCAAGCCCTCATCAAGATGGTTGGCAATGAGGAAGGTGCTCTTTTAAGTACAATGGTACCTCGGGTTACATACACTTCAGGCTACATATGCTTCAGGTTACAGACTCCGCTAACCCTGAAATAGTACCTCGGGTTAAGAACTTTGCTTCAGGATGAGAACAGAAATCGTGCAGCGGCGGCGCAGTGGCAGCAGGAGGCCCCATTAGCTGAAGTGGTGCTTCAGGTTAAGAACAGTTTCAGGTTAAGAACGGACCTCCGGAATGAATTAAGTACGTAACCAGAGGTAACACTGTACTTGGGTTCCAAGCCATTTAGGGCTTTATATGCTAGTACTAACACTTGGAATGTGGGCCAGTAGCCGACTGGCAGCCAAAGCAGTGCTTTCAGGACCAGTGTCACATGGTCCCACCGGGCTGCCCCACTTATCAACCTAGCAGCCACGTTCTGCACCAGCTGCAGCCCCCAGAGCATCTTCAAGGGCAGCCCCACATAGAGAATAGTCCAAGCAGGTCACTAGATTGTGGATAACTGAGGCTAGGCTAACTTGGTCCAGGAATGGTCGTAACTGGTGAACCTGCCTAAGCTAGGCATAAGCACTCCTAGCCACAGAAGCAACCTGGGACTCCAGTTGGACAAGTTGGAGTCCAGAAATCCTCCCAAGGTATGAACCTGATCCTTGGCAGAATCTTTCATCCCCATCCCTTCTGGCAGAACTACCTTTGCTGCTACCCCATTGCTAATAAATCATTCTTTTTTTTAAAAAAAAAAGTACAAAATATAACTGAAACAAGACAGAAGCCAGACATTTCTCAATTACAGTCTCAGTGGCCACAGAAGCCGGGTGCTTTGAATTTTAATTAACGGGCTCTGCATTTGTTTTTGAAGCCCCCATTTTGAGTGTTTGCTAGAATCCCTTAATTAGTTCCAAAAAACCCGCAGGTGTACTGGCATGGGTTTGTTTGGCTGTGAGAGAGTCAAGCAGATATTTTTTTTTTTTTTTAAAAAGAGAATATCAATATTTTGTTGTATGATAATGAGTCGTATTCAATTTCCCGGCGATCATATTTGCAGTGAAAACGTTCTGGCTTCCAAATGGAACGAAGACGCAGAAGGGGGATTGCTTCCATTAGGGGAGAGAGAGAGAGTTTTAAACACTGTTAGAGTACTAGCATGAAGGACAACTGGTGGTGCCATTGTAAAGCAGATGTCATTTAGGAACCGTTGCCCCAAATACAGCTGAAATGTTGCATGCAAAATGTGCCGGGTTCTTAATTGCTGCATTCCAAACAGAGATGAAAAGAGAGTTGCATGGTTCAGAAACTCTGCCAGGAAAGGAAATAGCCTTGGATGTGTGGATGGTGGAGGAAATGTTGGCTGGGAACTAAAGAGATGTTTAGACTTCTCCAAGGGCTTTGAGCAAGGCTGGGGGAATTTTTTGACTTTTGTCCTTTTGAACAGCTAAGCTCCCTCCCCTATTCATTGCAAATGGCTTTCCAAACTTAATAATAATAATAATAATAACAACAACAACAATAAACAGTTTACCACATACCTTTTTTTTAAAAAGGAGATTATATAGGGAGAGATTCAGTATTATCCAAATGGAGCCACTGGCAGCGGCAGAGCAAGCCGATTGGGTGCGCCCAGGGGTGGGGCTAGCCACCTACGGGACGGGGCAAGCCGGGGCAGGATGCTCCGCAGGACCTCCGAGGAGTCTGCCTGCCTCCTCCCACTCAGCCACCCTACAGCTGAGGGGGAGGCGGTGGACAGACCGTATGGGGCAGCATGGAGCCTGTGGGCGCCCAAGCCACTGCGCCACTTCCAGGAGAGATGCATGGCTCGGGCACGCTGCAGGCCCCGCGGTGAGTGCCACCCGGCATTTTGTTACCCACCTCCGTGGTGACACCTAGGGCGGACTGCCCCGACCGCACCCCCTTCCTCTGCCGCTGGCCACTGGCCAATTGGAGGAGCCTAGAATGCCTCTTTCTTGATAATGCCTCTCGCTTGCGTGGCTGGAGGCTCTCGAATGGAATCCGTTCAGGAAGTCCGCTCGACTTCCAAAAACGTTTGACAACCAATGTGCGGCTTCCGATTGGCTGTTGGAGCTTCCTACACTCAATAGGAAGCCTCGGAAGCTGCGTCGGACATTCGGCTTCCAAAGAACGTTTGCAAACCGGAACACTCACTTCCGGGTTTGCGGCATTCGGGAGCCAAAACGGACGAGTACCAAGGCGCTCGATCAACCAAGGCATGACTATGTGTGTAGAAACCTCTGGCTTTTTTTGTGAGGTTCATTGTGGCTTTTGTGCAGAGCGGCGTTATTGCTATGTTTTATTCTTCTCTTTGTCAACAACTTGCACAGCACTTGGAGAACTGTACCACTGGGCGGTGATTCAATGGAAGAACATCTGCTTTGAATGAAGAAGGTCCTAGGACCTGGTTCAGTCCCTGACATCTCAAAGTAGGGCTGGGAGAGAACCCTATTGCCCGCAGGGAAGGGCAAGCCAGGGCTGAACGCTCCGCAGGGCCTCTGAGGAGTCTGCCTGCCTCCTCCCACTCAGCTGCCCTACAGCTGAGGGGGAGGCGGCGGACAGACCGTATGGGGCAGCATGGAGCCTGCGGGCGCCCAAGCCACTGTGTCACTCCCAGGAGAGATGCGTGGCTCGGGCGAGCCACTGAAGGTCAGTGCAGACAATACTGAGCTAGGTGGGCCAACAGTCTGACTCAGTATAAGGCAGATTCCTGCGTGAATTTATGAGGTACCTCAAAAACAGGGTAACATTAAGTAAATAAAAACCTAGAATAAGGCACTTCCTTGTCTTCTTCTGGCCTGTGTTAAGTTCTGAGACTCAGCAAGCTTGGCACACAGGAAACTGTCTTATACTGACTCAGCTTATTGGTCCATCTAGCTCAGTATTGCATACACTGACTGGCAGTGATTTCTAGGGTTTGAGGCAGAGAACATTCCCAGCCCTTCCTGGAAATTCCAGGGAACCTGAGACCTGCCTTATGCAAAACTGATGCTCTGCCAGCCACTGAGCTACAGCCTTTCCTTACATTTAAGATGACATCACCCAGAGCGCTGATCGGAACAGAGGAAGTTCCGGTATCTAGCTCAGTATTGTCTGCACAGAGTGGCAGCAGCTCTCCAGTGTTTCAGACAGAGACTTTTCCCCTTCCCAGCCCTGCCCTGCCTGGAGATGCCAGGGATTGAACCTGGGACCTTCTGCATGCAAAGCAGATTCTTCAACACTGAGCTGTGGTCCTTCCCCGTAATTAGGATTCGCAGCAGTTGACATAATTGCTTTGTTCACACTATGATTAGCGACGTTCCTGTAATTAAGGCAGGAGTTCACAACAGCCACGGTTTAGAAAAGGAGAGCGCTGCTTTCAAAATGACAAGTCCTCTAAATCCCACATTAGCGAGCGCGCAGAACCTTTCAAAGCATTGAAGGAGGGAAAGCATGCTCTGCTTCACATATTCCTGCTTCAGATAACTTTGCAAAATTACATTTTGTTTAGAAAAAGGAGTGGAGAACTAGACCTTCCTTCGGACAAATAATAAACATGGACATCTTAGGAAATGGTCTGGGTGTTTTGATGCATGGATTTTAGTTTTTTAAAAGATCAATCGGACTGATAGAGTGTAAAGAAAAAAAATACCATTAGGGGGCATCCTTTCACTTTTGTAATCCTTTGGAGACATTTTGTATTGTGGCTGCAACCTGCATTTTTTTGTTTTGTTTACGGCATTAATTCTGAGGTTAAGGTTGGCCTGCGGTGGGCAATAATAAGTTTAACCTTTGACTTAATACAATAAGACGTAATTTATCATTTCTTGGCTCTTTTGTAAGTGTGTTGCTACCCTCAACTCCACTTACGATAAATAAAGGGACACGAACACGTGATATTTAGGGCAGTGTTTGTGTGCGTGTGTGTGCAAAACAAAACCTAGATTGAGAAGGCTCTTAAAAATCCATACGTATTTTAAGATATCCAAACATTCTGCTTTTGCTACAAAAATGAATCAATGCACTAGTTCAGTAAAAAATGTAGCCCTTGCTCCTAGGGTGCCAGCAATCAAATGAATATTAAAATAAGAATTCAGTTTAGAGGTAAGTTTGTCAAAAACACGAGGCAACTAGATCAGCGTTTTTGGCTAGGTACCAGAAAAGCAGGAAAGGGCAAGAAAACATTTCTGTGGGGTTCCCCACCCCCACTTTAGTCTTTTTATCTTTTTTAAAAAAATAGTGGTGCATCTTAGATAAATATTTATTTATACTTGTATCCTACCTTTCCTCTAAGGAACTCTAGGCAGCATAAGTTCCCTGCCCTCAATTTGGTTTTCACAACAGCCCTGTGAGGTCGGTCCGGCCAAGAGATGAGCCCAACGTGACTGTGAGGATCCCTACCTTTCCGCCTTGGGGATCCCAAGTGCCTTCACAGATCCAGCCAATCTCTTCTCTATTCACTCATCTATTGCATTTGCATCCCAACTTTTTCTCCAAGGAGCTCAAAGTGGTGTACATGGTAAATGTGAATTGGCTGTAACCCATAATAGATATTATCCCTTATTGACAGAGGATGCCATCCTCTTCAACCTCAATAATACCTGCATTGTTTCCCCCACCCCATTTTCTTCTGTGTTAATTCTCTTTCAGATTTAAGCCTCTCTTCTTTTGCGGAAGAAAATATGTCTCCTGGGGGTGGGGTGTTGACAAGGAACGGGAGCTCAAAGATTATGTAATTGCAGGTAAGATTATGTAATTGCAGATTAATGCAAGCTCCAGGAAGTGCACACCATAACAAATATCACAAAAGTTTCGATATTCCTTCAAGATATAAATAGGATTTTTCAGGGATGGGTGGTCATTGGTCATTTCCTCTTTAAGCTTTTAAAGGATACTTCGGCTAAATGAGCCATCATTCCAACTTCTTATGGCAGTTCTCAAGTCCTTACAGAATCCAACCCTGCAGCCGTGCTGTCTTTTCAAAGATCCTGTATCCTTCCTTTAAAAATTTGTGGGGGTCCGAATGACAGCTGGATGTTTTAAGCCACTCTGGGGTCATTTGAGGGTAACTGTGATGACTTCAAGAGTCGGGGAGATTCTGATCATGCTGTCCTAGTCTCTCTTTCCGTTCTTGGGAAATGGGCACACCCAAACCCCACCCTTCCAATGCATTTTGCAGAGTTCAGGACGGATTGCAAGAGTAAAACGAAACCACCCCTTGCAAGTGGTAAAAGCAAGACAGAAATAGAGGAGTGATGGGGAATCCCCGGCATGTAAGGCTGGGAACATCCCATTCCTGAAACCCTGGAAAGACTTTGCTGGTCAATGCAGGCAATACCGAACTAGATGGAACAACAGCCTAGCATCCTGAGATAACTGTCCTAAGCCAAGTTGCCTACAGAATAGGTGTGACTGTAACCTATAAAAGGCATAGGAAGGGTGTGTTGGAGGAGGGAAGGAGGGCCATAGCTCAGTGGCAGAGTACAGTGGTGCCTCGCAAGACGAAATTAATCCGTTCCGCGAGAGTCTTCGTCTAGCGGTTTTTTCGTCTTGCGAAGCAAGCCCATTGACGGATTAGCGCTATTAGCGCTATTAGCGGTTTAGCGGCTATTAAAGGCTTAAAGGCTTAGGGGATTAGCTGCTAAAAGGCTATTAAAGGCTATTAAAGGCTTAGCAGATTAGATAAAGGGGGGGGGGAAGCGAAAAAATTTTTTCAAGACTCGCAAGACATTTTCGTCTTGCGAAGCAAGCCCATAGGGGAATTCGTCCTGCGAAGCAACTCCAAAACGGAAAACCCTTTCGTCTAGCGGTTTTTCCGTCTTGCGAGGCATTCGTCTTGCGGGGCACCACTGTACATGCTTTGCATGCAGAATTGGGAACATCCCCTGCCTCAAACCCTGGAGAGCTTCTGTAAGTCAGTGTTAACAATATTGAGCTCAATGGACCAATGGTCTGGCTTGGGAGAAGGCTTCTGATGTTCCTACTTTCTTGCCTAGTAGACAAACTCTCTCTCTCTCTCTCTCTCCATATATATATGGATTTTAAAAATCCCCTCTCTTGATATTTGCCAGGAACACAGCCCATCTCTTTCTCAGCTGTCAATAGAGCTGACAGCATACGGCTGTGCCGTGAATAAATTATTCAGAGGCTCACACCTAAAACAAAAGCAGCTTTGCTTGGTGTGTGTGTGTGTGTGTGTGTGTGTGTTTAAAGCTGACATTTTACATTTATATTGAGGCTAATATCACCTTGATGCACACCATGAAGAAGCAGACTGCTCAGAATAAATTATTAACTCTCAGCGATTACCCTTTCTCAAGATATCCTGAAATTGCTGGATAGGCTAGCGGGAAGATAGCATCAGATGGAGTGTGTGCATACTATAGCCACAAGATCCAACCTAAATCTATCTGTAGTTTTGGGAAGCAGTTCAGTCTCTTTAGGAGATGCTCCAACCCAGCTGGTCATTCAGGACCAAATGAGATGTGTTATAAACAAATCTTTGTGCGCCCCTTCCCCATTCACTATAATGGTGAATCTAAAAACAGCCATAGCTCCCCCCTTTTTTTCACAGAAGTGGATGAAATTTGCAGGTGTAGCTGTCGATAAGCTTACAAAAATGTGGGCCGATACACCCTGGGGTTTTCGTGTAAGGAACATTTAAAGTTTGATTTTTTATTTTTTTTTAAGTGTATTTCATTTTGTACCAGAATTGGATGTGATTTGCCAGCATGGTCAAATACTGACAGATTTCAGAATGATAGCTGTGGCAGTTCTCTTGCAAAGGCAGGCCATACTGCTTTAGGGTGGGTAAAAGAGGGGCAATAGAGGGGTTGGATAGTGGTGGGGATCTTGTGGCTATAGTATGCACACACTCCATCCGATGCTATCCTCCCGCTAGCCTATCCAGCAATTTCAGGATATCTAGAGAAATGGTAATCGCTGAGAGTTAATAATTTATTCTGAGCTGTTTGGCTCCGAAGCGCCCTCTCCGATTGCATGGAGCCCAGACAGCCCCGTGGTTTTCCATGGATCTGAGGGCAATGAAACAATCGTTGAGACGGCTAGAGCGCCGGTGGCGGATGACCCATTCTGAAGCTGACCGGACACAGGTTAGAGCTCAATGTCGAGCCTACCAAGTGGCGGTTGCGACGGCGAATAAGATTTTCTTTACCGCCTCTACTGCATCTGCAGAAAACAACAGCAGGAGACTTTTTCAGGTGGTTAATTTAGCGGAAACACCTGCTACATCGGGTGATCACCACATGATCTGCAATGATTTTGCAAAGTTTTTTGCAGATAAAGTCACTCAGATTCGGGAAGAGGTAGACGCCACCGTGGGAGCAGGGCCGGGGCGGGAGAGTGCTAGGGTCCTGTCTAGTCAAGTTGTATGGGATCAATTCCAATCTGTTACCTCCGAGGATGTGGACAGGCTGCTTGGACGAGTGAAACCAACCACCTGTCTTCTTGATCCTTGCCCATCCTGGCTTATAAAAGCTAGCCGGGAAGGGCTGGGCGATGGGCTTCGTGGGGTGGTGAATGCTTCCCTCCGTGAGGGAGCCTTCCCAGACCTGCTGAAAGAGGTGGTTATTAAACCGCTTCTTAAAAAAACCATCTTTAGATGCGGCCATGATGGCCAACAATCGCCCAGTCTCAAATCTTCCATTCTTGGGCAGGGTGATTGAACGAGTGGTTGCTGAACAACTCCAGGCATGCCTGGAAGAAGCGGACCATTTGGATCCCTTCCAGTCGGGATTCAGCCTCATCACGGGACTGAAACTGCCTTGGTCACTCTGGTCGATGATCTCTGGCGGGCTAGGGACAAAGGTGAGAGCTGTTTCCTAGTTCTGCTGGATCTCTCAGTGGCCTTTGATACCATCAACCATAACATCCTTCTGGACCGTCTTGAGGGGCTGGGAGCTGGGGCCACTGTCATACAGTGGTTCCGCTCCTTCCTCCTGGGCTGTGTTCAGAAAGTGGGGGGGGGGATGAGTGTTCAGACCCGTGGGCACTCACTTGTGGGGTGCCTCAGGGTTCTGTCCTCTCCCCCATGCTTTTCAACATCTACATGCAGCCGCTGGGAGAGATCATCAGGGGGTTTGGGCTGGGTGTTCATCAGTATGCGGATGATACCCAGCTCTACCTCTCTTTCAAATAAGAACCAGTGAAGGTGGTGACAGTCTTGTGTGAGTGTCTGGAGGCAGTTGGAGGATGGATGGCGGCTAACAGATTGAGATTGAATCCTGACAAGACAG